AAACAGCGTTACACCACGCAGCAGAGAATGGTGATGATAGCGTTGTGGAGATGTTGATCTCGAGAGGCATTGATATATCCATCCAGGACAAAGAAGGGAAAACAGCGTTGCACTACGTAGCAGGGTGGGGACAAGCAGGATTGGCGCAGCTATTATTGAAAAGCGAAGCAAACCCACTCACCGAGGACAACGAAGGTACCACCGCAATTCATGAAGCAGCGATGCACAAGCAAGAGGAAGTCCTGAAGCTGTTGCTCGAACACGTGGGCAAGGGAAATGAGACCGAGCGATGGCTCGCGACTACACGTCTCCGCGAGGCTGTCGATCAAGCAAAAAAGGGCGAAGTCAGGTCCCTGCTGGAAAAGGGGGCAGATCCCAATTTTTGGGAAAATTCATGGGTCTCTCTCTTGCACCTCGCTATTGTGCGCGAGGACGCCGACGTGCTGCAGCTCCTATTGACCAACCAGGCTAACGTCAGCGTGAAAGACTATTGTGGTAGGACCGCTTTGCACTGGGCAGCCTTTAGAAATTACGACGTTGGCGTTCGACTCCTCCTCGAGCATGGTGCCGATACCCAAGCGACAGATGATTATGGCATAACGCCATTGCATTTTGCAGCAGCATATGGAAGTGCTTCGGTAGTGAAGCGATTGCTCGATAATGGATCACTACTGAATGCGAAAGACAAGAAGGAACAAACAGCTCTAGCCTGGTTCTTCCGTCCAGACTTGTTGAGCTGGAATCCTCATATGATCCGTAAGAATGACTTATTGCCCGAAGAGGAAAGAGAAGACGAGGAACAAAGAGCCAGAAGATATCCGGATATTCTTGACCTCCTTATCGAGAAGGGCGCCGATCTAAATGAGCCTCTGCCAACCTGGAATACCATTCTGTTGTTGGCTGCCGAATCCTGGCCGCGTTTTGCCAGAGTGCCTCTGATACAGCGAGCTCTTGAAGCCGGGGCAGATGTGGCAGAACAGAACGAGGATGGTAAGAGTGCGTTGTATCTGGCAGCAGTTGGTGGAGATGTAGAAGCAGTACGACTACTCCTGGAGCATGGAGCCGACCCCAATCAAAGAAATAAGAGGAACAAATTCGGTCCTGGTGATCACGATGAGCATGGCACCACGGCACTCCATGAAGCAGCGCAGAGGGGTAACGTGGAAATGGCGCGCCTGCTCATCGAAGCCGGAGCAGATGCGGAAGCCGCTGATGAAGACGGGAACACGGTATTACATGAGGCAGTCAACGAGCCGGCAATCAAGAAGGGTGCGACACCAGCGATCATTGACCTCCTTCTTGCTCAAGGGGTTGATATCAACGCTCACTATGGTGGCAAGAAAGCAACTGTACTCCACCATGCAGTTATGAAAGGAGATGTCGCGACGGTGCAGTTTCTACTTGAACGCGGTGCTAACATTGCCGCTACGGACGTCGAAGAGATGACGGCTCTTGACTGGGCGAAGGAGTCAGGCCATGAAGCAATGATATTCGTTCTAAGTCGCCATAGCACGCGGACTTAGCCTTGTATCGAATCTGAAGGCGAACCAGGACAAGATTGAAGTACTCGATATTGAGATCCAGCTCCTTGCGGTCTGCTGTGCGCAACCAAGCCCCTTTTTCTATCATGTTTTGAATTATTATGGAGCTAGACATACAAATACCCTCCGGGCGGGAGATGGTTCAAGCTACGCAGGCATGCAGGCAGACGGACGTCGCCGCTGACTCTAGCTTCTTGGTCTCTCGAATCCTCCCTCCCTCTCTCGCGCCTTTTCATTCTTAACAACCCCTGTAAAGAAACGCCGTGCCATGAACCCGAGCACCTCACACTCAGCCAAAACACAGACTTTTTGAGAGGGTGGAATAAACAGCTTGCGACGTCCTGCTTGCTCACAGCTCAAGCACTGATGACAACTCGTGGTGAAAGTGCTCGCTCGCTATCCATCCACCGTAACGCTGCTCATGCACAATCCTTTTCGCAAGCCAACGGCCAACTCCCAAACCGGACCCCTTTATTTCACAGCCAGACACTTGATATCGAAGGTCAACCTGCTATTTTTGGGAATGCCCGACAGAGCCTTGTTCCCATACGCCAGGTGCGCGGGGATGACCAGTCTCCGCTCGCCGCCGACCTGGATGCCCTGGAGCCCAATGTCCCAGCCCTTGATGACTTCGCCGGCGCCGAGCTTGAAGCTGAAAGGCTTGCCGGACTTGTTGCTGTCAAAGACCTTGCCGTTGTCGAGTTTGCCAATGTACCGCATCTCCAGGCGCGATCCTTTCTTCGCGGCGGGTCCGCTGCCGAGTTTGCGGTCGTCGACGGTCACGCCTTGGACTTCCTTGACGCCCAGAGAGGCGCCGCCTGATGACTTCTCCTTGCTGCTGTCGGCCGACTTGGCAGAAGAGGTAGGAGGCGTCGCGGACGGTGTTGGTCCTTGCTCTAGGTTCTTGGCGAATTGGACTTTCTTCTCAGAAGAGCTGCCGTTGGTCTGTGTTGTGTCCTTCTTGCCTTCGGTTGCGCCGACCGCCACGGCTTCGCCATCGTTCTTTTTGAGTTTCTTGAGCCGCTTCTTCTCTGCTTTGCTGAGTTTCTCGGGTGCTGCTGCCTCCTTGGATTCCTCCTTTTTGAGAGACTTGGCGACGATGTCGTCTAGATTGTCCTCTTCCTCGTCGTCCTCGTCATCTTCCGCAGGCCGTTTGTTCTTGCCCTTCCCAGCCATCTTGATGGCCTTGAGTGCGTCCACTTCATCGTCTTCGTCGAGTTCCTTGATGCGAGGGTCTTTGAGATCATCAAGATCGTCGGACTCTTCGTCGGCGTCCTCGAGGGCGTCGAGCTCGTCCTCGTCCGGTGACAGGTCATAATCTAGCTCCTCATCGTCTTCATCTTCGTCATAGAGACGAGCAGGGACGTCGTCTTGAGGAATCACATAGTTTCCAGTAAGGTTGACGGTGTATGCGCCAGATACCTTGAAGAAGATCTTCTCGCCCTCGCCGACCACGAAGTCCAGAGGTTGTTGGCAATTCTAGGTGTGGGATTAGACCAGGTCTGGCATTTCAAGGGAGACGGCTTACCTTTTCGGGGTCGAGAGTGCAGATTACAACCTCGTCCATCTCAAGAGCCTCATCGTCTTCATCTTCTTCATCGTCGGCGTCGTCTTCTCCCTCCAGGGCTTTGGCTTTCCCTTTCCCTTTGGCGCTCTTCATGAGCTCGGTCAGTCTCGCAATGGCCGCTGCATCCTCGTCGTCGTCATCCTCGTCATCTTCGTCTTCCATATCTTCGTCGTCATCGTCGTCCTCATCACCTGCGCTGGCTTTGGACTTCTTCTCACTCGGCCCGCCATTGACTTCTTCGTCGTCCTCGTCTTCGTCGTCTTCATCATCTTCCTCATCGTCGTCCTCTAGGGCGGCAAGGTAGTCCTCATCATCGTCATCATCGTCATCCTCATCAAGCATGCCATCTGGGACGCGGATCAGCTTGAGGGTGGCTCGAGCAGGGCGCTTGTCGTCGGGATCTTCGAGCTCGGGCTCAGCGCTGGGGTCGATGGCGGCCATAGTCAGACGGAACTGTGTACACTGATTAGTACGCACATTCTGTTATACAGGTAGTGAAACAACATACCATGGCAGCGAACTCGGGGACGGCGGGGACCATGATGTCGCCCGGAGGCACTTTCATGGCGTACAACGCCACAGGTTGAACGCCCGACATGTTGGTTGCGGACTGTTTGCAGGATCTCAAAAGGAAAAAGAGATTAGGTTGACTTCAGGAGGAGATACTTTCCAAGGTCGAGTATTTGTAGACCGAGTTCAACTTTGAGAGACTCTTGTCTGAGCGCAAAAGAATTGAAACAAAAAAAAGTAAAAAGCGAGCTTTGCAGTTAATTGGAGAGACTTTTTAGTTGGAGTTTCGCTGCCTCAGAAACGAGCCACAAGCCTCAGCCAAGCCAGAGATTTTTTGCTTATCGATAACGAGTCGCCCCACCAGCGTCTGCCTGCGCCCGTCGCGTTGCTTTGCTCCTCAACGCGCCCGGAACCACATTTGCCTCTCGTCACGTAGAATGCTTCTCTCTCGTACTCTCCATCATCGCTCGTCCCAAGACCATAGACTAACCAGCTGGTCGTGATGCTCGCAGAGATTGTTAACTGGCGACGATGACATCTCCCAGCCCACCATGGGCTCCCGACTAGAAAAGAACTCGGCGCTGGTCCGCAAGCGCATCGAGGGCCACACCTTCAGCGACGAGCAGGGCGAGGAATATGAGGCCTCCAAGTTTGGCGGGTTCGCCGACTACATGCGGAGGAAGAAGATCAAACTCCAGAACCTCGATGTCGAAATCCGCGCCAATTCCTCCGACAAGCCGCCCATCTTCCGTGGCGTCGTCGTCCATGTCAATGGCTACACACAACCTTCGTTAAGCGATCTCCACACCCTCGTTGTTTCTCATGGCGGCGGCTTTCTCCAGTACCTTGACGGCAAGACTGCCGTCACCCACGTCATTGCAAGCCATCTGACTCCTAAGAAGACGGTCGAGTTTGCACGCTACCGCATTGTAAAGCCGGCTTGGGTGGTGGATAGTGTCAAGGCGGGAAAACTGATGCCCTGGGATGCCTACAGGTTGGTTGACGAGGGTGTCACCCAGAAAGTGTTGAGTTTTGAGGGTGGTCAAATTGTCAGTCAGGTCAATACTCAGCAGAGCAGATACAAAGACCAGACCGAGGGAAGTTCGTTTCTTTCTCAATTGCCCCGAGGGGGACAGAGTCCTAGTCGAAACAATGAAGATGCTACACAAGTTCAGCAGACAGATGACCCGGCCCCAGACGAGGAAGCCGATGCTGCGATGCTTCTGGGTGAAAATGGACCGGGGATGGACGATGTCGTTCAATCACCTGCAACTGCTGGAGCGACAATCAGCATTGATGGTGAGCATGCGATTTCCGCAAGTGACGGGCCTGACCTGGAACACAAATCACCCGATCGAGGTCAAACAGCAGACGCCTTACTGAGTGACCCTCCAAAGCCCGAAAAGCGCCAATTGACGGCTGAAGAGCACAACGCCATTCTCCTTTCCAATCCCCACATGGCCAAATCGAGTACCGCAAATCCCGACTTCATCAACCAGTACTATCGCGAGTCCAGGTTGCATCACCTATCTACCTGGAAAGCGGATCTGAAAGCACAGTTGCAGGCCCGCACCCAGGAGAAGCTGTCTTCGCAGAAAAGCAGACCCCGAAGAGCCCCAGGGGCAAGAAGGTACATCATGCATGTCGACTTTGACAGCTTCTTTGCTGCAGTGTCTTTGCGTAAACACCCTCATTTGGTCGACAAACCCGTGGTGATTGCGCACGGAAGCGGACCAGGGTCCGAGATTGCGAGTTGCAACTATCCTGCCAGAAAATACGGCATCAAGAACGGCATGTGGATGAAATCCGCGCTGGGTATGTGCCCTGATGTCAAAGTCTTGCCCTATGACTTCAAGGCATACGAAGAAGCAAGCCGTCACTTTTACGATTCCATTCTTGAGATAGATGGTGTGGTTCAGAGTATAAGTATAGACGAGGCTTTGCTGGACGTCAGCGAGCAGTGCATCCAGGCCGGCGGATCAGATGGAAGAGCTCTCTCGGAAGGTTCAATATACCGCGAACAAGAAGCTGCCCAGCGTCTGGCGCAAGATTTACGTGCCTCGGTGAAACAAAAGACAGGCTGTGACGTCTCGGTGGGCATTGGAGGCAATATACTGCTGGCCAAGGTTGCTCTGCGAAAGGCCAAACCTGCCGGGCAACACCTGATCAAGCCAGAAGAAGTTCTGGACTTTATTGGCGAATTGACAGTTACGGATCTGCCCGGTGTTGCTTGGAGTATTGGGAATAAGCTGGAAGAAATCGGAATCAAGTTCGTCAAGGATATTAGAGCCTGCACCAAAGAGAGGCTCATCACAACCTTGGGTCCCAAGACTGGCGAGAAGATATGGGACTATTCCCGTGGTATTGACAGACAGGAAGTGGGTGACCAGGTCGTTCGAAAGTCGGTGTCCGCCGAAATCAACTGGGGAATCCGGTTCATCAATCAACAACAGGCAGAAGAATTTGTTCAGAGCCTCTGCGAGGAGTTGTCACGGCGGCTTCTCGAGCAATTGGTCAAAGGGAGACAACTGACCATGAAGATCATGCGCAAAGCTGCAGATGCTGGTCTCGATCCTCCCAAGAATCTGGGTCATGGCAAGTGTGATACTTTTAACAAGAGTGTTGTACTTGGCGTTGCCACGAACGATGCCGCTATTTTGGGAAAGGAAGCCATCTCCATTCTGCGTGGTTATGGCTTCCCCCCTGGAGAGCTGCGAGGCCTGGGCGTACAAATGCAGAAACTGGAGCCTCTGAAGCCGACTGCTGCCAGCATAGGCAAGTTTATGGATGGGAGCCAGCGAAGGCTGCAATTCAAGAAGCCCATCACTCAAGCATCAACATCCCCTAGCCTGGCTGAACAGGAAAGACAAAGCCCACTCCCCAGACGGACGCCGACGTCCAATGCAGCGGATGATCCTATCGAAGAAGTGCCAACTCCCGAGAAGCCGAAAGCGAGTGAAGTCATTGCTGGGGCTGTTGAACCGGTCATCCTAGCCGGCGAAGAGCCATCCACCCGGAGGCTTCTGAATATCAGCGGTACACAGTTCATGCTTCCGTCTCAGATTGATCCAAGCGTTTTGGCAGAGCTACCAGCGGATATCAGAAACAAACTTGCGCCCAAACAAAAGAGTATTTTGGACATCATGAGCACCTCTGCTCGTGCAGTGTCCCCGTCACATGAGCCTCTTTCGCGCTCCGTCTCGCCTTTCGTGAGCGACAACGAAGCTGCGTTACCCAGCCAGAGCCAACTTGATCCCGAAACACTTGCAGCACTCCCGCCAGATGTCAGGGACGAAGTGCTCGCCCAGTACAAGCATCGGGACAAAAGAGAAAGGCTCCCAGCGCTCCAGAGTGTGCTGCCTCAATCGCCTCACAAATCTCGGGTTTTGGGCCCAGCGAAGAAGCTAGTTGTGACCCCAACCAAAAAGCAGAAGACAACATCATTGTCCGGCAAGCCTGGGTCGAAGCGAGGTGGCGATTCTTCTGCGACTCTCACACAGTCTAATTTCGTGTCCATGCCCAAGACGAACTTGGATCGACCACCCACGGATTCCCACATCTCTGAAGAAATTTCTGAGGCTTTTCTGAACGAGCTGCCCGAGGATATTCGGCTGGAAATTCTGGCAGAACAGAAGAGAAACCGCATGAAATCCAGATCTGGTCTGAACTTCGACATTAATCGGAAAAAGGCCAAAGCTACCACTCAAGCAGAAGCTACAGCACGCGGGCAACAGAAGCTCCAAGTAGCAAATAAGCCAGATAAGCCAACATTTACTTCTCAGAAGCTGAGTTCTCTGCCAGAGTTGCGGGATGCCATCTCGGCTTGGGTTCGAGAGCTTTCCGTTGATGGCGAAGAACCTGATATGGAGGATGTGACTGCACTCTCTGAATACCTGAGCAAGGTCGTCTCTGTTGAGCGGGACATGGCGAAGGCTGTCGCTGTGGTCAACTGGCTTGGTTTAGTGATAGAGTACGAGAACTTTGGCAGTGACGGAATACGTGGTTCGTGGGAGAAAGCGCTGGCTGTCCTGAAGAGAGACGTGCAGCAAGCGGTCATGGATAGAGGCCTGCCTGCGGTGGTATTTGAATATTAAAGTGAGGCTCAAGCGAGACCAAGAGACTCTGAGAAGAGGCGGCAGTGTTCATGGGTTGGACTTATACTATGTTGTTCTTTCACTTCCCACATGCTCTTGCCTCGCGCCGTTGAGGGAGTCAGCGCAGGTGCATTCTCTTGCCATCATCGCTGTCACTCCCTCTGCCCGACCACATCTTCTTTGTTCGCCCTCTTTTCTTCTCCCACCATCGGCATCCCCATCGGCATTGGCATTGGCTTTCGCTTTGACTTTACTTATGCCTCTATTGCTCTTATACCCATAACTGATATAGGAAGCGGCAGCAACCCACGCAGCCAGTCTTCTACCCACACGCCATGACGCTGGTAATGGCTCTGAGTCGAAAACGACGGCCATCCTCACCTCCTCCGCTCTCCCTTTCAGCTCGCCGGCCCACCCCGCCGCTCTCTAAGATACAAAAGCTCAACCATCTCTTCGATGGGACAGGCTCGCGATCAATGGAGTCCACAAGCACTGGACGGTCAAAGCACAGCGTCAAGAGCCAGCTCAAGAGAGGGGTCTCCAGCATCAAAACGGTCCTGGGCATCGGAGATAGACGCAGTGATGATACTGTCCAGCACCACACTGAGGCCATGTTTCCTCCGACTCAAGAAAATAGCTCCGTATACTTACTTGCCAATGAATCGAATACGACATTGATCCGCCAACCTCTGAAAATTCGACTGACTGCAATCGCCGACACCCCAGAAGAAGATGAGGACATGTCAGTCTCGCCGACTAGTAGGAGCGCTCCGATCACTCCTTTACACGAAATCGCTGAAAATGAAGACGACAATCCATGCCATGCTCCTACTACCAATAACTGTAGAGAGATCTCCCGAAGTCAATCTGCTCCTGGACTTCAACGCCGCATAAGCCAAAAGTTTCAACAAGCATTCGGCAACGGACACTCGACCGTTATCAAGAGAGCAGATTTACGCTCGAGGCCTAGCGTTCAGACGCTGTTACGTGAATCAGCCGTCGCTTCCTCTCCGCCGTTCTCATCTACCCTTTCCACATTGAATAGCGGTACCTTTTCTTCCTTTGATCGAAATGCATCGACTCCGCCAACTTCTGAGCCTGTGACTCCACTCTCGATAATCCGCCGTGGAAGCATGGATTTATTAGACATTGAACACCAGACGTTCACGGTGGAAGGTCGATTGCTTAGTCCGATACCAGAAAGCATATGTTCTCCCCCTCCTACCATCAGGACGGTCGAAGCTGCTGCGACAACAAAAATTTTCTTCGAGCTCCATTTCAACTCAATATTCCATGGTCCCTCGCCGAGAGCAATACGGTGCAAAGACTTGGAGAAACGAATGCGTGAACTCCACCTGCCTCCAGATATTCGGGATCGAGCTCGGAAAGCATGGGAGCTGGCTAAGAGCGAGAATCTCCGGCAGCGTCGAGTGCTGAAAAATACAACTAACCAAGCCAAAGCAAGCCAAGGAGTCAGCGTCGGTGGCTTTGAAATGATCAGCGTCCTCGGGAAGGGGAGCTTTGGGGTCGTTCGACTGGTCAAGGCAAAGAGTAGTCAGGATGGATCGAACAGTCCTGAAGCCAAAGGTGCCGACAGCATGCTGATCGACGTACCTTCTCGGTCCACCCTGAAGTCTTCCAGCAAGGTGCTGTCTGGTGGCCTTTTCAACAAGCGTCGGGACTCCATCAAGGCCAGGAAGGAAGTCTACGCCATGAAAGTCATTCGCAAGTCAGATATGATCCGAAATGGACAAGAGGGACATCTACGAGCCGAGCGTGACTTCCTTGTCGCCGCCGAGGGTTCGAAATGGATCATTCCACTGATTGCTGCTTTCCAGGACCGAAAACACTTGTATCTTGTCATGGAGTACTGCATTGGGGGCGATTTTCTTGGGTTGCTCATCCGCAAAAACACCCTCAGCGAAGACTTCACGAGATTCTATATCGCGGAAATGATTCTCTGCGTCGAAGAAGCCCATCGTATGCAGTGGATTCATCGAGATGTGAAACCAGACAACTTTCTCATTGCATTTGACGGTCATCTGAAGATTTCCGACTTCGGCCTGGCTTTTGATGGGGACTGGTCTCACGATCAGAGGTTCTATCAAAAGAATCGTCACTCACTGTTGGATGAATTAGGAATAATCGTCGATGGTGACGAGCAGGACAAACAAGAGAAAGAAGCCCAGTCACACCACGCAAGCAGGAAGCATGGAAAGGATGATTCGGCTAACAAGGATGAACCAACACTTGGAGAGCCAATCTTGGATTGGCGCAACCGGTCGCAACGTCGACGTTTGGCCCGGTCAGTCGTTGGCACTTCGCAATACATGGCTCCCGAAGTCATTCGCGGCGACATGTACGACGGACGATGCGACTAGTGGAGCATCGCAATCATCATGTACGAATGCCTGTTCGGTTTTACACCTTTTGCGTGCGACGATCGCCATCAAACCAAGCTCAAGATCCTGCAGCACAAGAAAACCTTGGTGTTTCCGCAGCCGGACGGTGTTCCGGAACCGAGCATGGAAGCATTGGACCTCATGATGCAGATCCTTGTAGAGAAGGAGAAACGCCTCTGCAGCCGTCAGTATGAGCACAATGACTTCACCAGGAAGGTTGTTGGCGGCCGACTTGTCCGATGTGTTGCGGACAAGGCTCATCAAAACTATCAGGGATATTTTGTCTACCCTAGTGATGCAGAAGATATCAAGCGCCATGCATGGTTTGCGAAAATGGACTGGGACACTTTCTACCGGCAACGTCCGCCTTATCAGCCTCGTGTTAGAGATTGGGAAGACACCAAATACTTTGATGACGAAGATCCCATCTCCGACATTGATTCTGCGACGACATTGGACGAAGGTGGTCTCGCTGCCGAAGTGGAAACTGCCGCTCAAGATCCAAATCCGAAGCGCAAGACTACCCAAGTGAGCCATCACCACGCAGAAGTGCAGAACATTGTCCCGTCCACTGCCATAAAACTTCCTCCTCTCCAGGACTGTCTTGAACTCGGTCTGAACGATACTGCAGCGAAAAACAATGGGCTGAAAAATCCTCTCATGCAACCACGGGTGAATGGGTGCCCCACTACCGGAGCCACGCTTGTGGAAACGGGTCACCATGGTGAAGGGGCTCTAGCGACAGTCAGCGCAGAGAACGTCAAACCCAAGGCAAGGAAGAGGGAATTGAAGAGGCCCAGGGACATCATCTTACGGGACCCTGCTACAGGCGCGCCAGCTTTGGAGACTCGGAAACTCGGCGCTTTCATGGGTTATGAGTATCGCCAGCCTGCGATGGCTGAGGATATTATAGAACAGGTAATTGCCGAGGAGATGGAAGGGAACAAAATCAAAACGTTTCGGCCAGGATGTGATCAGCAGGATCCCGACCTAACCTACGAGAGGCAGGTGTTCATGGATGCCGGTGGGCACTTGTCTCCCCGTTATCGCGCCGGGCTGATGTGAGCGCTCGGTTCTCTACTGTGGCTATTGGGATGGTGGTGGTGAGAAGGCAGAGAGGTCTGTGCCCTTGAGCATAAGGAGTTGCTCTCAGCCGGGTGGACAGTGTGAGCTTAGGGAGAAGCGGGATCAGTCAGATGGTCCTTTCCATACGACAGGATAAGTTTAGCGTTGGCGAATGCATATTCTTAGTGCCCAAGCCAATTGGGGATCATATTACTCCATGCTTTACCATCTATGTACATGGGTGGTGTCCTAGAGCCTGCCTTGTGCTTGTACAAACTCCTCGCTGAAAGGGTAGTCGATGTAGCCCACTTCAGACTTTGGGGTGTAGAAGGTATCTCGGTTGTATGGGGTCAGGGGGAGGTTGTTTGCAATTCTGAAGACCAAGTCAGGGGTTGAGATGAAATGCCGGCCAAAGACAATGGCGATATCCTGATCCTTGTATTCCTCGTCTACGGCGCGGCGGGCGCTTGCCGGGGTGAAGCCGCCGGCGATCAGCACGGGGGAGGCGTTTCCCCAGGCGGTAACCAGGGGTTTTATATTCTCGGTGGTCTCGACGTCGGCGTTGCCCGAGATGCGGGCCTCGACGAGGTGGACGTAGGCGAGGCCGAGATCTTTCAGCCCGTCCATGAAGTTGAGGAACTGCGGTAGGGGTTCGCGCATCTTCATGCCCTGGAACGTGCTGAAGGGGCTCAGACGGATGCCCGTGCGGTGGGCGCCCACGGCGGCGGCGACGGCGCGGGCGACTTCAAGCCCAAACCGCGAGCGGTTGGGGATGCTGCCCCCGTACTCGTCGGTGCGCACGTTGCACACGTCCTGCGTGAACTGGTCGATCAGGTAGCCGTTTGCGGCGTGGATCTCGACGCCGTCGAAGCCGGCCTTGTGGACGGCGTTGCGCGCCGCGGTCACGTAGTCGTCGACCCAGCCCTGGATCTCGTCGGTGCGGATCTCCCGCGGCACCGGGGTCGGCGCACTGCTCCCGCTCCCGTGGCTGCTGCTGTCGCTCTTGACGACCGGGGTGGGCGAACTCGACACGATCTCGATCCCCTCTGCGGACGCCACCTCCGGGTTCGCGGTGCGGCCTAGCGCCCATAGTTGTAAGTAGACGAACGAGCCCTTGGAGTGCACGGCGTCGACGACCTGCTTCCAGCTGGCGATCTGCTCGTCCGTGTATATCCCCGGGACGTTCAGGTAGCCGCCTGCCCGGTGAGAGATGAAGGTCGCCTCTGTGATCAGGAGCGTCCCCGGGACGCAGGACCGTTGGCTGTAGTGCGTCGCGGCGATGGGCATTATCACGTGGGACTCGTCGGCCCGGAACCGCGTCAACGGTGCCATCACCAGTCGGTGTTGGAGCGTCGCGTTGCCGAGCTTGAGTGGCTCGAAGAGCCGCGAGGGCGACGGCGTCGGAATGGGGAGAGAGCCCATGGTTCTTCTTTTTGCCTTCGGTTGTGTGTAAAGAAGTTGAGGGGGGCTTGGTGTTCGTTGACTGGATCTCCCGCGACGTAGACCCTCGGCGCGTCAAACCTGTAGTCGCGCAAGACGTGGTCTATCAGGACGTCGATGGACGAGTTCTATTGCGGGGTCTGGTCAATTGATACCCCGTGCGTACAGGTTTGGTGCCGCTTGGTACGTCGAGTCGGGGTTTTGCGGGGTTTTCTCAAGACCGCCCCAGCCGTGGGTTTGTCGAGAGTTAAGCTGAGAGAAAGATGCTAGGCGGATAGGGCGATGACGACGTTGACGACGACGACGGGCAGCAATACTAGTCTTGACTGTGACCGACGCGCGTTGTTGAAAAGAATATATATGCCTGTCGCAGAAAGATGTTTCGAGTTCAACAATGTCCATTGAAGAAGTGTGGGGGGTTTTCGGAGATGGGGTTTTTTCATAAGCCGGGCAAAAAGTCCAGGCTCTCCTGGTTGGTTATCGCCGCTGTTTGTTCGTTAACAGTACGAGGTATTGGTCAGCAACATCGCTGAAAGCCCGTCACCTAGGGATTCTCAGAACTCCGTCCCCACCCTAGTACCTCCCTAGGTACTTTATGGAGGTATTCTATCCAAATCAGCTGTATCACGTGGGGACGGGGTTCTGACGTCCGTGGCTGGCCCAGTTGATTGGCTGATATTGACGATTTCAGTCGGTAGAGGGAGAGAATCCGGAGTCTGGTTGGCCTGGATAAGCGAGCCAATGGTGTCACGGCGAGCAAGGTGCCGTCGGAGAGGCGGATGAGCGAGTACGAGGTAAGCTCTGGTGTTGTGGTAGTCGCGAGGCTGTCCAAGGCTGACAGGTGCCGGCGACAGTCAAAAGTCTATTCAAACTTCCACGTCGACGGGCATTCTGTCGCCAGAGAATCCCTGCTGTCAGGTTCCGACAACAGCACCACTTTCTGATCTGAGAGGACCGTACATTGCCACCACGAGGTCTGCGTCATGCAGCGGGAGTTTATCCTTTCGAGAATAAACAATGCAATCTCGTTGTCGGCTGTTTCTTACCTGAAGCGGGATTTTGAACCCCAAGCACACTTCACGGCGAGTTGGTGAGATTCGGGGAAAGGGAGCGGGGGATTAAGGGGCAACGGGAAAGATGGGTGAAGTGGGAGGGTCTAGCCTCGCTGCGGGAAACAAACCATTATTCACCTGCTTGATGTTCGAAAAGCTCAAGTCCTGAGGGTTCAAGAGCATCGTCTGAGCAGAGAGTGGCATTGTGACAAAGTTGGACCGTCTGAAAAGAGGGAGAGGAGGTTCTGCAGAGAAGATATTAAAGGGAGTATCAAGTGCAGTGGGCGGGAGGGTCACGTGGGGCCACCCAGGGCCCTCTTTCCTTGGCGCCAAGCTCCACAGTCACATGTCTCCACCGACGGGCATTTGTGTCACCGAATCCAAAAGTCACTTTTAGCTCCCTGCTGTGCCCTCCCAGCGAGGCCAGTGCTCAGAGATGCCTCTCTCTCTGGCCACGGCAGTTGCAAGATGGGACAGTTGCGCGAGAGAAAAGGGGGAACTATCAGCCAGGTACCCAGTCGATCATTTGGCTCTTACCTCAGACTAATCCTTCAAGGGACCAATACTCTACCGACTTTTTCAGGCACTAAAATGGCACCCACAGGTCCCATCCCTAGGCACTAGATGGTTACGAGTTGGCCCTCTCCTGATGCTAATGACGCCCAGCCTCCCCTTGGGAGAGACAAAGCATAACCAGGGCAACAGGATCAATCTTGCAGCCAGTCAAGCAGATCAGGGTACATTCAATGCATATTATCATCGCATCCTGGATTTGTTGCCTCGAATGAGATTGCTCCCTCTTAGTGGGAGGACGGGTCTTCAGCAGACCCTCATATTATAAAAAGAGTACCAGGTACATCTGAATTTCAAGGCCGGTCAGATTTAACAGGTGATCCTCCTGTCCAACTTTGCCGGCAGCGCCAACTTGTCCGTCTCACTCGACTGTTGCCCACTGAAACTCTCGAAATACCTAAAGAGTTTGCCAGGATCTTCCCTGACCCGAGATCTGGTGGCAGGATTAATAATCGAATCGAGCAATACATCGCTCTCCGTCAGTACCGAGATACACCACCACACGATGGTCTTGCAGGGGAGACCGCAGGGCCTAATGCCCAGCACCCGTCGCATCTCGCAGTATTCTTTCCAGGCTTTGAAGTGCATAAGTCCAATTTGTCGGTGGCCCGCACAATACTCGGCCAAGGCCAGAAACAGGAAGGCCACTACGTCTTCGTCACTCGAATCCTTTTGGTTGGCCAGGGCGGATATCCTTTGCCGAGTTTGTGCAAGTATGAAGTTCTGTCGAGCGGCCAAATAGTGGTTCTCGGCATCGAACAAGTCGATCTCGGGCTGTGGTCCGTATTTTCGGAAATGGTTGGCGCTGAAGAGTAGTACCATGGTCTCGAAGCACCATTGGCTTGAAAGAGCAAATGGGATAAACAGTTTGAGCACAGGGTCGTGTTTTTGCACGATCTCGGGATAAACATCCAAGCCCAGCATGGATGCTGCGTTTAGCGCGAAGTACCGAATCAAATTACGATCGATTGGCGTCAAGACAATACGCGACACGTCGACCGACTGTTGGAGTTCTCGCAGCACCGTGCGGTGCGGTTCTTCCTCGGATCCAGGAAAGCGATCCTGCAGGGTCGACTGCTGCTCAGGCGGAGTGTTTTCGATCTTCAGCCCTTCGAGTAACGATAATCCGAATTCCGAGCGACTCTCCATGCTTTCCCTGCGCGACTTGGTGCACAGTTGCGGAGAGTGACGCTCCACATCATACACGCTGGCACTGGACCTGGGCGATTCCGTGTCGGTAAAGGGAAAGGGAGAATTGCCTAATCTGGAGTCCCCTGGAGGATCGCCCTCTCCTGGTGACGGTGCACGTCGTTTCCTGTCGACTGTCGCCCGTTCAGACGAAGTTTTGTCCTGGCCCTCCAGCTTTGTCCGTGGTTCGGCTTTAACGGCGGTCCTCGAACGTGGTGATTCTGAACGAGGCTTCCGTAGAAATGGTGACACCGTGACGCTATCCCGCTGGAAGTCGATGACAGCTGCATAATGAGAAATTCGATTCTTGGTCGCCCGGTCTGATTCGCCAGCCCTGGCGGACGGTGCATTTGTTGTGTCTGGATTTGGTTGTCCATTTTCCTCTTTGGGTCGCATCCATCGCAACGGCGAGAACTGGTTTCGAGAAACCCATTCTGATCGCGCTTCTCTCTTGGATCGCACACGATCTTTCATCAGATGCGCGCGTGCTGTCTCGGTGACTCCGCGTCGGTTAATGTCATAGTCTACAAAGGTGAACACTCTCTCCTCTGGCTGTTGTTGCGACATGCTGGCCGTTGCTGTAGGGGTTCTAACGACGTGGTTGACTTGTCCCTTTCCCTGTCGGATGAATGCTAATGTATTGTTGTCCTCGGGTATATAGAGCCTTGAGAGGGGATCTTCCTGCGGCTGCTCTCCGATATTACTCATCCCTGAGCCCCATCGACCGTAATGCTTTGTACCGGCGACCTTGTGGCTAGCGGCGAGGAAGTTCAAGGCCTGAGGGAGCAGGATCTTCCACAGTATTGAAACGGCGATAACCGCCAGGGCCTAAAGTCCTCGACCCAATCGGCAAGTCTGTGCCGGCAGCTATACGACACTATTCCTTTTTTTGAGAAGAAGAAAATTGGCCTGATTGGTTGCCCGGTGGCGTTGGTACAGAGCGAGACGGGCGCTCCTGTTTCCTCCTCTTGAAGCAGAAAAATATCCGCGACGAACTACGTACACAAGGGCGCCCATAAACGATTCCTTCTCGTTGGTCTCGTATCATCCGGACCCTTAGCTTCCGCCGCGAACCAATCAATGCTGCCATTCCCCGATAGTGCTCGTTACGGCAAGTCCACATTCCACCTAGCCTCGTCGGCGGACCTGGAGGTACTCTGCACGCCATGCATACGAAGACGCCACTTGGTCTTTCATTATTACCATCCAACTGGTCAGAACATCCACAGACTTTACGCCGGATTCTTTGTCAGCCGCCATCGTCTTCACATTTCTTAGTCATTGCAGTGGCTGCCCGGGATCTGGAGCCCGATGACCATGGACCAGGGCAAGGCATAATTACATGATGTGCAGAGTAGGCACATCGCTTTCCAGGTTCTCGAAGCCATCTCCGTTGCGGGCAGTTCTTCCCATCCAGAACCGTGCCGTAGCTGAAGCGAGCCTCATCCCAGCCAATCGTTCCACGGTCGCGATGCCTTCAAACCTCTCTTACAAAAGAGTTGATTCATCCTCAGGGTCTGCTTGCCTTGGTCGATCTTCTGACAGTACTGCGAAAATCGCATGCTAGGTGACGCTGACTACATTGTTCTGTAACCCCCGCTCAACTTCGCTTAGCAATATCCATGTCAAGTCTGAAATTTACCGTACCAATGGTCAAAGACCCAGTTTCTAGCGTACGAAGCGGATCATGAGAGCGCTGACATTTCCTCGGGCGAGAGCACCTAGAATTCGGGGATCCATATGCTTCCGGTTTCCAAACAAGACCGAGTGGGAGTCAAGGACCATTCGACATATGTACCGAGTACTTTGTAGTATCTTTCCTCCCCACTTGGATATTCGCAGTGACCCTCGTAACAGCCTGTCTCAAGACATGTTTGTCTCCCGGTGTTGGTCTATCCGCGGTCGACACAGCTTTTCAACAGGATGAAGGGTCCAGCCGTGACCCGCTCTGACGACTCCTAGACTAATTGGGTCCGCAGTGCTTCAGCCTACGAGCCAGGAGCCACCCACGAGAGCAAGATCTGACATTTATCCACATCTTCGAGGGCGGATTAATATCGAAATTTGCCGACTAAGTATGTAATCCAAAACGTATCTAGAACATGTTTACCATTCGTCCCCACTCGTACCTCTGTCAAGGTATTGGAGAGAGTCACTCTAGCCCGTTTGAGAACATAAAGGACACATTGTCATTGGGCAACTATTCACATTCCGGCTCGCTGGTCGCAGGTACTTTGGCATTCACAGCATCTGTGAAAGACTCTATGTGCACCACCAAGGCCAAACATGCGGATCGGAAAAGTGGCGATGACCGCTCGACAATTAAAGGGGCGCAAGGAACCGGCCCCAGTCCTCTATCTGTGACTTTGTACTCAGTAGGAGGAGTGCCTGCCTGCAAAAGCCCCAGCGAGGATTGAAGCTATGCATTCCTACCGCGGTGATCTACGCCTTCGCCTCTCGGCCCCAGATCTAACGCTCCGATATAGAGTCGATCTTCCTGCGACCGAAATCCATGAAGGAGCTGTTAGCCATGGAGCCGGAGAGTTATTCAAGTGACCTGAGTCAGACCTACCTACCTCGCCAGCGCCCTGCACCAAGACATCTCTCTCTCTCTCTTTACCTCCAACCCCCTGAAATTACACAATGATAATCTTGGCGCTCGCTATGGCTCCTGACCACACGGAAAAGAGCTTGTCTCTCTTGCCAGAACTGGAAAGCATGAATCTACTCGTACTCAGACGAGGCTCCGCTCAACCGCCTTCGCCAGCGAATAGGGGAGAGCATTTCGGCATCTTCTTCGACAACCTCGCGGAAAAGGTCTCGACTTGGTCTTGACCCTTCCTCCCCTATCCTAGCAGCCTTGCCCACTTTGCCGCTCGTCTTAGTCAAGAAAGGTGTGGCCAGCCGGATCGAGGCAAGTACTCCGAGCCCAAGCTGAACGTCGGTCCCTCGGCCGCGCAAGGGTGGCTGATCACGGCGTAATTGTTCAAGCGTTTCGGCCAGAAGCTTAGCAAAGCTTGACCACCTGCTGACTACACCAGGGCTCATGGGAGGGCGCAGGGTCCCATAGTCTAGAATCTTTCACAGGACAATCCCATTATTCTTACGCGTCAGCAAACGACGGACACAATCCGGGGTACCTTGCATACTGTGTACCTACCTAGACTGCTCGCAGTGAGCCGCATGGGACTAGGATTCAAAGAGCAGGAGCCAGGTGGGGTACGGCCACTACTACCCTGGCTGTCCCCTCCCTCCGTCCCGCTTCCCACAGTTTTCGAGGGAAACTGGGTACTTTTTTACGAGGCGGACGACTCATGGAGGTTCTGCTTCTGTAGGCCCTGTCCCCCTTTCCCGCTTTCCCAACTCAAAGGGAGCTAAAGCCCGGCCAGTGGCCGTACTGCATAGGGAGGGAGGTGTTTACGCTTTTCAGAAATATGTCCTCCCGCCACCATCGGTTCCGTTGTCCTACGGGGCGGGAAAGCCACGTGATAGACCGAGTCCTTGTCCCGCCCCTCACACTGAAAATAGCGCCGCCGGCGGAGGAAATCAAAACGTTTTTTCACACTTTCTTCCTGCATAGTTATTCCCCGCTCTCCAGGCGTCCATTCACCGGCTACCCGAGCTTTCTTCAATTTAATGCCCTTGTAGGGTTTCCTCACCTACCAGATCCGCGGCAGACCCGCCATGCAAGATTGCATGACTCGTGCTGGTGGCACAAATAGGCAGACCGAGGCATCCGCCGTGTCGATTTGTCAGGAGTGGTTTGGCCTTGGCTCTCCGGGCATAGTATGCTAGCCACACGAGAATCATCGACTTTGCCAAGTGACAAGAGACGGCCAGGCTGACGAGGCTGACGAGGCTGAACGCCCCTATGCCTCCTGGATTTGTCGTGAGGTCATATGACGTCATTCTATGGACCCCTTACAAAGCGGCGAGGGGGCGAAGGGGATCACCAGGACCCAGGACACAACACTTGATGGACTCGTCGACCTTTCCTTAGACAACATCGTCAACATCGTCCTCGATCAATCGTATTCGTCAGGCAAGGGATAAAGTCTATTGCTAGCGTTCTTCGTCACTTCTGCGTCCTAGACTCTCGCATTCGCCATGACAGATTCAAAGGGCGGGCACTCGAGCCAATTCGACCCAACGTCACTCGACGCCAATCAGCGCGGGATCGCACAGTAGGTCATCCCCTTTCCTCCACGCGCATGGCTGTTCCCTGAGGCGAATTCCCTCATGGCAGTCTATATGCTCCTGTGATTCCTAAGGGTGGCACCGTGTCACGAGGATGAACCACAAGTGAAATTAAACCCCCGGACAACAACACCCTCAACAGACACCCAATCAAACTGCCCAAGAGCATCAATCAGTCCAATCACTAACTTGGTCCCTGCTTTCACCTAACTCAGAAACACCATCGACGAAGAAAAGTCCAACTACGGCGCCAAGACTGCAGTGGATCGCGACGTCGGAGGAAAGATGCCGACATCCAAAGTGTCCACTGGGGCGTACGGCCTACCAGAAATCAGCAGCGGCGGGCAGTCGTTAAGCGACATCGTGAACGAAGCGTTGAAAGGCCGGACGGGCATGGCGCAGGACAAGGCGCAGCGCATCGACGAGAGCATGAAAGTTGGGGGGGACGAAGATCTTCACGAGATGGCTGCAGCGAAGCAGCCGTGAGCTTCTCTCCCTCATGTTGCTCAATGTTGTGTGGTTTCTTCACCAACGTCTTCGAACCAACGATATCCAAACAGAGAGGCAGCTTCCCTCTCCAAAAGTCGCTTTGCCATCCAACGTGGTCAGATCAGGTTCATGCAATACGCAGTCCTCATAGCTGGTACATACACAGTCAAACTATGGAGAATTTACCCTGCCGGACAGGGCACAACGACGCTGAAGGTCAAATCTGAGCCGACTATTCTTCTTCTTCTCCCCATGCCAATGAGATGCAAACCTGCACCGACGCTGATTAGACTTGGTCCAAATTACTTACTGACCTTGACCAGAAGCCCATATCTCAACCCTAATAAGGAAAACAGAGCGCCCTTCCATCAGAAATCCCCTTTCAAAGCTACAACCATCTCCAGTGATCAGTGACCGGTCCGGATTCTACGGGTACGAAAACATGGACGAATCATCGGAAAGAATTGTGTTCCCTGAGTACTTTGATAATCAAATCAAAACCCTGCAGCAACAACATCGGCAGGGAGGGGGTCCTGGTCCGCGAGACATCTGGGGAACCTCACACACACACACACACGAAAGGGATGGCGATCTAACAAGGTACAGTTTTTGGGTCTCTGTGGGTAAACCCTTTCTGGCTCCGTCGGGAAACCTCCGGAAAAATTGCCTTCTTCCAAAGGATCGAGGCTGTAGTGAAAGATTATTTTAGAGCTTGTTGAACAGCAAAGGGCTTGTTTCGTAGGTCGCATCGGTATGCAAAGCACCACCTACCCATTTCATGCCCCGTCCCGCACACACGACTTATACCGAAGCGGGACTTTGGCAGTTTCCCCAGTCGGTGCTTGACTTACATACGTGTTCCGGAAGGCGTACCTTAAGTAGACGCATGTCCGTTGTGTCATGAGTCAGTTGACTGGGGATGAAGCCTCGAGACATGTGCGACCATGCAGAAAAGGCTCGCTTGGGAGTTTGGCAGCGAAGGGGGGAGGGGCAGGCCAAAGTCTGTGATTACAGAGATTGGTAAGAGGGGTATTTCTCAGCGAGCACAATTGTAATGTCACAATGGGTGCAAAAAGATACCCAAGTGTTGTTGTCGTCCTCGTTCGAGTCTCAAGCAGTGGTTATCCTCCTCCTGGGGCTCCACCGCAGGGCATGCATGGTTCGCAGATGTGCAGAATGCGGGCGATGCGGCCGATCGAAAGGAGGAAATGGTGGTACGCGTCCAGGAAGCGGGAAGTTGAGCATTTCCAAGTCGGGAAATCCCCGCGCGCTCGGGGGCGGGACGGAGTATCCATCTCGCCATGTATCATCCCTACATGTACCTCGCTACCTATAGCCTATAGGTAGGTACCTACCTAGGTACTGTATCGACCATCTGACAATCCAGAATCACATTGGCGAGACATGTTATTGGTTGCTTTTTGTCACTAAGGCCAAAAATGCTGCAATAACGGTCATGGCTAATAGTTGACATAACATCCCGCTGACATGGGTCTTCCAGAGATCTGCAACCCTGTGGTATTTTAGCTGGCTGATTGCCGTGGGACAGCCACGGATATCCCACGCCTTCCCCTTTGATCACTAGAACCTCATGCCGATTCTGGTCACGTTAGGCGAACTCTTTCCAGAGCTCTCGCCACGACCTCGTCTCTTCTGCTCCCTAACGAGTGGGTAGCTGTCGTTCACGTTCTTCTTCCATTTCATACCCCAGGGCGCATAATGTAGCTGTCGATGTCAGAATATCCTGACTAATAACACATCAGCTACTCCATGTAGTGTTTGATGACAGCTCCTGCGTCGTTGCTCCTTTGCAGCCTGCTGAATCACCACGCCCGACCTACTCTCGAAGGCAACTCTCTCTTCCACACCGCCCCTTCAATATCGACCGAAATGACCACAACTGTGGCGCCCAGGTTTCATTCAAGCACCGACGGCGGTTTTACATGACTTTAGTTGAGTTTCGGCTCAAAGTCGGTGTTGACAAGGCAGGACGTTTCCACATCTCATCCACAGTGGCGCAACCCGTGAGTAGGTCTCTCTAGTAGGAACAACTATAGCCGCTGTACCTGCGTCGCCAACTCAAATCTCGCTTGAAGACACAGCATCATGCACTCCTGCTTACTGCTTGAACGCTGGGAAGGAGACCGACAGACGTTGCACACGAATATCCTTCTGCTCCTTCTGCCCACCAACGACAAGGGTTTAGTCGGCGATATGCTGACGAGGAATCCGGGTAAGAAGAGACCCGTTTCGACGCATCTTTGTGAAACCGAAGGAAAGGAGAGGTCGTTATTCTGTTGTGGTGTCCAGTACTTCAGCTATTGATCACTGCACCAGCGGCTGAGGGAATGTCAGCCGTCATTGTTGCCATCTAAACGCAGCCACCTTGTGCCGTCGCTCGTCAACGAACCTTTCTCGTCAAGAAAAGGACCCGTTGACACTACTTTGCAAGAAGCGAGTAAGATCCCATCGTCTGTATCGTTCCTGCTATTCGCCATCCGAGAAAATGCAGGTCCTGTGATGATGGAACCAAAGGAGAAATATGCCATGCCAGCCAGCCATCTCGCAATATCGCTGCCTCTGTGTTTTCAAAACGCAGAGCTACACAGGCTCTCACAGCCCCTTCCCCTCTAGCTGCCTCCCAAGAACTTTGATCTCCCGGCCCTCAAACCCCTTCCTTCCCTTTCCATCACACGTGAAGAGCAAAGTCCTCGCAATGTCGTAAGACTCACATCCCCAAGCCCCTCCAAAGTCAACGAATGCCGTCGCGATTGAGGGCGGCCAAAAATGCCGTGGATTGGCGGGGTTCCCTTGTCTAAAGCGTCGCTCGAGAATAACTGGTCGGGATCGTTGGCTGTTCGCACTCCTAATAACGAGCTCAGAACAAGGCCCTCGGTCCTGGCGCCCTCTTCAGTGTTAATGCCGGGCGATGATCTGAGCGACGTCGATGCCCTAGATGATGGGGCAAAGAGACATGATGAACTGCGGGGCATCCCAAGAGAGTGGAGGAGTTGTCTAGACGTCTCCTCAAGTCGAATAGCGGGATGATATGAAGCGCAACGCAACACAACACAACACGACACACAAAGCCAGATGCTGAAGGTACCTAGGTAGGTTCTCTGGTACCTAGTAACAGACACAAGCGCCCCTTTGGCTTCAACGCTTTAACGCCTCCTAAAACCCATGTCCCACTACATGTCATGCGTAGCTGATATAGAATACACTTCCCGAACCGCGGAAAAACTGGCATGGCACGAGATCGCTCTATTCTGCCATCTACATGTCTAGCCAGCGCCACAGGCAGAGCGTCCGTGTCACAGCAGCGCAACGGTTCTTTCGAACAGAGCGATGAGAAGTGAGAACGGAGAACTACCAGCCTCACGTTCACGCTGTACAGGTAGGACGAGAAGAGATTCAGGCAATACTCCAAGTTAGGCTTGGACAGACAGATGGAAAAAGGGCCAGGTAGGACAGGCGGACGCCGAGACGGATGGATACGAGGGGTATAGGATGGTCGAAACGAGCTCGTCCGACGTCCGGTATATGTCGTGTGGTGAATACGTATAAGTAATATGGTGGTGGGCTCGCACTGTGGTATTCGATCCAGGATATCAACTTCCTCGTCGTTCTGCTCACCCTCACCTCAGCGTTGAGGTGTGTACTAGACGAACTAAATCCCATTGATCTACAAAAAAAGTGGAAACAGATCAGGCAGCCCTCGTACGAGTCAAATCATATACCGGCCGCGCGATGCAGATCTTTATATATCTATATCTAAGCACTTAAGCTGACAGCGCCTCGCCGCATACCCATCCAACCTCTACCTCAGCAATGTTGTCTCTCCACCACTCCATTTCCCGCCCCATCCCGGATTCACCTCAACTGGCTGGGCCAAACTTCCGCCCATCTGTTCAAATCTTATATCTAAAATGCAAATTCTGCTTATCCGTCAAATCGTCAAATCCCTCGAGCAGTTCTTCTTGCTGTCTCTCAGCGTGCAAACCCCGGGCGTCGCGGGCTCTGTTGTCAAAGTAACACAGGCCCGTGTAGATGACTTGCAAAACGATGAGAGCGCAGTAGGTGCCCAGCAATCCCCTGATGGCGGAGAAGTAGCGCGGCGTTTCAGAGGGCAGGAATAGGTGCGGGCCGGCGATGTTGCCGGCGCAGTAGAACCTACATGTAAGGTAGCGTCTGTGTTAGCTGGGTAGCTAGTTCCTGAAGCCCTTCATTCATGTGTGATCTTGTCGTCGTACGGGGAAGGGTAAGGACACCTACACGAAGAAGATCCCGACGACTGCGGTTCTCTTGGTATGCCCCGCCACATTGACACCTGGTAGAGTCCATCCCAGAATAATAGGTGCTCCAAGCACGTTCTGTAGCCAGCAACAAGCGACCAGTGCATACCGATGTTTGATGCTGATGGTCAAGAGACCGATCAAGCCCGCGAGTCCCGGGAGACATGCGACTAGGTGGGTAAAAATGCGTTAACGAGGAGACCAGCACACACGAGCGGAAAGCTTCAACTCACTGATGATGGTGATGCCCAAGAGATTCTTCTTGGTGGCCACCCATCCGAAACCCATACACCCGATGATTTCAAACGCGCCACCGGGCGTCTGAAGCAGAGTCGTCCGAAGCGCATCGAATCCGAAGCCTTTGATCAAGGCAGAGAAAAAGTTTGACACGGCGCCATTCAGAAGGCCCGTGCAGGCTCCCATGAAGATGACGAGGTAGGTCTTTGGGTCGAGCAAAGCCTCCTTGATGTGGCCGACAACAACCTTGTGGTGTTTGATGCCCATCTGATTCTTCGAGACCCGCCAGACAGCAACCATTCGTTCATATTCGGTCAGCATTTTGGCATTGTGAGGTCCATCGGGTAAGTAGCGAACGACGACGAAGCCCCAGAAGAACGTCATAGCCCCTACAATCTGCTGAACGTCAGTTGCCATATAGACAAGTGCTGAAAAGATTATCTCACCAGATAGATCAACTTCCAATTGGGGACGGCGAGATGTGCTGCATGGCCACTCCCGTACGCAAGCAGGGCACCAAGAATCGAAGAAACACCATTTGTCGACAGCCAAAAGGACGTCCGGAGTGCTTGTTCTTCCCTCGTCCATAGCATAGAGGTGAGGAGGACGAAGGCAGGGGATATACAAGCCTCAACCATGCCCAAGAAGAAGCGAATAGCAAAGAAGCCGGAAAAGTTGAACACGGCGGCTTGCAGCATGCAGACAGAACCCCAAACGAAAAGCATATATCCGATCGTTCGCCCAATGGGGTACCTTTGGAGGAGGAAGTTCCATGGATATGCGCCAGTAAGCCAACCGAAATATAGTGCCGATGCAACCCATGAATAGTCATCTCCTTTCATATGTGTATCCTCTTGAAGTCCGTATGCGTTGGAATAGTTGAGGCTGCAGACGTCAGAGCTGGAACTATGGATGGTGGAGTATGGACTCACGTCTGCTTGTCTAGGAAGCTTAGCATGTAGGTTGTCATCATCTAACATTGCCCAAAATCAGCTCGTGATCTGTCGAGCATTGTTGTAGGAAACGTTACCATAGGGATGACAATCCAGTCAAGCTTCCGGCGCACTTTGACCGCATCTCGTTCCAGTTGAGCTTCATCAAACTCAAGGGCCTTCTGCAACAGCTCTCTGCCAAGGGCGTCGGGATCATTGGTACTCCCTTTGAGGCGATCGAGGAGGTTCTTGGAAGATTTTGGTGGAGTTTCAAGCGTTGGCTCAATGACTTGGACTGGAGTCTTCTCTATGTCGGCCATGTTCAAGGACTGGCTTCGAAATAGGCGCAGAACTCGTAGAATCAAGAGGGAAAGATTTCTTGGTATGCCGGATGTGCCTTATAGACATATGGTTATGATTCCGTCGGAAGCCCATCGTTATCGGCACGGGAAATGAGGTGATAGCTCTTCGACGCAGGTGGTTGGTGGGATAAGGATCTCGAACGGCAAAGAGCATGTATCGACTCAAGTGTCTCCATGCAGATGCAATGGTGTTGTCCGTTTGCCGCCAATGAATATCTCTGCTTCTGCTGCCCATGTAAGTATGCATTGCGGAGTTTTGCGATCAAGCCGCAGGGGTGCTGCAATGATCTGCGTTAGCTGCGGCTGAGGCTTCTGGCCGCTCCGCGCAAAGCAATGTGATTCGGGCGATGGTAGAAGTATATCAGTGGTTCCACTCTTTCTGGGAGGACGCCAGGTGTGCTTGGCCATCACTTCTTCGTCGTGTATTGAGTTCGCATGCTTATACTATCACCTCAGGTCACAAACACTCTTAAGCGACCCGCTTCCATCAATTACTCTTGATGGTAGTGGTGAGCGATGTCAAGTGGAACATCACCCAGCAGGGCATTTGGTCTCGACGAAAAATCAGACGATAAATTCCGCATGCTAGGCCACGCGGAGATATGGGATGACAGGTATAGAGCACCGAGGACCAGCTGGCAGCGGAGAGCCTAAATGGTTCGATGAAGACGCAAAGAGCAAACTACCGCTCTACACGCGTAGATGTGGCATTTGACGCTTCATCTCGGGTTCGATCCCGCTGACAAGGGCATTCCGAAGGCCGAAGTTAGTTGAGGCGTAGGTCCAGCTCACTCACGGAGGCGGATCTCGGTCCTCGACATGGCCAAATTCTGCTCAAGAGCGCCTAGATGAATGGAGCCCATCATGGGGTTGGAGATGAACAACAAGATGACAATGGGAAGGAAGATCCGGGCTGGTCGGGGGGAAATGGTGGAGGTGGAGGAGGAGGGGGAGAGCATCAGGAGGACATCAAAAAGGACGTCACGTGCTGTCCCCTATCCCGCGCCTTGGCTTTTTCTCGGGCGCGTCACTGGCTTTAATTACTTCACTCTTCAACCTCATTAAAGGTGTTTGCCTGCCAGTGCTCACTATATCATGACGCGTATCGGAAAGTTCCCCTCCTCAATAATCCCCGAGCTCCTTTAGCAGATGAACACAAGAAAGCCTCCCAATCATCAAACGAGATGGCGGGCTTCTTCACCTGGTTGTGGGACTGGTTGCTGTGGATGTTCTGGGCGACCGAGATGGACGTTGCGATCGTTGGGTTACAAAATGCCGGCAAGACGAGTCTAGTGCGGGTGCTTGCTGTAAGTCAAGTCTATTCTTGTAGTTGGTGGTTAAATTGGAAGGGTCTAACTCCATATCAAGGGCAATGAATTTACCGTCGATACTGTGCCCACAGTCGCTTTCAACAAGAGAGAAGTCAAGAAAGGCCATGTTTCCATCAAGTGCTGGGATCTCGGAGGTCAACCACGTTATCGATCCATGTGGGAGCGATATTGTCGCGGCGTCAATGCCATTCTCTTCGTGGTCGATGCTGCCGACAAGGATGCAATTCCGGTCGCTCGTGAGGAACTGCACAACCTCATGGACAAACCCACGCTCAATACCATCCCTCTCCTCGTCCTCGGCAACAAGTCGGATCTGCCCAACAAATTGTCCGTGGACGAATTGATAGACCAGCTGGACCTGAAGTCGATCGTTCGTCGGGAGATCAGCTGTTATGGAATCAGTGCGAAGGAAGAGACCAATCTGGAAGCGGTGCTTCAATGGCTCGTAGCCCGGACCGGGAAGTGAGAACCTCTCTTGGTTTTTCGTGCTTGTCGAAGGAATTACGGCGTTTGGAATGCTGGTGCTACACAGACTTGATGGATCAACGGTACATTGTTGACTTTGGACCACTGTACGAACACGGAGTACACAGACTACGCATATTGCAGCCAGCGGAGGGGAAGTCCGGTCGTATTCAACTCGTGCTCTATTTCTCCAGGAGAATGTTCCAGGCGCCTGCTGAGAGGGGTAAATGATCGCAGTTGAACACGGTGATCACGGCACTGGCAGACCACAACGAGGCCATTTCAGCCACAGTCCGTATGACGCGTAGCCAAGACTGGGCTCGCGGGACGCCCAGGGGCCCAGCTGCGGTGGTTGGGTGTGCCAGTGGGTGCCAGTCACCCACCAGTTTATGCATGGCCGCCTACTGCAACTGGGAGAAAAGCAGATGCCGAGGGCTTGCTTCTGGGGGGCATCGGGGGCAAAGGCCAATTAGAATGATGACGCTGCGCCACGCCCAGATGCACTATTTCTCATACGAGCGAATACGCAAATCCCCGACTGCGCCAGCTTTGCTGCGCCTTCTTGTTCGTGCCATGGCCCCTCATACGTTCATTCTTCCATGCGTCTTCTTCTGCTTCCACCACCTCATCTCTTCTGATCCCATCATCATCATCATTCCCTCATATTCAACTGCCTCGAATCCAAATATCATTTCAGCCTCGTTGATTTGAGTCAGCACACTGCGGGCACCTACCGCGGCAAGTTACACCGAATACGAATCGCCATCGTCCACCTTGTTTGACATCATCATATTCCACACACACACACACCCTCTCTCTCTTACAGGTCCACGCACGCAAGCACAGCAGCCATGAACTCCAGACTCGTCACCCGACAATACTACGGAGACAACGTGTAAGCACTGCCATCCTCGAATAAAATCTCTTTATATGCCATTTATGCTTCCCACCCGCCTCTCGACACCACCAATTCGACACCAAGACTTCTGCTAATACTTTTCCTTCGCCATGGCCAGATGTATCGACAACAACGGCAACGCATACAGATGTAACTCAGCGTGGTACGACTGGGGTAGATGGGTCGCCCTCGCCGTCATCATCCTCGGCGCATTCCTCATCTTCTTCCTCTTTAGGTACGTTGGACAACCTGCAAGTGCCTTCATTGTACTAATCGAACACAGCTTGTTGAGCGCTCGCCGAAGACGTCGCATGGGCAGACAACCCATGTACGGCACAGGATGGGTGGGCCGCACTCCTTGGGGTCACGCTCCTGCCCAGTACAACCCGGGCTATCAGCAAACACAACAAGCGCCGCCTGCCTACAATCAAACTCAGAATTACGGTGGCTACTACGGACAGAATCAAGGCTACTTTGGCGGGAGACAGACGGATTTCGAGATGCAGCCGCCGGCAAACACCTACCGAGGAGGAGACGATGTCTACACTCCCCCGACGGGTCCTCCACCAGCCAAAAAGTGATCGGGGATGGCTTTTCGTTGATCTCCTCCATTACAAACAGATGGTATTGAAGGGTACATGTTTAAGAGCTGCGATTGAGGGGGACGTTGTGAATATAATATGGAGGGTCTGTACAAGGACGAACTGCAGAGAGTGTACGATAACTTTAGGGAGCATTGGCTATCCTATGCAATCAGAACTCGAAAAGTGTGGCAACTGGAGGGACAAGATTCACGAAGAATGTAGCGTTACGAAAACCGCATAATTTGATCAATTTTAACAAAGCGCGCGAGATCTCTGCCTGCATCATACGATTGTCTACTGCTCCCTGCTGCTACTGCATGTACCCGAAATTCTAGTACATACAGCCTCGCACGGGATCGGGTGTGCATCCCCTGTTTGGTGGCTAGGCTCTGACGAGCGCCGGCGTTTCAGCTGGATTGTGCCCGCAAGAGCCAAGTTCGGCAGGGTCAGATCGCCCTGGAGTAGCCCACCCGAGCCCGCAACGAGCTCCCCCGGGGAGTGCCTCCATTGGCCTGTAGGCGACCCCTGCTTCTGGGTGGCTTCGACCCAAACCTGCGATTCATGGCCTTGTGGCCTTGTGGCCTTGCTTGCTCCGCCTCCTGCGTTACTCAATCCTCTCTTACTTCAGGTTCTTTTCATAGCAACTCCGCGAGTGCTTTTTCTTTGTCTTATGTCCCTCTTGTTGCCTTTTGCCTCGCTCCCTCCTCTCTACGTTAACATTACATTCACTTCAATTTACCACCGTTCACGCGACGTTGGCCCATTCACTCATTCTTCATTGTCCGCAGGCCGGCCTCGGTAACCCACCCTCTCCAAACCAGCCTCCCTTTGACACCCAGCCCGCCACTCACTCGATCGAACGAAAAGAGTCCGTCGCCTCCATTTGAACGACCGTGTATGAGCTGACGACATACTATCCCTACTTCAGAGGTCTGTTTCAAGAGACCCTTGACGAAATGGCGTACTATCTCTACGCCCGCGACGTTGTTTCCGATGTGAAGTCGGTCCCAGATACATTCTCCAGCTGGGATAAATGCATGCAGAAATCATATTGCAAGTATGTGTCGGTGAATTTCCTCCTGGTGTTCTGGTCTAACATTGAGCAAGGTGGCCTGTGATTGCCGCGATTGTCATCGGCTCACTCATCCTACTTTCTGTCCTCTTCTGTGTCGCTCGATGCCTTTGCTGCGGGGTTGAAATCTGCTCTTGTTGTTTGAGCTGCTGTGGCGGTTGTTGTCGGGGAGGTCGAAGTCGTGACCGTCCTACAAAGTTCAAAGACGACTACACTCGCATGCCTCCTGCTCCATACCAGGGATACCAGCCTGCTCCCAGCCCCATGGCTTACGGCAACCCCAATGTACCTCAATTCGCGACTTTCGACGATCCCAGCACCAAGAGAATGATCAACGAGGATGCTCTTCCACCCATGCCCAGCTGGGACACTGCAACCAAGCGAAGAGTCGAGGACACCAGTGAGCCACTACAGCCGAATGCGAACGGCGATCTGGAGATGGGAAGACTCGACTCTCAACCGCAGAGGGCGAGAGGGGGCTACAATAGCGTGCCTAACGGACCCATGTCACCTATATCACCACATCCGCAATCAGATTATCTCCACAACGGCGCTGGCATGAACCACTCGTACAACGGCGACTTGGGCGATCAAAGACTTCTGGGCAATAACGGTCAGGACAGCTTCCAGCCCGTCCCGCTTAGCCCGCCTCCAACCTACCGCTCCAATTCCCAAGCGCCTTCAGTTACAAGCAGCTCGGACAGATTCATCGCTGGCGCTGCTAACCCAAGCCCTTACGAGTACAGCCGAGGCCCACAGCGGCAGTCAGGCTATCAACATTCCTATGCTCCAACCAGCGACGTGAGCACGAGATACGAGCCGTCGCAGAGTGATTACAGTTCACACAGAATCAGTATGCCCAAGCCGTTCAATCCTGTGCCATCCTCACAGGTGCAAGCTCCATATCCAGAATCCGTTGCGTCACCATATGAAGCGCGGCCGCCGAGTTTCTTACAGGTGGGAAGAAAACCCATCAGTGGAAGTATGAGGGAAGTTTGAACGGCGGCGAGGACGCCATTAATCTTAATGGATCTGTTTTTTCCTGGGGGTTTAATGGAAGTGGAGTCTGGCCAGCATGCGCTTGGAATTCGAGACTTGGTCGAATTCAGCTTACTGAAGTTTCTTGCTGGCATCATCTTCGTTTGATTTTAAGAGCATGGAGCTTTCGGGAAGTCAGTCTTCGCCACCGACCTCACGCGAATGAGATTCTATAGTGGAATTGGGGTATTCACCATCTCTCACAGCGTTCAGCAAGCGATTGGAGTCGAGCATGAAGCCGCAATAATTGCCGATACCGCACAGAATCAAGGCGGGACACGGATTTTGGTCCGATATGTTGAATATGAGCGCAAGATCGATGTGTCCATCACTATCAGACTTGGAATAAACGGGAGCCCAAACAGCATATGACGACAGCTTTCATGATTCTACCTCCCAAAAAAGGGCTGGAAGCTAAGAGCGCTACCTACCCAGGTCGGAGACCATGTAATCTCTGTATTTTTATAGCACGGTGCCCTGATTCCACGCGCTCCTCTCTACTCGCAGGATCGCAGGGCTTTGTACTATACCCACCTGCAGCTATGATTCATCCACATACAACATTCAACAGTTCCCCGCAAAATCTGGTTCTTTTTTGAGGGAGCACCCTTTTTCCGTTTTTTCCCTTTTCAGGGCTTTTCGCTCATGGAAAGGGGAGTCAGTCCTCTGAAATTTTTTGGCCTGGACGGCTTCGAGAATAATTGACATTGGAAGAATCATGGCTATTCTTGCTTTCCCTACTGTGCTTCGTATCGTTTCGTTTCGTGGCGGTTCGTTTCGTCGCCTCGTTCTCTCGTCATGTTGCTCGTTTTTCTTTGTCCTGGTTACTTTCATTGCTGGTGCCGGGACATTTCTCTTTAAAATATGCGGAATGGGGGGCTTCAAGATATAAGGTACGGGGCGGGCAAATGGTAATCGAGTATGTGTATATATAATTATATATTATATCTTCCCCCCATTTCTATTCAGGAAAGGGAGCGAGGCCGCTTTAGTCGGGCACGTCAATGGAGCATCAACGGAACCTGGCCGAGCACACCTCACCTTTGTCGTCTCGCCTCGCCGGAGCCTTGGTCCCGGGACAAGAACCCTTTCTGTAGCTGGAGAGCGTCGTAAGAGCCACGGCAGAGCACGGGGCAGCGTAGCCTGTGTTATAAGGGAGCGAATGTCACGAATAACCACCATCAACATTAATGACCTATGTAGATAGAAAATGTGAGTGCTCATCTATTTTCACAGCCTTGCTGGAGACTTACCGTGCCTGTCACATAGCTGGCTTCCTGACTCAAGAGGAAGACAATCAATCTTGCGACTTCTTCCGGGTCCCCAATCCGCTTCAACGCCGTCCTAACACCCATCGCATCGTGTAGCTCCTGGTCGGTACCTATCGCCTGTGTCAAAGGCGTTCGGATCATGCCCCTGTCGTCCCACGTTATTTTCTTTTTCCCCCTTTGTGTATGGAGAGAGAGAGATCCGATTCCCACTCACGGCGCGACGGCATTCACTCGAATGCCTCGAGACCCTGCTTCCTGCGCGGCGATCTTGGTCAGGCTGAGAACCCCGGCCTTGCTGACACAGTAGGGACCCAGAAAGGGCCAGGCCTGTTGGCCTGCAATGCTGCCGGCGTTGACGATCGAACTCCCATCCTCCAAGGCATTCAGCTCGGCTCGAAGACAGTTTTTGACTCCGTTGAGGTTGACATCCATGATCGAATCCCAATCCCGGTCGGGCAGGATATCCAGCGCGTGACCTTTCCCCTTGATGCCCTGGTTGCCCACGACTCCCGCCATGTTTGCCGCCCCGTGCAGGGCACCAAAGTGCTGCCTCGCACTCGTCACGGCACTCTCCACCGCCGCGGCATCGCGGACGTCGCAGGAAAAGGCGACTCCTCGAACGCCCAATGCCTCGATTTCCACCAGAGTGTCGGCCGGCTTTCGCAAGTCGAGCAGCGCGAGATTCGCGCCTTGTTTCGCCAGCAGAGTGGCAGTCTTGCGGCCCATGCCCGAGGCGGCTCCGGTGACAACGAATGTCTTCTCTTTCAAGTCACTGTACGACATGTCTGTCAGGGTTGATATATTTTTTTCCTCTATGGTGTGTAGTAACAAAAGCCCCCCTTCACGCTCGCTGGGAGGATAAGTCGCACCAGCTCATTTTTTTGTTTCGGAGATCATCTAGACCACAATCCCTCGGATCTCGCTCTCTGATTTCCGAATAGATGAACACGCCAAAAACCGTGGACCCCCTCGGAGATGGCATCAAGTCTACCTAAGTTAGAGCGGAGCACTCCCCCTGACTTAGTCCGTGGGTTGTGAAGCCAAGTAACATCTCTAACTAGGGAGATCCCATCGATTCCAACTAGTCATATCTTGCATTGCTTGAACCTTGAAGCTCCTCCAGACGTGCACAGGCAATATTATATGATGTCCCCATTATGAACATCATTGTTACGGACATTATAATGGCGTGGATCAAACTGCAGATCGGGGAAAGCTAACTTCAGGCATCGAGGGTTAAAGACGGTAGTAGTGATTTTCTGTGGCGCTCTATGCTTTCGTGTACAAAGCGCACTTACACCCTCGAATGGTCCGGCATGAGAACTTGGGTGGAACAACAGTAGCAAGGGTGAGAGTGAGAGACGCCACAATGGTGTTCGTTCTGATATCTTCTTAATGTGGCCGTGGAAGATCAGCGCCGAGGCGCTTTCTGCCCAAGTCGCGAAACATTTGATCTTGCCAATCTCGCCGCAGTGACAAGATGATTTCGAGAGCCCGCGTGCTCATGTTGAAGTGGGACATTTCGCCCAAAGCTTGGAAGCATATCGACAGTTGTTTATGCGCCTGTACCCCCTTGGAACTTGAGAAGACGCAACAATTATGAACATGAATGAGAGCAGCCGTGAGGATGATGGCCACAATTTGTGCGTGGACGCGCCGCAAGTTCCACTGCTGCCGATAGATTACAACCAGGCGGCAGATGGCGTTCGCAGAAGCATCGCAAATGCTTCCACTGTCGTCGGCTTGGTCTGCTTCGAGAATGTTCGTTCCAAGCGCATCGGGCGCAGATATGAATGGCCTCTGCAGGAAGATGACGGCTTCGTGAAATTGCAGACTGTCCAGACATCAGCAGCTGTTGGGGGACGAGGGAGAGAGCATCTCAAAACATACTGTAACATGATCACTGCCGGAGCTATGGGCATGTCGGCGTCGTCATCTGAGTGCAAAGGCACCTGCATCGCGGCGGGTAGAGAATTCCGCCAGTGCCGTAAGTCTCGCATCATATTTCTGGCAAAAGTCTTTGCTTCGGTCATTGCGACTTGTGGCCCAGTATAGCTAGTCAACGATCATCAGCACGCTCAACTGTGATAATAAAAAAAGGGCAGATTGTCAACCAACAGAAACCTTGATATCTTCCGGATTTTGGTTGTCAACTGCGCCATGTAAACGTGGGTCTGACCGATTACGGTCACATCAAGGCCGGCTGGGATCTGTGACGAGCCAGCCTCATCCACATACGGTCGCCATGTTTCTGAGTTGAGTGGCGCAGGAAACGGTATTCTCTGATCATCGTATCGAATTGACGAGGGTCTGCCGCTGTAGGCGCTCCACAAGCTGTAGAAATGGTTCAAGTTAATTCACACGATCGACTTCACACATTCGAGTCGGCGAGGGCTCGCAAGCTCTGCACATTCGGACGAGTAGAACGGAGCTCTTGAAGCATAATACTCACATGTCCAGTCCTTGCGTAGCCCAGAAGACTGTCCGACGTAAATTTGTGATGTCTGGAGTGTCATTGTCTGAGACGCGCGTATGACCGAGTTCCAGATGTAATCCCAAATCCGAAAGTAGTTGCACCGCCATTCCTAAATCTCCATATGAGAGGCTGAGATCGAACATGACAGTCAACTTATATACCTGCGCAGAGCCATCCTGCGCATCGAGTCAGGGTCTGTGAACCGTCACCATGACCAGGAGAACAGCTCTCACCTCTGGAGTCCCTTGCATAGGCCGCTTCGTGGGCCGACAAAGTTACTAGTGCTTGAATTGTTGCCACGCTCGGACTGTCCATCTCGATGTCCAAGAGCACCTTCGCACGGTGGGCGAAGAACTCAGCTGGGTCGTCTTTGATCGCCGGGTGTTTGCGAGTTGCATAGGCGGCGCCAATTCCAAGTCTGGCTTGTTTGTCAGTGGCATGAACACCGGACTGAGACTACGCCATTGGCAGCAAAGGTGGCTTACATTGCATTCTCCAGCGTTGGAGAAAAGTAAGTGGTGGTGTTGCCCGCGCGGTATGATTGCCGATGGTGGTAATAAGCAGCCTCATCCACGACACCGAGGAACGTGTTGTGCCAGGTGAAAAACAAGGTGGTGAGATGTTCTTCGTATCGAGTGTCTGGAGGCCAGTGGAGACTAGCACGTTCAAGAGCATCCTGACCATGACTGCGAATTGTGCGAATAGAGGGCTGAAAGCAATGCTGGAAGCCGTTTCGGATCAGATGCAGATTGCTCGTAGCACCATAGTATCTCAAATGGCCATCCTCGGCGATGCGCAAACAACCTAGCCGACTGGCCAATTGCTCTGTTGGCTCGTCTACCCGGACCTGGCAGGTGTCTGCTTCAGTGGCGCTCGTTTGACGAGCATTGGGTCGGTCAGATTCATTTGATACAGAGAATTCTTCAGGTTCGTTGCTGAACAAGGGGTCGATATCATGTGCTGTACTGACAGTCGTGTAGTCGGGATTGTCCTGTCTGAGTTCGCTGCGGGTGTCCTTTGGCAGGTCAGCATTGGGAGTTTGTGAAAGATGGGCCGTGTCGATCGTCGCTAGGTCCAGCAGATCGAGCTCATCGCTCGCTTCTGCGAAGCCTCCCTGTCCAGCGATTTCGATCCAATAGTCAACCCCGGCGTCTGCAAATTGCGACCTCGTGCGGTGTTCGTCGTGCGGTAGAGGATTGAAAGGATTGAATATTTGTTCTCCTATAGGCGATGGCGTCGAATAGGAGACACTTCCCACCCTGGAAGGCTCTGGATCCGTCATCGGCCACTTGTATGTTCTCGGGGCTTTGGAGCCATGCGGCGACATGGTCGAAGAGTTGTTCGTGGGGATATCTTCGAGATTGGCTCCGTTGTTCTTGGGATTCTTGCTGATGACGGAAGCAGGTCTAATTGATCGCAAATGTTACTCTTTCTTCGCTTTCATGACTGGGGCCAGTGCAGCCCGACTTGGATGGACAGACTCACTTTCGACGATCTTCACCAAGTAAACAATCAACATCACGGTAGACGCAATTGGAACACCGGGGTTTCTTGTTGTCGCACTGTGGCAGTCAGAGTCCTGCGCCCATCTATGCTCGACGCTGTCCAGCTTGTAGCTGGAGACTGACTCTGATCTTGGCTCTCCTGCATGTCATGCATGCATTGGACGAGTATCTCCGCTTCGCTTGTCCTTCACCTTCTGGCGACATATTGCCCTATTTGTGTTCAGTAGACAACTCGAATGAGGCGGGAGAAGTTCCTCTCTGCTGGGAGGTCAAGACTCCCAGGCTCAGCGGACCAAGCCATCCCAAGCATCCCAAGTAAAGAGCCCTCCACTCGGCCCACTGAAGGCAGTGAAGGGTCCCTCGGCAAAGATTAACCTTCTGTAAGTAAGACTGGTGATTTCCGTGGTCTTTTCCGGCATCCGGCCTGGGCAATGACCTGCAAGGGGCAGCACCAGCGAGCCCCCCCCGCAATGGTTTGATTATGAGGCGATGTTCTGCCTGGGGACTTGGTCTTTCGCTCTCCGTTTCCCCACAGCGTTGTCAACGACGGGGGTGACGGAGGGAATGGGCGAGTCCAGTCCACGGTCGCCGCTGCCCCCTCTCAGGTTCCCAAACTTGTTAGCCGACGATGCCTCCACACCACCAGTAACTACCCCAGGTTGACTGAGCCTATTCTGAGGCTGGTCCTCGTGGCCATATTTTGACTTGATTCGGCCCCTTCTTCATCAAAACAGCTTAGATGTTGAGTCTTCAGCGCGCAACATGCACCAAGGCCATGACATGATGGAGATACGAGAAAGCTCTGAAGGACCTCCTTCGGCCACGACCGTGATGAAACGAAAGCGCCGAGCCATCCGGGCATGTAAATCTTGCCGTGAAAGAAAAGTCCGGTGCGACCAGCAGCATCAAGGCATACCATGTACAAACTGCAAGCTCGACTTGAAGCCCTGCGTTGTGCTTGATCGCAAGGTCGCAACACAGCCCGTCATCTCCTCGTCTCGGTGTGGAGTGCAGCGCGAAGCTAGTCGCCCAATGCTTTGTATGTTCCAATCCTCGATAGTCAAGAGATCCCTCTCAGAGGACTAACAACCAGACAAATGCGCAGCGGGAGATGGACCAATTTATTCATATGAATCGCGGAGACAACTCGACAGTAACGACGGAAACATGTCTTTATCCCGGCAGCCAGCCTCCAAATCTTGCAATGCATCCGAGATGACGGGAAGCAAGCCATTCATGCTTGATTCCGCAATCCTAGAGGCACAGAAGTTCAACTGCAGCCCCATACATGCCAACGATGCACCACAGGGGCCTCTATATAAGACGACTAGATGGCAGACCGGTGGCGTACCATCGTTCATTGCACCCTTACCTATCTATCTTGAACCCGTCACCATTGAATTTCTTGCCAACAAAGGCGTGTTCGAAGTTCCGTCGAGGCCACTTGTAAGACAGTTTTTCTCGGCATATTGGGATACTATCCACCCAATTTTCCCTGTCCTGCATCCAGGTCGTGTGGCGTTGGCTTCATCTCTTGCTGCAGTCCCGAATAATAAGGAAATCCCCCGTCCCAGCTTGTTGGAGGTATATGCCGTCATGATGGCTGTTTGTCCTGTAAGCTACCAAGTCGAAAGATTGCAAGAATGTAATGGCCTCAACTGCTGATATCGACTTAGTTTGCGCCGGTGTCTCTTCTACAGAAGCTTGGACACAATAACGCCCAAGATGCTCAGCAGCTTTACTATGAGCGCGCCAGGCATCTCCTACATTGCGATGGCGAATCTGATCCTATCAACCGTTTACAGGCCCTCTTACTTATGACCCAAAGCACCGAGGTAAGAGATGGTGCAAGAGATTGCTGCTTCTGGTCTGGGACTGCGTTAGCCTATGCCGAGTCCCTAGACCTCTTGAAAATGTTGCGTGCTACAAAGGATGCTGAACATAAGGAATTTTTGCACCGATTATGGTGTTGCTGCTTCGTCAGCGAGACAATTTTCGCCTTCAGTCGGCGGCGGTCGCCAAAAATGCGAATGGATCTCGAGTGTGAGCATGTTTTGCGATCACAAGAGTTCAACGACCAGAGATTACCGGTCGCAAGAGTGGTCTCATCCACATGCAATCCCGCCGATGGTACGGCGCATCCCATGGAACCCTTTGGAAATCTCGTGCGCCTGATGTCTCATATCCATTACATGCTCTCAATAAAGCACGCCCCGCCATATCTGTCAAGTCATCGTGATACCATCGCACATACGAGTGGGACGGACACTTCCATGACTCTCACAAGTCCGGAACTGACGAATTGTCGCAATCAATTGCAGAAGAGCGCAGGAATCTTGTCTGAGAAGCTCAGGCAATCACCAGATGAGCATTCCTCGTCGAACGCTGGACAACGTGCAGCATCAGAGCGCCTTTTCTTGCGGATGATCATGGCGGCTGCAGATTGCGTGTTTTATTTTGACTCAAGTTGCTCATTGCGGTGCCGCCATACAGCAAATGACAGAGTGAGGTGCAGCAAGCTTAGGAAAAAGGCATGCGATGCTGCACATCAAAGTTCTCAGCTAGCCAAAGATGCCTTGGGTTCACAATGTCCGGATTTTATGCCCGCTTGGAGGTGAGTTCGCGATCGCGCTGAATGCTATCGCCCGCTAATGCACGAAGCCTCCAATTTCTCTTGCCTCCCGTGACGATCTTAATCCTTGAGGCCAAATCATTGGATGGAGAGGCACGCGACCTAGCGATCCAAAGATTGATATCTTTGACGGGGCTTCTGCAAACGCTCGGAAAGAGATTTATGCCTGTGCAACGGGCCGTGACACTGTTAGAGGCTGCTAGCAAGAGTGCTGGCGGTCCTTTACAGACACCTGGAATCCCTTCACCAGACCGTATGTCACATCCTATTTCTCGAGAAACCCGCAACATCAACTTTTTGCTGACTGTTTCCCAGTCTTTCCAACACATCTGCAGTCGCTTGGCCCGGGCACTGAAGACGGAAAGGATTCAAGGCAAGGCAAGGCGACAGGCGGGGAACAACTTAGCCCCAACAATTTAGAATGGATTCGAGCAGCCACTGTTTCAACACCACCTGCAGTGGCAGAAAGTCCAGCACGAAAGGCCGCAGGCCAGGACATCGGCGGCCTCCCATCGTGTTATCTCTTCGAGGTCGAGGACCGCTATGACGAGCAACCAAACGCCGCTGGTAACACGGTGTTCGGAAGTTGGTCGTCCCCTTCATCGGCTGATCCTTACTCTCAGCAGTGTGTCCAGCCGACCCTCAACGAATTTACCGCAATTGACGACATCACATCACCTTGGCTAGACGGATGGGAAGACATTTTGCAGAGCTAAAGTTGGAACTGATATCCTTTTGCAGACCGACAGACGATTCACATAATTTACAGTCGCGTGCTTTTATACATTGAATAAGGGAACACCTACGGAACTATCCAAGGCGCAAGACAGATCTAATCACGCCTTTTCAACATGCCTACATTGTGTCTTAGGAAACGCCGTGCTTTCCGAGTTGATCGATTTCGTGCTCGGGATTGTAATCTTTCGGGAGACCGGTCGGTCCTTGGGAACTCATGCAAATGCTTCCCCAGGCAGCGTGGGCCCCTGTTCCGCCGACATTTCGAGCGCACAAGCTCTAGCATCGACTCTGCAGGGTCATGTCATCCTGCGAGACGCCTTCTCTGGGGTTACCCCAGATGCACCAGCCATCAGAATTCCTCGGTCGGAGATTGGTGAATTCGGAGATCTTTCTCCTCGGCATCTGGGGTATCGACCAGGTCCCCTGACCTAGAGCTTTGGGTATATACCTGGAGGGTGCTCCAGCTCGCTCATGGACCATTGGCTATTATGAGATTTATGGAGCAGACGCATCAGTTGGTGGTGCAGTATATCTACAAGATCGAAGTGCAACTTGTTGTCAACAGTTCCGACCCATTTGGCTTCATCATACCTTTGTAAGGATGGGAAACTTTCACATTGGCTATTGGAGCTCGCTCAAAGGAGTGTGGCTCCAATTCAGCATCATGCTCTCGTCCGCCATGGCTTTTCTGCTGTTTGGCTACGACCAGGGAGTTTTTGGGGGTCTGATAGCGACTCCGCAGCTGCTGAACGGGCTTGGGATCGCGTCTACTGATGCCAACCTGCAAGGGACCGTGGTGGCTATCTACGACATCGGTTGTCTGGTCGGCTGTATCGGGACCGCGATTTTCGGGATGAAGGTCGGCCGCCGCGTCCTGGTGATGATCGGATGCTGTCTTCTGATTCTCGGTGCTGGACTTCAAGGCGGAGCAACATCGGTCCCCATGATGATTGCTGGCCGAATCGTAGGCGGATTCGGCACGGGCATCAACTCTTCCATCATCCCCGTGTGGGTGTCAGAATGTGCTCACGCCTCCCGCCGCGGCGCCCTCGTATCGGTACAGATCTCGATCGTCATCCTCGGCCTTGTCATTGCGTACTGGTTCGACTACGGGACCGTCAAAAACATGACCGGGGGGATCGTTTGGCGCCTTCCACTCTATTTTCAGATGGTCTTCTGCGTTCTTACGCTTGGGACTATTCTGCTGATGCCCGAATCACCACGGTATCTGTACAGTAAGGGCCATCTCGAAGAAGCAGACTCGGTCATTGCTCGCATTTTCAACGTGGCCATCGACCACCCCACTGTTCTACAACATCGTCGCGAGGTCATCCAGGCTTTGGAGGTTGAACATGAAGTCAAATTCCGGATTTCGGACATCTTGTTCGATCGGTCGCCTGTCAACGCAACATGGCGAATCTGGATTTGCATCCTGATCCAGTTCTTTCAACAGCTTGGGGGTATCTGCTTGATAGCGTACTACGCCTCCTATCTCTTCATCAACAATCTCGGCATGACTCAGAATCAGGCAGGCATCACTTCGGGAGGCTTGTCCCTCGTCTTCTGGGGTGGCACACTGACCGCTATCTGGTCTGTCGAAGTCCTGGGCCGGCGGCCCGTCCTGCTCTGGGGAGCTGTGGGTTGCTCAATCTGCATGATCTGCTACACCATCGGGCTTGGAGTGTACAACGACTCGTCCTTGACAGCATCGGTTGTCTTTATTTTCTTGTTCGAATTCTGCTACGGTTGTTCGTGGTGCGGTCTGCCTTTCCTCTACGCTGCTGAAGTGACACCGCTTCATCTACGCCATGCAGGCTCAGCACTGTCCGTGGGTATGGAGTGGCTCATGACCTTTGTGGTAGTCAAGGTAAGTCGCGTACCCCATTTGCTGGTCCGATCCAGCAAACCATCAATGGGTGGATAACGATTGATCTAACCATTCTCTGTTTCTCCCCACACAGGTTGGCCCAATTGGCATCACGCACGCTGGATGGAAATTCTACCTTCTCTTCTGCATCGGCAACGTCTTACAGGTCTTGTTCATCTACTTGTTTGTCAAGGAGACCAAGGGTCTTACTCTGGAAGAAATTGACTACCTCTACGCCAAACCAGAGCATCGTGCCGAGCTTGAGGAGAAGTTGCGTCACCATAGGCTTGACAAAGAGGCTGGGGAGGCGGTCCTGACAGATCAAAGAGACGAAAAGGTTCATACTAACCCCTCACATGCACAGTATGAGTATTCGTCTAAGCCATTTTCCCCCCCTTCCTAGAAAATGCTGGGTTGGCCTGAAGATATCACTTTTTCCGAGATGAAGATTGGCATCGACCACAAATTAAAAACCCCACTGTGTCCAGACCCTATGTGAACCAGAACAGGAACAAATACAACGTACAGGCAACTGTCAATTCTTTCCTTTTCTTGCTCTCCTCGATGTAATCAGCCGTACGAAGTAGAACTTTTGACCATAACTTCGCTTGCTAATATTCCTTTGGCTGGTTGCATTGAACTGTCCGCTAGGGGGGGCTCAGTCAGTACTGCAGCTGCTGAAGCAGTTCGAGCAGCGCAGTGATTAATTTGCAGATTGACTTCAACTATGACATAGGAGTCGTATTACTGATCTAACAAGAAAATCGGTTGTCTTGTCGGAGTAACGAGCAGTTTCTTTCAGATCGGTGTCGACGGGTTTTAGAAGTGTTGGAACAAATCACCAGGGGTCAAATACCACCGTGGTAGGTATAGAAACGACGAAGTCTTTTCACCCATAAAACTGTAAAGTATTTCCTACGTGAAGAGGTGCCATCCGTGTTACTCGGCCGGCTTCGTTGTCTGCGCCAGATTTTGACAAGTCTGGCCGGAAATTCTACAGACCTCCCACCACAGCCTTGGAAACGTCGACTGCAAGGTGTGTCGTAAAGTCAAGGGTGAGCCTCCTTGGTCATCATTGTCCCATTCATGGATCCCCTCCACGATAGGCGGCGGAATGTCATTGTCCACCAGGTAATCCGTGGTATCCTGTCCACTCACCTGGGCCACGGTTGTTCCGTTGCCCAGCCACGCCATGGTGTTGGAGCCCAAGGCTTCGAGATATTCATATTCGAAATCTTCGAAGCGGGGGTTTTCCAGAGCCTTCTGGGTATGTATAGAAGCGCCAGGCCACAGCGCGGTGACACGGCCGTTCTGCTTGTTGCGTTTGAACCAGGATTTGCACTGTTTGTGTTGGCTTTGTTAGCTGGCCGCGGCACCAAACGAGAGCGACGAGGAGGAAGGGAGAGGATGGAGGTAAACAAACACTCCAAAAGATGGAGTCTTTTGAAAACGTACGGTTTCGGTGAAAACTGTTTTGGAAAAGTATTCGTCGACGTGTCTGACGAAGTCGCTGGTGGCTTGCTCACTGATAAATGCAACGAGGTCAGCCATGTGTACCTGCAACTTTGAATTCGTGCTTGAGGTACAATGCATGTTACGTGTCAAGGAAAAGGGGTTATGAGGTCTTTTCCACATACGTAACGACCATGGACTTTAGGTACTCTCGCTGGATCTTCTGCACAAGCTTGACGAGGTAGAGTGTCACCGACTCGAGGAAGAATATCGCCGACCCGGATCCGGCGCCACCATTCGGGCCAAAGTATATGAAGAAGTTTGGCATTTTCGGTACACAAATCGAGAGGTAGGCTTGAGGGTCGGGATTCCATATGTCGGCGAGAGTCGTCCCATCGAGTCCAACGATGGGTGGTTCGTTTTCCATGGACCTGTCACACCATCAACCGGTCAGCGCATATGATTCTCGCCCGGACACAGGAAGCTGAGCACAATAACAAACGACATACGTGTCGTAGCCTGTGGCGCAGATGATAACGTCCACTTCGCGCACTTTTCCATCATTCGCCTTGATACCGTTCTCCACCACGGTGTCGATGCCACAGCCGATGAAGTCAACGTTGTCCTCGACCAGCGCTTCTAAGAAGCCGGGGCCAGGCGTGAGCCGGCGGCAGAACGGCGAAAAGTCCGGTCGTAAGCTCTCATAGATGTGTGGCTTCTTGGAGAGTTTCTGCTTCATCGACTCGTCATTCAGCGCGAAGAAGGCCTTTTGCTCTTCGGTGCCCTTGAACAAGATTTCGGGTTTGGCGTTCATGATTCGCTCAATTTCCCGACGATATCTCAGATACTCTTCGGGCTTCTCACGGAACATCCTGAGCTCATCGGCCGAATATTTGTCTGAAGGGTCAATCATTATTCCCCAGTCTTGTGCCATCGGATCTTCTGGCCCGATTAGACTTACAGTTATCCGTCACTCCTCGGTTGGATTTGTCGGATCCGTAGCCAACTGGTGATACCCATGTCTTACCCTTCATATAATGGTCAATTCGAGCCGCGGTGGGCTGGAGCTGAGGCACAATCTGGATTCCTGATGAGCCACCTCCGATAACAGCTATTCTTTTCCCCTTGGGATCCAGCCGGGTCTCCCAGCTCTTTCGATCCGCTGAGTGGAGGAGAGTCCCTTTGAAATTGCGAAGGCCTGGAATGTCCGGCCACTCCCACCTATTTAGAATTCCGGTGGCTTTGATCAAGATGTCTGCTCGGTCAGTGAATTTCTGGGGTCCTCGTCAGCACATGTGAAGTTATGTGTATTGTTATTTTCTGGACAGCGGAAAATAGTTTGCATACTCTTCCTTTCTCGAGCTCTTCAATCTCAACCTCCCATTTTCCGTCCGACGCCTGCCACTGGGCTCCAAGGAAAAGATGTCGGAGTTTGACGTAGCGCTCAACATCGTATCGCCGTGCTACATTCTTTAGGTAGCGATGGATTTCTGGGCCCGCGGCATAGAAAGAACTCCAGTTGAGGTTATTCGCAAATGTGAATTGGTAACTGTGCGCAGGAATGTCACAGGCCACACCAGGGTAGCTGGAACACATGTTTTTAGTATCCATGGCGTGGAACGTGTATAGCACTATGGCTGGGTGACTATACCGATTCTCGTGCCACGTTCCACCGATGTCGTCCGATTTGTCGTAGATCACAAGCTCTAGTTTCTTGATCTTCTGAGGGAACCGGATGGCTGTAAGCATGCCAGAGATACCTGCTCCTATACAGATCACTTTGATCGGGCGATCATCATCGATGGACTTTTGGCTGGGTGCCGACCAGTCAGTCTGCGTTTCGTTGGCGGCAATCATCGCGCTGGTAGAGTCTGGCAGTATTCGTGGTTTTCTCAGATATGTTTCCGAATAAGACTTGATGATCAAAACACATTTACGGCGCCTACAAGCGTATCTTCAACAATCCATAGCCTCACCTTCTCCGTTCCTCGGTTTATACGGACCCACATTCCAGGACAGGAATTCGCTTTCTCGTCGGATTTGTGTGGAGTGTAATGCTTTAATTTGGCCCTCCGAGGTACAGGTAGCCTCGACTAGTAATTAAATTCCGAAGGTATTACTCGTCGACATTTCCGCCACAAAGCCTTTGTTGCTCGTGTGCTGGTCAGCATTCTCTTCACAAGTCCCCGTCCGTTTGCTTGCACCATCCATTCTCCGAGAGGGACGCTGAACTAAGGCAGGGCAAATTCGACTTGAAAGCAACTGAAGCGCTAGACCTGATGTCAGCGGCCATTTCAACGGAGATGTGGCATCCTTGGGATTTCCCGGATAGACACTTCGCTACTTGGATGTACGCGTCGATCAACATAGAACTAATTGAAGGCTGAAGCTGAGAAGATCCCCCGGCCGGAAATGCGTCCTGAGCTGTGCTAGAAAGATACAATGGAGGCTAATCTACTTCGTGACGCGGTCATCGTTGGTGCCGTATCCGCAAGCATCTGCCTTTCTGACGAGCTCCGGAACTTGGGATATAGATGCAAAATCTTTCAGAGCGCGACAGATGTAGGGGTTATGTGGCGCCAGGGCTGTTACCTAGGTACAGATGTAGACACTAATGTCGTACTCTACGAATACTCTATATAGGATGTGTGGAAGCGTTGGACACGGAGCCAAGCATTTCCAGGTTTCCAGCAATTAAAAAACTATATCGACCACGTAGATAAGATACTCCTCCTACTGTGCTGGATAGAACTGATCGCAAAACCAAGTCCACGATTCGGCAATGTGCATACGAGCAAAAAAGCTTCCTCTCTGGTGAGCGTGTGGACCAGGGCAGCTAGCAAGTATGCTGCAAACGAGTTGATTGTCAGAGACGTGATGGCAGCGCTGCCGGTGGGCATGAGGCTGGCGCTGTAATCGGCCCGTACTCTGCTGTGTCTCACACGATGCTCCCGAATGCTCGGCTGGGGCATATATAGCATTGGTAATGGGATCGGAAATGAAAATGGAGTTGGCGGTGCAACCTTGTTTGTATGTATGTACCTACATACATCCTTGGTCCTTAGTACTTACTACTAGAGGATATGTATGTTCGTGGCCCTTTTAGATAATTTCCGCAGTATATAGACAAATAGAGACAGCCCTGTGTCGATCAGACAGGTGACATTGTGAGAACGGAACTCGAATGAACAGGACTACGAAATACCTCGTACATAGCTCTCCACGTCCTCAAACGCCTTGTATAGGAGGAGCCCGCCTCCACGTCAAAGGTTCAGAGTCTCAACGAAAAAGACAATCGGTCCCTTCTTCAGCAATCCATCCACCCCGTCCTCCTCATCCGCCACCTTCTCATGTCTCCGAGGTCTTGGGCCACCGTCTCTCACACTGCTGGCTAGTTACTAACGTTTTCTCAAGTCTCACAATTCGTCCTTCCTCCTCCCATTTTCCACCTCTTTACTATCACTATCCTCTACCACAGGCGCGCCCTGGATGTCTCTGACGAGCACGGGTAACCCTTCAAGCGCCGCATGCCCTGCAAACCCATCCGTGAGTCTCAAAGCCGACGCCTCACGCAGGAAAGTCAAACCCAAAAAAGCCTCCGGCTCCCAGGGCACTCCTCCCCTTTCAGAGACCGGAGGTAGGTCGAAGACGTTGAACTCGACATCTGCAAACTGTTTGAGCTGCCCTGCAGGTCCGACGAGCAAGTTCAGTGTAATTTTCGACTCTGGTGTGACCTTGAAAGCGGGCGTGCCTAGGGCGGCGGGTCGTTGATCTTCCTTTGCGATGGGGCTGAGTTCGGACGAGGTCGGCGAGATGCCCAAAGCCGACAGCATGCCGGATGAGATGTAATTCTCGATCAGCGCCAGGTCGATGTCTGCCAGCAGCGTGACGGGCTCTTTGGCATTGTTCTCAACGATGATTGGAAGAGTGTCCTGATCCTGACCGGCGAGCTCCGCAGCATAGAATTGCCGGGTTGGGTCCGTTTCGGCAGCGTTGGCATTTGGTGAAGGGGTATCGGTAGGCTTGGCGGTGTGACTGGCGCCAGAATCGGCAGCTTTAAAGATAGTCATAAAGGGACCGTTGGTGCCTGGAAAACAAGTACGGCCCACACATGTAACAACAGGTTCAGCGCGATCAATGGCTGTCCAATGGCTCCATCTTTGGCCAGTGGGCACAGCGCAGCTTCGACCAACGCAGGCTGCAATAGGCCACCCATGTCTCCAGCGCTCGAAGCCTCGGCAGAAGCCATCGGGACAGCCTGCGGAACAGCAAGTTTCCGTGGCAATGGCAGGCGAAGCTGTTCCCGTGCGAGCAGCGTCAGGAGGAGGTGTCGTGTCGAATGGATAGATGCCATTGCATAATCCTAAGGCGCAGGTCGGATCACAACAGCCAGAAAACGACTTGGCATCAAATGTCGTGCTCTGATCGCCGCTAAGGGAACTGAAGATTGACTTCACACTGGCCGTGATGGTGGGGTTGGGTTCCTGCGTCTGGGTAGCCACCAGAGTCTTTTGTGGTTGCTCGGTTGCATTGATAGGTGATGACAGCAGGAGAGCAATGAGGGGAAGAAACACCGGGAAAAACATCTTGCTGGAGTATGAGGTGGCAGAGCAATTTTTTTCTCTTTGGGTCAATGGTCTCGAATCAGACCACAGGTTCGAAGGCTGGCAAGACATTTATATCCCTAGTCTCTGAACGACTCGGTGTAAACGTGATCGCCCCTGGTATCAGTCGCGGTTGGAAATAGATTTCACCGCCCCAAAGGTTCCTGGAAGCATAGCTTGTGCGAGTGTGGACCTCGCTATTGGTCGTAATACAGTTTGGGCCGCCTAACACAACTGTTCAGAGAAAAGCACAGCACGTTGAGTTCTAGCGATTCGTCGGTCGTAACCGAACGCACCGAGGCGCAATATCGGCGGTAGAAGGGAACACAGCCATCGAAAGCCTGGCGAGTAGGCAGAGCAGCAATTGCATCGACAAGAGGTCGCTGTTTCAAGCGCTATTGGTGGATTTCTGTAGGATGGCCATATGGTAGGTCGATTCAATCGATCGACCCAGAAGAGCTGAACGCCCTTCACATGCGAGTCAAGCAATAGGGAAGTCCCTCCGATGAGGCCGCTGACATGCAGAGGCCCCCTGGCCAATGAATACGAGCAGTGAACAGGGGGTGGTTTTTGCCTTGCGATGCCAGCTGAACGTTAGGCGGCGAATATCAACTAGAGCCCGCCCGTCGATTGTGAGATCGGGTAGCTTACTGGCTGATTTTCCAGATACCAGTAGTCCGGGGCGCCTGAACAGGCCATCCTGACACGTGCATGTCCAAAAGAACCGCAAATCTGGTTGACCACTGGGATAATTACGTTCTGTAGGCGCAGGGGAAAACCCCATCGGACAATCAGGTTGTCTACCGAAGTTCCCGTCCCTTAGGCATTCTGTGCGCCCTCTAGAGGTTTTGAGACCTTTATCAGTTTTGAGACGGGAGTACGTATGTCCAGAGACGGCTCGGTTGCATGATGTGGCCAAAGAAATGTCAGAAATCGGTTTGCGCTATGGGATGAGTTGCCCTGTTTCCCTGGACACCTTCACGGTTTCACTGTGCCTTCCAACTATTGCCGACTCGATATCGAATTGCATTCACAGCATTACGCCGAACTCGAAACCCTGTTGGGCGCTGCCGTCGACAAGGATTCGCCTCGTCTCCTGTGTGAGAACCCGACTTACTTCCTCCCTCGAAGTGGTCCCATTAGTCGAAGCTCCCGTTTGCTTGTCTCCAAAAGCAGCCTGAGAGAGTCCTAGCAAGCTCAGTTTCGCTGCAATATCGCGAACATTGCCACGGGATGCCCAGTATGCTTGGACGGCAAGTATCAGTCCAAGCAAGGGATAGCAGAAACTCAATGCCACCAACATAGCCAGAGGTGGGATAGGCACTTTGGAAAGGAGCATATGTTCACGCAGCTGTTGCGCTAGGGCAAGGCGACCCGTAGTGTACCCGCCGATTTCTGCTAAGACCTTGGTGGAGTACAGACTTCCGAATTTCTGGAGAAAGGACTCAGTCGTATCTCCAGCAAGTGCGGACTGCGTGAGGAAGTCCTGTAGATCAGAATCCCCGCCACTGATTGTCGCGTACAGTAAAGACCCATGGTAGATTTCCAGAACACTGCCATTGCCGGTTGGCACGGCGTTGATACTCTGCAGGCGTCCGTCAACCCAAGTATACGAGACATTGTAAGATGCGACGGCACAATTAAGGATAAAATCCAGGACGCCGTCGGAGAGGAAAGTGGCGTTGTTGTTAGGTGCCATCATTTCACTGCCAGACACAAACTGCCCACTTGTTGTGGAAATTCGCGCGGCGATGCCGACGTAGAACGGATTCACCAATTCAGAGTTGGGATACGGAGAGATGCTCAGATCGAAAAGGCCCGAGTCGTTGTAGCCAACAGTATTGTAGATGTTTTTCATTCCTGAATCGCTAAAAAAAGAGTACATCAGGTTCGCGGCCCCTTTGTACATCAAGAACGAGCGATATGGATCCGGAGGACGTGGGTCCAATAGGCTGGTGCTCACAATGGGGGGCATTCCGATAGTGCCGTGGAACATGTCGGTGCAGCTGAAGTTGGTATAATAATCATCCCAAAGTACCATGCCGCAGCTAGCTGGATTGACAAAGCGACACGTTGTCGAGATACCAATGGTGGATGCTTCATAATCAGTGTTGGGAACAATCGATTCTTGCTGCGGAATGAGGTATGCTAAATCAGCACCCGGAACGTCGTCTGTTGCCGTGATTCGAATCTCTGAAAGTTGCGAAGTATTATGGAAGAGCCGATTCGTTTCTGTTGCCTCGAAGTTTGCATTAGGATCAACTACCCCGGAGTCCGTTGTGTCGGAACAAGGAAATCCCACAAAAGTGCGATTAAATGTCAAGCAAAATTCTGAGAGGCCACGTCCAAATTCCTGGTTGGGTTGCGGTGGGACCGAGATCTGATCAAACTCAACGGTCGACGTCGTGTAATGCAAGATGGTGTCCGCCACGAACACGGCAGCAGCCATCAGCAAACTCAGGAGCATCATGGAAGCAGCACAGTGCAGAACTGGCGGGATGCTGGGTCTTCGCCGGCGGACAAGGTACCAAAGATACGAGCGTAATTGCTGTGCAGACGCGACCAAAATCCCGATCAGCAAACTCATCTGAAAGGGTGTCGGTAGGTTGAGATATTTTGCTTCTCTGGATGCATCCCGCAGTCTCCGCGAGACGGGAAGCGCAAAGACAGATAGTATGAAGGAGCCTAGCAGAGGTGCCAATGTGGACAGAAAGCTGGCGACGAAGACCAATCGGGCTGTTGGAGGTTAGTTATAAGCAACAGCTTTGTGGATGTCGGGAAACTCACTTGCAGCAAAGTTGACAAGGACGAATCCAGGCCCATGTACTGATGCTTCTGTTGGATTGAAAAGACTTGGAACCGGCTGGACTTTGTACATATAAATCAGGGCAAGTAGAGTAGCAGCCAGAAGAGCGATAGGTACGCAAATAATTGTTGCTGGGAGTAATACTGTCTGAATTAGATTTTCATTGGCGAGCAGTTCTGGATCGAGGCGAGACTCTTCTTCGGGAGTGTCATACTGTCGTCGTATGAAAGAATTTCTGATGTCGTTCTGCTCAAGCGGCAATTCGTTTCGAAAGCCTACAGATGGGGTGCCGTTTTTCTCCACGAGAATCTCCTCTTGCGAGGGGAGAGTCCAGCTCTGTCTGTTGGTGAGAAAGGCAGCAACTCGCTCCGAGAAGGAGACGAGGTTCTTGGGACGTCGAGTATCGCTTTCCATGGTGGACCACATCAGGATAAACCACCAACGTAAGGTGATAATTGTTTCGGGGAACGAGAATATAAAGGTGAGCACGAATACAGATCACGTACCTGACACTCAACCCATAACCACGGCCGCACATATGAAGGTACTACTTGTTCTTTCCTGCTTTCTGGACTGCCAAGGCGTATCCCGGTGGCGCAGTGCAAGGAGTGGCCGACAACATGACGCTGAAGGTCAGCCTCACAGCTCGACGGCCTCGGGTATCCCTATTGGCTGGACGTGGAACTACCTGCGTATAACTGTGGACCATTGAGATCGCACAGCTGGGGTTCCGGTGCAACGGTTCAGTTGGAAAAAGGCAATTTATGCATATACGAGCAGCTGTTTCATTGATGAGCAGAACTTTTGCATGGTGTGACGGGAACCCCTTTGCGCAGGGCCCTTGGGTGGCCTTATCCGAGTGCATGAGCCAGTTGGAAGATTGATATCTTTTCCGCGATAGCGTCCACAGCAGCGAACAGGGATTGGTGTGAGGGCTGTAGCCAGCCAGCCAGCCAAAGCAACAGTGATGACTTGAGGTTTGGTTCATTCGACATGGCCTCAGGCCTACAGTTGCCATGTGCTAAATCATGAAAGTGGAAAGTACAAGGATGGTACATTTGAAATTACAAAAATCGGAATGCAGAAAAAGGATGACCTTTGGTACTCAAGCCTGAGGGGTGTATGCAACACTATGCCTCGCGGTTGAGAAGAGTTAATATTACATGGAGAAGGATGTGAGGATGAGAAGGGAAGATGAAGAAAGAGGAGAGACGCAGGCAGACAAGCCGGCGACGGTTCGGAGTTGAGCACGTGACCGACAACCTGCGAGCCGCAGGCGCCATTCGAGACGCGCAGCTTCATCATCCAAACCATCCAAAGCAGCTTCACCTCAATCCCTAATCCATCATCCCACGTCTGCCTTGCTGCAGCTCTCTGTTTCCTTCCTTTTCTTGCTTCTGTATCAACACCCTTCTTCGACTCGTGTATTTTGTGAAACTTCTTTTCGAATCGCCCTACAGCAACCAAGCAGCTTCTGCCCGCTCCGTAACCATGGACACACTCGTTGCCCAATACACTCAGTCTCCCTTCGCCAATGAAGGCTTCACATCAGAAGAACAAAATGATTACTGCGAAACCCTGCCTCCTCTTTCCCTCAAGTTCGCCCTACCGCCCGTCCCGCGACCTTCTGCCTTTTTGCGAGCAGCGACCGACGACTACTCCAACCCGAATTGCCCGATCAAGATTGCTCATGGTACCACCACCTTAGCGTTCCGGTTCAAAGGGGGAATCATCGTCGCAACCGATTCAAGAGCCACCGCCGGAAACTGGATCGCCTCGCAAACAGTCAAGAAGGTCATTGAGATTAATCCGATGCTGCTAGGGACCATGGCCGGGGGAGCTGCTGTAAGTTTGACACCTGCAACCGTCTTAGGGCGTCTATTGACAATCTGCAGGACTGCCAATATTGGCTTGCATATCTCGGTGTTCAATGTCGATTACACGAACTTCACCATAAGCGACGCATCTCAGTCGCTGCAGCCTCCAAGATTCTGGCCAACCTAGTGTATTCTTACAAAGGAATGGGATTGTCAATGGGAACCATGATTACGGGGGTGACGCCTCAAGAGGGACCTGCGCTTTACTACATTGACTCAGACGGTACACGATTGGCGGGCAATCTCTTCTGTGTCGGATCAGGTCAAACCTTTGCTTATGGTGTTCTGGATGCTCTCTACAAATATGATCTGGAAGATGAAGAGGCCCTGGAGTTGGGCAGACGGAGTATCCTGGCAGCCACCCACCGAGACGCCTACTCCGGTGGATACATCAACCTTTACCACGTCAAGGAGGATGGTTGGGTCAAGCATGGTTTCTCCGACACGAACCCGATATTCTGGGAAACGAAACTGCAGAAGGGCGAGTTTTCCAACGTCACAAGCGAGTTAGTTTGAGGAGGTGTCGTGTGAAGTGAAAGGAGGCACATGCATTTTCGCTGCCGGGCGTTGGACTGGGGCGGATGGATGGAACTGTACCAACATACTGAATCAGTGTGTACTAGAAGGCTTTTCCAAGGCTTTTCACCCAGTGTATTACAAATGCTGGGAATGAGAACAAGGCGACTATGCAACCGAAACCGCCACAACAGTGCTTGTCGCCGGTATTCCTCTTTCCCCAGGAGACATGTTTACTGTCTAGCTAGCTACTTTTTGCCCATTTCCTCGAGCACGCCCTCCAAGCGTTGCTGTTCGTCCGCGTTCAGCAACCACTTTAACTCTTCTCTAGAGTGACTGCCCAGTGCCTCAGCCATTCGCTCTGCAGTCATGAAGTCGTGGTCCGCGTAGTCGAACCCCGGAACCACCGTCTCGCTGATCAACAGGCCTTGCTCACTTGTTGCGTCATCACCTCCCTTGTCGTCGTCCGGAAGCAGAAAACTCGCCTTGAACTTCCCTCCCTCGACGATCCACTGTACCTTTTCTCCCTTCTGAATGTCCTTGCCCACCACAAAGGTCTCGATTGGAACTTCGCCGCTCCCAGAAGAATCTCTCTGATCGGAATGCAAGATGACATAGCGCCCTCGGCCCCAGTGCAGGGTGTGCACTGTCCGGCCCCTATTGCGATGGAACCGTCCCACGGGACTCTTGGGGCTCAAGAAATAGTAGATTGTCGTCGACGCGTTCCTGGTGTCGGATGTGTCCTTGGAAGTGGCATTCGTCAACAACGGAAGGTTTTTGAAGGGGTTGGGCACAAGGAGGCGGTCGCGGTCTGTTTCATGGAAATAGCCGCCTTCAATGTGGGATTGAAGCTGGAGGGTGGTAATGGTACGTGAGATAGCTTGGGATTCGGCAGGCGGTGGTGATGAGAGGAGACAGCGGGCATAGTGGGTATCAGTTCCTGGGATTATCGACATGGTTTCTTAATTCTTCGCGGATTTCAGACCGGGACACCTAATGGATGGAGTCCTTGACATCGGTTTATCGACAAGTCGAGAGTCGAAGGAGAAGGAGTCGTAATTGAGATGCACCAGATAGACTGAATCTCATGCTTATCTAAGCAAAGTTCAGTCGGATTCGGTGGGATGTCTTGGTGCCGTGCATATAATCCTTGGGTTGGCCTGAACGATCCACCCTGACATGGTGGATAGATGTCCAAATGGGGTTCAATGAAATGGGACGACTCTGTGCAAAGTGCCGCCAGAGTGACGTGTAAGCCCCAGAGAGGCAATTCGGTTCGTGGGATTCTAACATTTGAATGCCGCTTCTCATGTCAACCTCCTGGAGTGGCTGAGCGTCTCCATATCACCACCGCCGCTGCGGCCGCGCAAACCACCACCCCCAGTGCTAGCCCATATCTCATCAACTGCCCATCATCATCCTCTTGAAGTGGGCGCGGGTATGCTGTGACTGGCTCTAAGCCGGCTTCGGAAATTACCACGAACAATTCCTGAATTGAAGGCCAAGTGACACTGGTGGACATGGGAGGTCCTTGTGGCATGCGCTGGATTTGAGCAACATACTCATCGGGCTGGTTTTCAGCTCTTTGAGTGGTTCGATCAAGGTCAGCCTTCAGAGCGACATACACCGACGGCAGATCTTCTAGGTGGGGATACGTTTTCCGGATGTTGGGGATGTAAGCGAATGAGTCTGGGTCCGATGAATCGTAAGTGTAGACAATTACGTCGCACTGATCGAGAAGTTTGCTCTTGTTCTCCAGTACAGCGGCCTCGGATTCTCCCAACTCCTTCAATATGAGGTAACATTGTCTTCCGCCGGGTAGTTCCACAGTATTGACTGCCACCCGAGGCTGGATAGTGGGATTATAAAGATTGTTGAACGGTTGAGCCAAGAATGCGTCCAGTAAGGAAGACTTGCCAGACTGAGGAGCACCCAGGACATGAGCAAGAATGACATTCCGGCCTACTCGGCCTGGTTTCCGCCTTCGCTTGCGGGGTTTCGTCAACTTCAAAGCAGCAGTTGTGCTGGAATTTGAACGATCCGTAGATTCAAAACCCAGATATGCGAGGTATTCCAGCGTGGTCTTTGGAGACGTAAAGGTGGTCATGGACCACTGTGCAAGCCAACCTTGCAGAGTGACATGCCCCGCATCATTTCTCGTGGTACAAGAAGGGAAGTTGTTGTCGACCCATAGCTGCGGAATTCCGGGCGTTGGGGCAAACAAAGATGCCAGCTCTTCATCTTTCAGGCCACCATCGTTGTCTCGGTCGGAAGTAAGGAACAGATCGACCAAGAAGCGATAACCAGCCGGGGACAGCTCAGCGGAAGCATACTCGGGCACTTCGAACTTGGGATGTAAGAACGATTCCTGTAGAGACAGGCTATCGGTGTATTGAAATGTCCGCAGTATGACCCATATCGTCTCATGACGACCCTTTTCGGCGTAAAGTTTGTTTAGGAGAAGGAAGCCCTGAGAGTTGATGCCTTTTGCGGAGGCGGCTCCCGGGATATGGTTGTCGATGGTTTCCTTGATATGCTGCAGATCTTCAGAGCTCAACCCCTTGTCAAAGCATTTGACCTGAAAATCTTCCATCTCTTTGTCATTCAGGAGACCATCCTTGTCCTTGTCGCAGAGGTAGAAGATGCGGAGCAATGCGGCTACAGCGGCGGGTTTGAGAACCGATTCTTTTGCATCAAACAGGGGAGCGATTGGATGAGTGACAGCTTTCTGGCAGAGAAAGAATGCTTCATTGACATTGTAGTGCTCACGGGCGCTAGTTCGTATACATGAATCAATCTCTTTGAACTCGGACATGACGGGCAACATTTCCTCCTCGACTATCTGAGCGGAAGTAGACGTTGTGATCAGGTCGGACTTATTTGCGCAAAGGATAACAGGCAGATTGACGCCCAGAGAACGAAAGTACGGCAGCCAGAACAGAGCGACCCGTTCATAGCTGTAGTGATCTGAATAGACGAGAAGGATGACATTGGACTTTCTCAGCTCTTTGGCTAGGGTCGCACGATCTTGTGGGAGGGCAGAGGTATCGACAATCACGGTGGTAACATTTTCGGGAGTTCCTAGTGTCGGTGGGATGGTGATTTGAGGCAGAACAGCTTGAATCCTGGTGCTCACAAAGGTATCTTTCACGAGAGAAGTGATAAGGCTGGACTTACCACAGCCCTCGTCACCGCAGACGCATATTCTCACAGTAGCCATCTCCTTTTCCCTCAGAGAGATCGGTCGCAGAGGTTCATTGTTTTCCACCCCTGTGACCGCAGCTCCCGGGGCTTGAGCTAGAGTGGAGAACCGACTGCGGAGACCGCGCCCTTCAGAATTCAGATCGGCGAAAACGGGGGCAGAGCGATACGGATGAGAATCCCGAGCACGTAGGGGATGGAGGAGACGTAGGCGGCTTCAGTGGTGTGGGCTGGCGGGCAAATGATTCTGAGGCAGGGAATAGTAACTCGTAGAAAATCCGTATCACGAGAAAACGCCAGCCTGCGCCCCATCGGCAACGACATGGTGACATGGTCCCTGCGAGAAATGCCAAGGCGATGACGGAACAAGCTGCACAAGCTGCAGGGCACCGACACTCTGAGTCTGTGACCGACACCCGCTCGCCGCCTGACAGCCAAATTGAACGCTAAAACGTCCCGCCTTTTCCAGAGAATCTTCCCTCGCTTCCTCGCTTCCACGCCGCCAACCATCAATCACTCCCAAGAAATTCCGCAGCTGATCTCTTTGCATCCCAGCTGCTGCTGCTGCTGCCTGTGTATATTATTCTCACTTCTCACTCCGAGCCTTCCATAATTCAACCCGCGTGCCTCCATTGAGTCGACCTTGAACACGAGCCTCGAAGCCCACTCGACCTCTGCAGCTCACTTCCTCCCCCACCCAGGTCTCATCATTCCAGCCCGCCTATTTCCGACTTGCCTGTCCGCACCTCTGACTCAATTACAACGGTTCTGATTGTCCACCGGCTCACGGTCACGATCTGTACCTGAGCACACGACCAATAGAAGAGAAGGCAAAGATCCGCCACAGGTTCTTTCAAGATGCCGTTTGGAATCAATAACCCGCTACCCTCGTCTATGAGGAGTAAGTGAAAGCAGCATCCGTCTGGGAGCCCTCTATTCACACATCTTCTAGGCGAGTGCAAAAAGGCCGGCAAAATCCTCGCATCTTTTGTCGACCCCAGACAGAGCTTTGGGCCTGATAAAGTCATTCCGCCCTCAATCCTCGCAAATGCAAAGGTAACCTTTCTTCGCACTGCTCCAAACCTAGGCTGACAGATTTCAGGGTCTCGCGGTCTTAACCGTCTTCAAAGCCGGCTTTCTTGGTTCTGGTCGACTTGGATCCGGTGTCGTGGTCGCGCGACTGGCCGATGGCTCTTGGTCTGCTCCTTCGGCCATCGCCACAGCTGGTGGAGGTTTCGGCGGCCAAATAGGCTTTGAATTGACCGATTTCGTCTTTATCCTGAACGACTACAACGCCGTGCGAGCCTTCTCACAAGCAGCCTCCGTGACTCTCGGCGGGAACGTCTCCATTGCTGCGGGTCCCGTTGGACGAAATGCCGAAGCTGCGGGGGCTGCCAGCTTAAAGGGTGTGGCAGGAGTATTCTCATACAGCAAGACAAAAGGCTTGTTCGCAGGTGTCAGCCTGGAAGGCAGTGTCCTGATCGAGAGAAGAGATGCCAACGAGAAGCTCTACAACGGCCGCGTCACGGCCAGACAACTCCTGGAGGGGGCCGTCAGACCACCCCCTGCGGCAGATCCCTTGATGAGAGTCCTGAACACCCGGGTTTTTTCAGGCGCTGCCTACAGTGACAACAGCATGTACAATGACATGCCAATTTACGGTGACCAACATGATGATGTCGTCTGGGAAGGCAGAACTGGCGAAGCGTACGGAGCGAATGTACGCAACAACCGCTCTTCCACAGTCACATCAGCAGACGATAACTACGTCTACCGCGACAACCCCAATCCTCGGCGCGCCAATACCTGGGCCGACGATGTTTATGATCGAGTACCCGCTGGGCGGAATAATGGCACGCCCGAAAGCTTCAACACCCGCAGTCGGTCAAGCACGTTGCAAAATGAATACAGCTATTCCGATAGCAAACCTACTCGACCTACGGCCCCGAAACCTGTCTTCAGGCAGCGAACTGGGTCGTTGCGCGCTGACCAAGCCATCGCTCTATTTACGTTCGATGCGGACCAAGAGGGCGACTTAGGGTTTAAGAAAGGGGATATTATCACTATCATAAAGAGAACAGAAAACAAGACCGACTGGTGGACAGGACGGACCGAAGATGGCCGGACGGGAATATTCCCTTCCAACTACGTTGAAACGGCCTCCTGAGTCGATTTGATCTCCGATTTGCTTTTCTGCTGGGAGGTTGGCGACAAAATGGCTTTTATACCCTCTTGCTTTTGCTGTTTCCAGGTCCATTTAGCGGCGGAGTTTGCACCAAACTATCCTTCAGCATCTCGGACAGGAGTGGGCGTATCTGGCCTGTGGGTTGGCGCAATGGATCTTACGGTAGATGAACAAAATGAGGATACGATGCACTCGCGAAATCTATCCCCCCTACCCTTCTCAACCTTGGCTTCCCCTGCGTTTCCTGCAGATTGCGTCGGTGGCTGTTGAACCGAGCTGGCTGCTGCCAAAACTGATCGTCTGCAGATCTTCCTCCATACTGTTTCCACTTCTCCTCGTTTTCCTCCCCAATTCTAGCCATCTGCCTTCGATCATCAACTATCAACTATCAACCACACCCTACGGATTTGCTTGGCTCTTAACGTCATGAACTCGACTCCAATCGTTTCCAGCAGAAATGACTCCAGGGTTACAGAATGCAACCTCGCGCAGGGGGCTCTTTACGAGGGTTTCGGCAGTCTCTTGGGCACGGCGCGCCTCTAACTACTATAATATATATTTCCCGGGGGATGATATCGATCCGTTGATCATATTTTGGCTGTGTCCGCACCTCGCCATCGAAACTTAAGTCGTGAAATACTGCTTCAACAAGTTCCTGTCCGTCTTCCACGGTAAGGTGTCGCAATGGCGAGAAGGAAATCGGGATTTTTCAAACACACCACCCTCAAGGTGCGGGATGACTCTGTCACGAAAGCGTCGGAACTCTCAGTTCGACAATCCATATTACCCATCATTCTCGTCACAACCCTTTACTTTCTCTGGGTATGTCTTCCTCTCCTCTGCCCGTATCGCAAGACTTTCCAGGCAACTGACCAGGAAATACCCCAGGGCTTCGCCTACGGCCTCCTCGACACCCTGAACAAACACTTCCAAGGCGTGCTGGGCATCTCTCGCGCCCGCTCCTCTGGTCTTCAAGCAGCCTATTTCGGCGCCTATCCGCTGGCCTCCTTGGGCTACGCAAACTGGATCCTCCGCCACTTCAGCTACAAAGCCGTCTTCATGTTCGGTCTGACCCTTTATGGCATTGGCGGACTCCTCATGTGGCCCGCCGGCCTCAAGAGATCCTTTGGCGGATTCTGCGGCGCTACTTTCATCATCGGATCTGGTCTCGGCAGTTTGGAGACCGCCGCGAACCCATTCATCGCAGTCTGCGGCCCACCAAAGTATTCGGAACTGCGCATTAACCTGGCACAGTCGTTCAATGCTGTGGGGACGGTCATCGGGCCCGTTCTGGGCAGCTACGCCTTCTTCAAGAACACGGGCGATGACCTGCAGAGTTTGAAGAACGTGCAGTGGGTGTACCTCGCCATTGCCATCTTTGTCTTCGTACTTGCGTTCGTGTTTTACGTCTCCCCGATCCCGGAGGTCACGGACGCGGATATGGAACATCAGGTCACTGTTACCCATGATGGGTTGGAGGAGAGGAACAGGAGGCCGTTTTGGAGACAATATGTGAGTTTCCCTTTTCTCGAACGGTAGTTATTTTCAGCATATCGGGTTCGGGTTCCAGCTAACAGATTCTGCCCTCGTGCAAAACAGACCGTCTTCCACGCGGCATTCTCCCAATTCTGCTACGTCGGGTCACAGGTGGCTTTGGCAGGGTACGTCAAACCCTCCAGGGGAATTCAGCAACACCTCCCCCCTTGCCCCCACAAAACCCCGTTTATGACTACATACCTCCAGCACCTACTAACATGCTCTTCCCCCTCTTCTCTACGAGGTATAGATACGCAATAAACTACTTCACCGAAATCGCCCCGATATCCAACTCCACCGGCGCGGCCCTCCTCGCCGGCGCACAGGGCTGCTTCGCCCTGGGCCGCTTCTCCGGCTCTCTCCTCATGCGCTTCATCCGCCCACGCTACATCTTCCTGCTCTATCTCACAGCAGTGATTGCCTTCTGCTCCGCGGCCATCACACAACGCAGAAATACCGGCATCGCAATGTTCATGCTGACCTTGTTTTTCGAATCCGTGTGTTTCCCGACCATTGTGGCGCTGGGGATCAGAGGGCAGGGAAGACATACCAAGCGTGCCGCCGGGTGGATTGTCGGGGGCGTGTGCGGCGGCGCCTGCGTTCCGCCCCTGTTGGGCGCGACCGCCGACTGGCGCAACAGCACGCCCTTTGCGCTCGTCGTGCCCGTGTGCTTCTTCATCGCCAGCTGGACGTACGCCCTGTGCGTCAATTTCGTGCCCTACTACCGCGTCCCCGCGGATGCGATTGGTGGGTCGCATATAAGACTTGGGGACCGCGACCGCGACCGCGACCGCGACCACGAGGGCGAGGGCGAGGGCGGGGGCGGAGTGCATGCGGATGGGGATGGGGATGTGGAGAAAGCGGGCGCCGCCCAGATTGAGCGCGCCGGGAAGGAGGATGTGCAGGTGCATAGGGTGGGAGAGAAAGACTGACCGAGGGACTGGAGGGAGGTAAGTGGGTGGGTAGGGGAAGAATACCCAAGTACCTATGGTAGAGACAGCATCTCTTTGGCGGTGATGGATCTGCGTCTCGTATCCCGAGTGCTCGGATAGGTGTCTGGTGATCAGAATGACCTAGAGAGGAACAAGTACAGATATGATTGATTCGATCTATAGGGGATATCATTGTGGAGAGGAGACAATGCAGCACAACTCCAAGGTCCAAGTCGGTCCAGACTGTTGGCCAGTGTCAAGCAGGCTGTGCCTCAAAGGAAAACAACTGCTATCCAGCGTGACTTTCCTATCACCACGAATCCTCCACACCTCTACCCCTCTCACGCCCCTTGCCTTTCGTTTTCAACATCTGTCCAACCATGAAATGATTCACATCCTCATCCGCCCAGTAGCTCAAGTGACTGGCGATACTAGCGAGTAGAGACACATCAAACATGCCCTCTTGGATATGGTAGTCGACTCGTCCGTTACTGTTCAACGCTCGGACTTTGGCTTCTTCACGCTTGAGCTTTCTCGCTCTCTCCTGCGATTGGCGGAACTCGGTAGAAGTCCGGGCTTGAGCCTCGTCATCCGTTGCGTCGGTGGCAACTTGAAGCTTCTGGAATCCTGAATAAAGTGTTTCCATTTCAGAGTCGATCAAGGTGGGTGCTTTTTCGGTTGATGGGGATGATCTAGCCGCCTCGGCGATGTCTTGCTGCTTTTTCTCGTCTGCCACAGGTATTGCGTCGAGTGGAGGAACGGCTTGACTACCATCTTTGACCGCGTTCACAGCTTTGGCCTTGTCCTGAGACAAGGCTTGCTCCTCACCAGTAATGCCCAGGCTTCTGTTAATCAGACTGGACGCCACACCCGAGGTGAGATTGTACCAACTGGACATGATTTGCTGGCCAACCCGTTCAGAAATGTTTGAAATGCCAGGAGCGGCAAAGAGGTTTTTCTTGGTGTAGGGTATGGGTTGGGATTTCAATTTCGCCATTGCTGGAGAGATGAGAGGCTCCATGCGATAAGCGATAGGATCTGTGGGATGAAAGATGTTGAACAATTCACTGCATTTGGGTGTGGAGGTAGTAATTGGTATGAGACCGGTGGAGCTGTTGCCGGCCATTTTCGAGGCGACACTGTCGAAGGGGTCGTTTTTCATAGGATCCGGGTCGAATGGAGATGTCGGCACCAAAGTGGCTCCAAATGCACTGGCGCCTGGAGAAGGTCGAGCGGCGATCGTCCTCCCCTTGAGCATCTGAAAGAGACCGACCGGCGAACCAAGGGCAAAGAAGTTTTCCACTTCAAAGTCGAGACGAAGATCTCTTGGTTCAATACCGTGCTCTCGTGATGTTTTGCTGGAGACCCGTCTCGGTCGTGTCTTGAGATCTTCTTCCTGTCTGCAAAGGATATCAAAGCAAATTGCACTCCCAAGAGAGTGACCACAGAAGCTAACCTTTCCTGAGAAGCCTGTTCGTTCTTTGAAGAGGTGATACACTCGATTAGCTTCCTTCTGTACAATTGAAGCGATGTGTTCTCTGTAGGCACTTTGGTATAAGAGGACGTCCAGAGCCAAATCAGTAATCAGATTGCGCACCGCTGGTACACCGTCCACTGTGATGTCTTGCAATGACGGGTACTCATCATCGAAGATAGAATCAGCATCTCCAATGTCGTATTCTTTGCGATTTTGCTTCAGGCTTTGCTTGGGGAAATCGAGCTTGTGTCGCCAACAGATAGGAAGCACCTGGACTCTGCAATTCTTCGGATCCCCGCTTAGAGCTTGTAAGTCAGGAGCGGATTCGTATACGGCTTTCATGGTCTTGCGCAGAGTGTTGACATCATGGACAAAGTTGATGCTGTCGAGACGAAGACCAAGACGTTGGCCGATGCCGTGGGTCACGAGCACCAAGTGGTCAATCTGTCTTGCTTGATCTTCTCCATCTTTTTCCCTGGCGTCTTCCATTTCACGTTCTTCCTGTTCCCTTGCTTCTTCCTCCTCGCCTACGTCATCGGAGTCATCGGCCTTGGGAAGGCCCGCCAGCGAGGAGATCTGGCGTTCTAACGCAGTCCGCCGAGGTTTCTCGACATTGTCCTTTTTCTTTGCCTGAACTTTGTCTTCTCCGGCGCTCGGATCAGCCTCTGGAGAGATTTTGGCAGACCTACGCTTCTCTTTGGTGGTGGTCGTCTCTGTGGATTTGGAATCGTCTTTTGGATCGGCCTTAGGCGGATCGGCTAGCTTGGTATCAGACCAACCACGAACTACCTTCGTGCCACCATATCCAACAAACCTGCCGTAAACTGTACTGCTGACACGTGAGAGGAAATCGTCCGTTGTCAGATAGGCTACGGTGTCGTCCAGGTATGTGACCGTTGTGTTCATATGAGAGCCGAACATGCGATATGTGTTTGGGCCAGCAGATTGGTTGTCATCCTGTGAAGGAGGCGACTTGCCCAGCGATTGAGCGGATGAGCCGTCGATAATTGCCGAGTTGGGTCGAGTCCTAGGCTGTGATGCTGAGCGAGGAGACTGTAGGTTTAATCGTCTCCACGGTGCTACTTTAATGTAGCCTTCTTCGAGTTGATTGGCTAGATTCTCGTCGCATGGTCTCAGTGGGTTTTCTGCATAGAACCAGGTTCCCCTGCGGACTTCGTACACAGGACCTAGCCAGTAGGCCGGAAGAAGTTCGCGCTTCTCAATATCGACATCATACAGAAAGTCTTCGTTGACGGGTACTGTGGTGACGGGCGTAGGCTCGGCAGCTCCATCTCTGTTCAGGTTCCTTTGAGCGAGGGTCTGATATGCTTTCTCAATGCTCTGGGAGTCTGACGCCGAGAAAGGCACCAATTTCTTCGGGATTGGCGGGGGTTTGGCCTTTTCTTCGGGTGTTGGGTCTGGAGCGAAAGGTTTCCGTTTGGCTACATCGATGGCGTAGTACCATCTCGGCTTGAGAGGGGGACAATCCTTGGGATATCTGCGGAGACTGGGAGCTCGGTTTAAACTGACGGTATGGTCAAGACCCGACGACTGTCTCAGAGCTGGGGATGCATCGTTGGGTTTTGGGAGCGGTGACTTGGGCGGCGGGGTACTGCTCCGGGACCACGAGAAGATTGAGCTCGCCAGAGAGGACTGTTTTGCTGCTTCGGCCATGCCCTTGCGGACAGCCCTGATCAGGGCAGGGAATCGATCCAATATGATAGCATTCAATTGGACGCCTTATTAGCGGGAGTGGATGGAGCGAGGCTGAAGGTTAGCTTAGGGGAAGGGCATGAAACGGGCAGGATGGCCAAAATGAATGTTGTAATGGCTTCTGAAATGAGATATAATGATAACGTGGGATCAAGCACTATGTCTGATGGAGGCCAAGGGATGCGATATAAGGTTCAGGATGGTTGAAGAGTGAAGGACCAGGTAGAGACCAGCCCGCAGCTTGACAGGTGTGAGGAAGCCTGATGTAACGGGGCGGGCCACTGACAACTTGAACCTGGAAAACAATGGCAGCCTTGCCAAGCCCTTGCCCAGCCTTGCAAAAGTCCCCAGCACCCGGGAGTGGCACCCAGCGGTGCCTAGCGGTGCCCAGAGGTGCCCAGCGGTGCCTGAACTGGCCTCAGCTGGCGGCCTCACAGCGGGTGACAGGCGTGACTAAGAGAAACTGCGCCACTGCTGCGTCATGGAGAGTCGGCTCCCCCTGCAATGAGAAAGATGCCCAATCATCCGAATCCAAATCGATCCCGGCTTACTGCGCACTGCACATCGCCCAGGCCATTCACTGCTGAGTGAACTACTAGTATCACAGCTTGCGACGCCTGACCAGGCACCACAATAAAGACACATTCCATATCTTCCTTCTCAATCTCATTCTTCCTTGGTCGAGTCCATCTTTCTCCTCGTCGCTCAACCCTCCCTTGGCCGCATTACAGCCCCCGCAGATTTTCCTCGTGTGGGCGACTGCCCCTCCCCCTCCTTCCACCATGGCGGCCATCCTCAAACTTCAGCGCAAATACCCCCAGTTCCCTCAGAACGAAATCTTCCAGCTACAAGACGCCTTTCGCAAGCTCGATGTCGATGACAAGGGCTATCTTGACGAGGCCACCGTCATCAAGGCTACCCAGCAGTCCGAAAGGCAGTCTTACGATGTGGTCAGACAGGCGCTGAAAGAGGTGGACCTCGACAGCTCAAGGCGGGTGGAATTGGAGGACTATGTCGACCTGATCGCAAAGGTCCGCGAGTCCTCTCCCGCTCAAAGACGTATGTCAGTGGGCGCTCAGAGACCCGCGTCCGGCAACGGTCTTCCTTCTGTTCCGGGGCATGCCTCGAAGCCCAGCCTCGGCGGAGGTGGGAAGATTCATGTGCAAGGCTCTTCTGCCAACGTCACGCACACTATCAATGAGGAGGAGCGAACTGCTTTTACCACCCATATCAATGCTGTCCTTGCCGGCGATCCCGACATTGGCCATCTCTTGCCTTTCCCCACCGATACCTTCGAGATGTTCGACCACTGCAAGGATGGCTTGGTCCTTTCAAAACTTATCAATGACAGTGTTCCCGACACCATCGATGAACGTGTGCTAAATAAGCCAGGGAAGAAGATCAAGACTCTCAATGCATTCCACATGACGGAGAACAACAACATTGTCATCGAGTCTGCAAAAGGTATCGGCTGTTCCGTGGTCAACGTCGGTGCTGGAGATATCATCGAGGTTCGAGAGCATTTGATCCTGGGTCTGATTTGGCAGGTCATCCGACGAGGCCTTTTGGGAAAGATTGACATCAAGCTGCATCCCGAGCTGTACCGACTCCTGGAAGAAGATGAGACTCTAGATCAATTCCTTCGACTGCCCCCCGAGCAGATCTTGCTTCGTTGGTTCAATTATCATCTCAAGAACGCGAACTGGCCACGAAGAGTGGCAAACTTTTCCGGCGATGTCAAGGATGGCGAGAACTACACCGTCCTGCTCAACCAGCTGAAACCAGACATCTGCTCACGGGCTCCCCTGCAGACGCGCGATCTCCTGCAACGAGCCGAAGAAGTCCTCCAGAATGCCGAAAGAATTGACTGCCGAAAGTTCTTGACGCCAACCGCCCTAGTAGCCGGCAATCCAAAGCTCAACTTGGCCTTTGTTGCCAACCTCTTCAACACCCACCCAGGCCTAGACCCGCTTGAAGAAGGCGAGAAACCCGAAATTGAAGACTTTGATGCAGAAGGAGAGCGTGAAGCCCGTGTGTTCACCCTCTGGCTGAACAGTCTTGACGTCCAACCTCCCGTCAATTCCTTCTTTGATGATCTCCGCGATGGCACAGTTCTGCTCCAAGCCTATGACAAGGTCATCCCAGGCAGCGTCAATTTCCGCCATGTGAACAAACCTCCTGCGCACGGCGGCGAAATGTCACGGTTTAAGATGGTTGAAAACACCAACTACGCCGTTGAACTGGGCAAGCAGAATCGCTTCTCCCTCGTGGGCATTCAAGGTGCAGATATCACTGATGGCCAGCGTACCTTGACTTTGGGATTAGTTTGGCAACTTATGCGCCGCGATATCGTGTCGACACTTTCTGGGCTCGCGCAACGTATGGGCAAACGCGACCTCAGCGATTCGGACATGATGAAATGGGCCAATGAGATGTCCCGCAAGGGTGGCAAGACCTCTTCCGTCAGGTCGTTCAAAGATCCCGCCATTACCAGCGGTATCTTCTTGTTGGACGTTCTGAACGGTATGAAAGCGAACTACGTCGACTACGATCTTGTCACGCCTGGAAAGACGCCCGATGATGCGTATGCCAATGCCAAGTTGAGTATAAGCATTGCCAGAAAGATGGGTATGTGTTGCTGCGTCTTTTGGCTTTTGGATTTTTTAACCTTATCCTGGTTCGAGTGCGGCGCGGATAAGCACGTACTAACAAGAGATTGCAAACAGGATCCACCATTTACCTTCTTCCCGATGATATCGTCCAAGGACGTGCGAGATTGGTTACCACTTTTGTTGGTGAGTCTTCCTAGTGATGCACGCATTCTGTCTTGTAGTATGGTATAGAAGGTTTCTAACTTTGTTATCAATTAGGTGCCCTCATGCGGACGGCGGAGAAGATGGGTGTTTGAACTGATTGATCGCCACATTTCACCTTGCACACTGCTCGCAAGGCTAAGGAGGGTTTGATTCTGATCGTTAGGCCGACAGTGCGACTACATCTTCCTTGCTTCCTTCAGTGTATTCTTCTCTCTTTGCTACGGATCACTGGACCAGAGATGGGGCTGGGCTGGGCCACCAGGAAATCAGAACCAAGAGCGCGAGAACAGGAATTTTAACGAGGCAGTCAGCAAGGGCGAAGCGAGTACCTACCTATCTCCCTTGAGCAAGAAAAAGTGCAAAGCCCACCCTCATTTTTGTGGTGCGTTGCGTCTCCCGCTAGTAGGATACTATGATACCTATATACCTAGTTAGGTAGCTCGGACGATTTAAAAAGAAAATGAACCCCTTACCCCAATGATCCCGCAACTATCGTATTAGGATTATGACGATCAACCAAAGACTGCTAGTCCGCGAGGCTAGTGGAAATGGTATTGTATTTTTTGAGACCGTGATCCGGCATCTACTACCATAACTCATCATATAAGGTTTCGTCCCAAGTCCAAAGGTCACCTTGGGCACTAGAGCAAGTGAGAATGAAAGGCGTCCGTCTGTCTCCCGTGTCCCCAGGAACGATGCACAACGGGGTCAGAGTCAGGGATCAGAAGGGTCATCAGATTTCACAATCTCGCGGCGTCTCTGCGTACGATGAGAAGCAAAACACCGTCAGCATTGGCATTAGCATCAGGTTCGGTATCGTCTAGAAGACTAGGACTTTTCCGCCAACAACGCAGGGTGCAAGCGCAAGTGTAGCGTCAGTGTAGACTTCGCACTCACCACGCGCTGGAGTCTGCCACGAACCACGCATAGTCTGTTCACCGCAGCCGCAAACCCCCCCTTCATACCCTAAGCAAAGTTGTGCAGGTCGACTTACTTTCCACCCTTCAAATGCTCCTCAAACCATTGGATCGCAAACACAAAGGCATTTTCCTTGGCGTACACATGGACTTTGTTGTTCAAGTCTCCTCTTACGGCGAAACCGTGCTCCACACCACTGTACAAGTTGATCTGATACGGCAGGCCGGTCTCCTTGAGGATGACCTCGCTCTCGTGACGTTTCTCGGGCGGGAAAATGTGGTCGGTTTCGGCGGCGGCAATGGCAAGAGGGGCCTTGATGTCGCGAAGCTCGTCGGCCTCGACGAAGGACGGATGTGCGCAGTAGCCGGCGTCGAATTTCCCGGAGTCGGGGCGTAGGTGTCGGATCACGTATTTCGCACCAAAGCAGTAGCCGACGGCGCCGAGTTTCTAGAATGGAGGAAGAGTAAAATTTAGCACTTGTTTTTCTTTTTACTCGAATCGAGGCCCATTCTAGGTTGTTTCCATCTGTCTTTCTCTTCAAAAGTGGACCATCTTACCTTGACTCCGTACTTCGTCCTCATCTCAACAATGCATGCGTCAATGATGGGGTCCACATTGGGAGGCAAATGGGCGGTCTTCTTGGAGTGGTATTCGCCCTTCAACCACTTCATAATGTCGAAATCGCCAGGGCGGTTGAGGGGGATAGGGTCCTTGTCGAACAGGTCAGGCATCATGACGAAATAGCCGTTGGCGGCCAGCTGGTCTGCAATCAATTGGGCATTGTTGAAGCGGTGGCCGATCACATCGGTGATGCTACAGAGAAAGGGGGCTTGGGTCAGTCCAGAGAAACAGAATCAATCAGATAGCTAGCAGAGAACTGGAAACATACACAAGGATGCCAAGTTCGGTGCTCTTGCTCTCAGGGTACTTTGTGTAGACCTCAAAATCACCCAGCTGAGAAAACTCGCCGGTAGGAGTGCCTTCGTGCTTGACGCCTTTGTAGCAGCAGGTGCCGGGAGGGTTAGAAGCCATCTTGAGGAGGGTAAGCCGGAGAGATTGGGCGTAGATGTTTCAACTGGTTCTGGTATGAGAGAAAACTGGCGCTGCCGGTAGCCTAAAGAAAGGGAAAGAGGGGCAGGGTCTTTTATACAAGCCACGCAAGCTTGAGAGGACAAGATGGACACTCCGCAAATTCGGACATGAATATTGCTAGCTAAGCTGCAGACAATGTCACCAAAGTCACCAAGAACAGTCTAGGAAAGGAGGGGCAGTCGATTCGAGGCCGGCTCCCGATCCGGCAGCTCGAGGGCCGAACCCGTATCGGAGGGCTTCCACGCTGTTCTGCCTGGAGCGCAACACATGGAGGGCACATTTTCAGTTACTGGCCGTTGATAAGCGGGACAATGACGGACAGGGGAGCATGAGAAATCCAGTAAAAGTGCATCGTCACAGACACAAGGGAAAGGAGCTTGCTAGAGGCGTTGGCACCCGTTGGTGGGCGGGAGGCTCAATGCGAGGCGCCCCGCGGGAGTTAAGCTCGGAGATAACTCTCTGCTTGACGCCCGATGATGTCATGAGAACTAGTGTTCATGCGATTTGCAGCGTTGGAGCTAGTCCGTAAACAGGTCCATATCAATCCTTGGCGCACAGGTGCACCGAGAGCGCACCTGGAGAGAAGCTCCTCCCGAGAAAACTCCTCTAGAGAATATACCTGAATGTGCTCCCGTAGTTCTCCTCTCCCACATTCGCGTCAGCCTTGCCACCCGTCGCCATTTGCGTCTCCGGACCGCCCTGGGATCCGTACTTCTTGTCCAACCTTTTGTTCTCCCACACCAAAAGCGTTCTCAACGACAGGGCCAGCAATGCATTGAAGAACATAAATGCCGCACAAATACTTTGTCCTTCCACGTAGCGGGGCTCCTGGGATTTAGGAAATATCCTAGTTCCGAGAAGTGGCCCACATTGCCCGACCAGGTTGAGGAGGACTATTCCCATTCCACGACGACTATCGCTTCCCTGGTTGTTGACCACCCACGGCAAAATGTTGGCGATGGCGGGAAACACTCCGGACGCACAGAGGAATGTTCCGAAATACCTCGGGGCAACCGCCGTGCACGTCGCGAGAAGGATATACCCGATCCCGGCCACACAGCTGAGGAAGGCAATCATGAGTCCCCGTTGTTGAGTTCGGTCCGCAATCCAACATGTCAAAACCGTGACAATGGTGGAGACGAAATATGGCGGGGCCGACAACCCTTGAGCGTTGATGGAGGAGAAGCCCATTTGATTGAGGATCGTGGGCAAGAAGACCGGTAACGACGAATACGACACATTGCACGAGAAGTACATCAACTGCACTTTCAGTTAGCTGGTTACGCTCGGTTCATCGGATCGGGCGACTTTACCGCTGTAAACCACGCTTTGGCATCAATCAGTGTTTCGCCGATCTCCTTAAGACTGACGCGGTGTTTTCCTTCCTCTTGGTGACCATGCTGCCTGATGACTCTTGCTCTCGCAACCTCTTTTTCTTCCGCGGTCAAGAACCTAGCACTGGTCGGGCTGTCGGGGAGGTAGAACCACGCTATAGGAGCAGCAAGGATGGTTGGAATGCCTTCCACAAGGAAGAGCAGCCTCCATTTGGCAATACTTGGGTGGCCACTCGTGATTCCGTACGCCAGAGCTCCTGCGAATGTGTTGGCGAGAGGAGCAGCTGCGAGGAAGATGCCGCTGCGGAAACCGTGCTCGTGTCTGAGATAGAAGAAACTGAGCAGGTATGGAATGCTCGGCCCGAAGCCCGCCTCGGCAGCACCGAGCAGGAATCGCAAGGCCATCTCTCCTCCCCACGACTGGGTGGCTGCTTGACAGGTTGCAACAATTCCCCTGAAGTCGTTGATAAAAAGGATCCTGATGTTATCTTGAGGAAGCACTTACCAGGCAAGAGTGATAAAGCAAGCCCAAGTATGTGGCTTTCTGGTATGTGTCAGTGAAGCCCGATCTGCAGGTCGCACGCGCAAATGCTTACACTATCTTCCACATGAAACCCTGCAGCAAACAGTCAGCACAACGGAAGATCAAGCTGATGCGACCAGAAGAGCTCACCTGGAATTGGAACACAATATATGATATGTAGAATATCGTCAACAACCAGTCATATCGATCGCCGGTCAGATCGAGGTCATCTTCCATACCAGCAATACGCGCATTGCCGATATTCGATCGGTCGAGAAATGAAAGTAGGACTGCGATCTGTCAATGAATTGGCCATGTCAAGATTCAGGTACAGTCATGGTTCGGAATAAGAGGCTCTGTCAAAGACGAAGACAGAGGCTCCTCACGCAAGGTCTTCCACACGGAGTTTCGCATCTTAGACGACAGAGCAACCAGGTGTGCGACTTACACAAGAAGGTGACGAGTGGAGTCACACGCAGGTCGATTTTGCGCACGACCCTCCTCTCCAGTGCAGGGTCTATTCGGACAATGGTCGTGGGTGACTCTTTGAGCTCGGTGCCTCCATCTTTCTCGACATCGTTCGAGGTTGGAGATTCCGATGGTGCGCTTACATTCGAGACAAGACCCGTGGAGGCCACATGTTGGGCTTTGAATATGCCCATACTGCTGGGTTAGTACTTGGAGTGGACTAAGGAAGGAGGAAAGGATAGAGAAAGGAAGACAAGTCGCAACGTCGAGCCAAAATATCGAAAAGTCAACATTTAGGGTTACATGCTGTCCAAGGGCGTAGATCTTGAATCAAGCAATGAACTCATCGGCTATTGAAGCGGAATTTGTTGAGTTTGTGCTTCGTGGAGCAAAAGCATTCGTGCGAGGCATGTTTGTGGCATTGAAGACGGGATCTGCGCTGCAGGAGGTCCACATCGGAGACTCAAGAGGGCAATCATCCCGCCGCGGGGAGCGGGATGCTGGGCCGATCATGCCCGTTTTGCATCTTTGAGTTTGGAGTGTTACTATGGTGGCGATGTGAAGGCCGGAAGTAAAGCCGTCGTTGATGCTGGAGACTCGAGAGGCTGGAGATGCTGCTAGCAGTGGCAGCTAGCGACACAGGCACGCCAAGCTACTAGTACTACTAGGTACTAGTATAGTCACGTGTATAGTGGCGCTCGTGAGCACGTGACTATGCTGATACCACTAGTACCTATTAGTACGTAGTGAGGCTTGGCTCTTGGCACTCACCAAACTGCGGCCAGCCTCGTCAGACGCTACAAACCTGGAACACAAGACTTCCAAGGCTGCAAATGGCCCCCAACCCAAGCCTGTTTCATCATCATGCCTCGTCCCGCCTTCTCCAAATGTGCCCTAGTATTAACTGGGCCCAGGCTCCAGCACAGCCTCGATGAAGCTCATGAATCTACTCGGTCCAAGAAGACGATGCGTCCGAGGCGCTCTACGAATGCCATCCGTTTCCTTTTCCTCGGTGATGCCGTAAAGATCAATCAGCGCAATGACTGCAGTGGTGGTCAACGATCAAGGTTTTCGGGAAATAATTCAGGGCGAACCATTCCAGTATGGTGATCTCGACTTGAAGCACGAAGAGCTTCGTTTTCTCGTCCTACAGCGACGTCCAGCCGGGACGGGCCACGAGGGACTGGACGGCCTGGTCAGCTGCACCATAGAGACCCAACTGCTTGCTCATGCCGACCCATTCATAGCCGTCCGGAATGCTCGAGGCTACCGCTTGCTTGAGGAACTGATTCTCGTCGATGGGAAGTGCCTCATCGTCTCGGTCGCGTTGGAAAGGTTTCTTCGACACTTCACTCCAGCCGGAGACAAGCCCCTGAGACTCTGGATTCGGTACGTATGTGTCGATCAGCATAATCCGAATGAGATGGCTCGCTACTGGACCCGCCAATTCCAGGACAAAATGTACGAGATGGCGGAGTCGGTGGTGGACATGCAACGTTTTCTGCGCGATCTGCTGGACCGACGTGTGTTTGAAAGGGTGATTGACTCCCGATACAAGGAGTGGACGAAGAAGTGGCAAACTTTGCCAGAAACATGGCCATTGCCAAAGGTTTATCCAATCAGGCTCGGAAGCTATTCTTCCAGCGAGCGGCCAACTCAAGCGTACCAGTATGTGCCTTTAGACACCGTGGCCGACGAGACTCGCATAATCGTGATCAAGCCAAATGAGGACAAACAGGCACCGTTGGAACTCCATCTTGCACACTGTCCGCTTGCCTCCGACGTGGGCTACTTCGCTTTATCGTACACGTGGGGGGTCTCGGAAGACGACGTCCAAGTCACTGTGATGGGTCAGTCGATGCACATTCGCAAGAACCTAGAACGAGTCCTTCGTGGCATTCGGCCCTCCTCTTCGCCGCATGCCTGCGCTGTGTGGGCAGATGCCATCTGCATCAACCAGTCCGACACGAGCGAAAAGAACCACCAGATCCCTCGCATCGCTGATGTCTATGATCGCGCCGCCGGTGTCATCTGTGATGTTGGTGAGGCAGACCATTATAGCGAACTTGCCCTGGACTTTGTCGAGCATCTCCAAGAACCCATCATTCGCATGGACACGCACTACGAGTTTATCATCGGGAAGCCAGACCGGATCGATCCGGACGACATCCCCCGACTCTGTGCTGCGTTGTACCTATTCTTGACGCGGCCTTATTTCCGGAGGGTATGGGTCCTGCAGGAGGTGGCTCTGGCATCGAATCCGGTGATTTCTTGTGGAATCGGAATGCGAAAGGGAATCGCCTTTGAAGCGCTCGAGACGGCAGCAGCCAATCTGAGTGACATGATGTCTCGAGATCCAGGCCTTGCTCAGAAAATGGAGGAGTCTACTCCTGACTTGAGCAGCGTCGACCCGGCTCAGCTGCTCTTCATTCGCAAGCTTCTTTACTTTCGCCATCTCCACATAGGCGGGAGCCGTGGTGGCTTTATCATGCATGATATCAAAGACACCGCGCCCGGATACCTCGAGTCTGCGATCCTCGCCCGGGATTTCGAAGCTGCAGTCCCCCATGACAAGCTGTTCGCGCTGTGGAATGTTGCACGCGACAAGACCGGTCTAGACTTTTCTGCGGACTATTCACGCGCCTACGAGGAGGCTTACATGGGCTTTACTAAAGCATGGTGTGCCCACAGCGGTAGTCTTGATATGATCGCAGCATCCGAGTTCAGACAGCCCGTCGAAAATCACGGGTTCTACTCCAAGGCATCCTCATGGTGTCCGGACTGGAGCACTCCGGCCCTCTCGAGCTCTCTCGTCCGTCGTGAGAGGTTTCGGCTGCATCGGATATCGCTGCACGATGATTTGGACGGCCCAGTATACTGCGCCGACGGCGGTGTCCGTCAACAGCCGGACTCAAACAAATACTTCAAATTCGTCGGCAACACGCTACATTGCATGGGCATCATTCTGGATAAGGTGGACGGCATTGCAGCCAGCAAAACCGAACATCTGCCAATGAGAGCGGTAATTCCGGGGTTAGTGGAGTTTTGCAAAGACTTCTTCGCCAAGAACAATATCACCACTTACGACGATGTGGCGCAGGCCATGATAGCAATGGTCCACGGTGACTGCGTTGCTTCCTGGCCAAAGAAAGAAGGGAATTCCAAGCTATCTCCTGATGAAGACCTTTGGACGGCGCCATATGCTTGCATACCATTCAAGCCAAGGCTGAACCCGGACCAGGACCCAAACCGGTCTCGCCACGTCCCCTCGTATGGGGGAAGCTACTCGTCCCAAGAAGCGTGGGAGGTGGTGCGCAGCATCATGCGCGGCAGACACCTCTTTGTCTCGGAAAAGGGCTACATGGGCTTGTTACCGGACTATGTTGGCAGAGTCGGCGGTGGGGGCGACGACCGTGACCGTGACTATATCGGACATGGCGGGCCGCTTCACCTGGCGATCCTGGCGACGTGTTCAGTCCCGGTCTTGCTCGGCGAGCACCCAGAAATCGAAGGCGCGTACAGGTTTCTGGGGACGTGTTTTGTGCAAGGGTGGATGGAAGGGGAGGTTCTGAAGGCGGAGATGGGCTGCGATGAGCCGGCCGAGTTCTGGGAGGCTATGGCAGGCACCGAGAAACTCAGGATTGTATGAGATTTGTCGAACACGGGGGCATTTTCTCTGGGCTATTGGCACAAAGTGGTGTGAGGACGGCTGAGGTTCGGCAGGGCCAGTCTCAATCGAAGGCCTCGCTCGGCTCTTTGCGCTGCTCCATAGTCTCTTCTGCTCCTCCTTCGAGGATGACAATGTATATCTAGGGGCTGGAGACTGAGACACAGCTACCTATTGGTCGTATACTACAGGTACATAGACAGGTAGGTAGGTAGGGAGGTATTCCTCAGAACAATCTCTCTGGGGGGAGTACGCCATATGCCTAGGCAGGCTATGAGTAAAAACCTACATACCGTACACAACATCCATAATCTATACCGTACCGCCATAGGTATCTACATACCCACACACCTACATTGATGTTGAGACACAGGTATTTAGACAGCCTTCAAACCAAAACCCTATCAATCTCGACCTCAACGGGGACCCCAAATCCATGCTCGCCACCAACGCGATTCTTCTTCTTGCCCACCTTCTCGACCTCATTGACCAACGGATTCAACGCGACGGGCACAGTCATGGGATCTTCGCGGCGACACATGAGCTGCAGGACGACGCCCTGCGCGAGGCCCTTTTTCCCCAACCCGTCGGCCCAGCGCGCGGCGAGTTTGACGCGCGGGTGTTTCGGGTCGACGATGGTGCCGGACGGGTAGATGGTGCCTAGGAGGTTGGCGAGGGCGCCGAGGTAATTTGCCCAGAAGGCTTCTTGGTGCGTGAGTGTGGCGCGGAGACGGGACTGCAAGGTCTCGTGCGGAGGCGGGAGGTCGACGTTCCAGCGCGCGCAGAGGGTGAGGGCCAAGATGGCGCGGTCGGCGTGGGAGATGCCGTGCGCGGATGTGAGCACGCCCGTGATGGGTGCGTGCAAGGCGGATAGGGAGCGGGTTTCTTTGGGCAGAGGGAGGTGCAGGTACATCATGTCCGCGACGGCGCGGACCAGCGAAGGTGTGAATGTCGGCGGCAACGACCGGTCCAGGTGGTTCACGCCGGGGAGTCCCTCCCAGAGCACAGCTGCAAGGTCCGCCGCGGAGGGTGTCCCGTACTGTGCCGTCGCCGCGGGTAACGGGTCGAGAGCCCTTGTGGATGCGTCGAGCGTGTCGAAAAGAAACCCCTCGCGCACCCCGCCCTGGCAGAACCGGACTTGTTGGATCATGGGCAGTGCGTCGACGAGGACGTTGATCAAGAACGCCACGGCGGGGACTTGCTCCGCCCTTCGCTGGGAGATTCTAAATACCGACTCTTCTGCGGCAAGCGCCGTGATTTCTCCGGTTTGCTGGAACTCGCGCTTGGTGACACAGAAGCCGTTGATGATGGGGATCGGGTAGGGGGATACTTTATGCTGCGACATCAACAGGTAACCCCACCCCCTAAACCCGCCGCCGGAGAGGTACAGAGTCAAACCGCCGTGTTTGGCCTTGTGGTGTAAAGAGTCGGGAATGTCCAGGTCTCCGTAGGCCTGGCGGAACTGGGCTTTCATGTCCTCCTCCAGTTCCTGTTGGGGCGAGAGCTTTACCGGGGATTTGGATTTGGATAGAGATAGGCGGTGGTGGCCGCCATTATTGTTGTGACCTGACGGAGGGGAAGAGACGGAGAGTTCTCTCAGTTTCCGAGTCATGGCTGCCGCGCCGTAGGGGAAGGAGATGCTGCCCTTTGGAGACGTCTGGACGTGGCCGTCTTTGGCGATCATCCAGGTGATCTGAGTGCTTCCGCCTGGGATCACTCAGCAGTCAGTTCAATGCCCGGTTGGCATCTGTTTGGTTTAGGAAGAAATACCACCGAGATCCATGACCAAGCCCTCGACCGTAGCAAAGCTGCTGGCAACGCCCATGGCGCCGATGGTCCCTTCAGCCTCCTTGGGCAGCATGTCGACCTCCCACCCAGTAGCGTCTTTGATCTGCCTCCGGAAATCCGCCGAGTTCTCTGCATTCCTCGTGGCTTCGGTGGCCAACACTCTGATGTTGGTCTCGGGCACGCGAAAATCGCTACACGCCGTCTTGAACTTGGTCAGCGAGGCCATGACTTCGTCGATGGTCTCCTGAGGAATGGGACCCTTGACGCCAGAGCCAGACGAGTACTGGGCGTCGAATAGCGAAATGCCCTCGCGGTCTTGGTAGACGGTTGGGAGGGACCGGGCCGTCGAGGGCGAGAGGTCGGTGACGGAGAACCGGATGCCATTGCTGTCACCCCAAACATGTCCCGAGCAAATATTAGTATGTTTCTACCCGGAAGAAATGGCGTACTAGAAAGGCGCTGGACGATATTACCTTCCCATATCAACCAAGCCATAGAGACTGCTGGGCGACGGCGTGCGTAACATGGTGAGAAATGAAGGGTCGGATCGGATAAGTGTTCCAGAAGTTCGGTAAATGCAGCTAAACGACAATCGAGTCTGTTTCTCTAGACATGGGGATGGCGGAAAAGTCTATTCAGTGATGGACGGATGTATTTTGCGAAACCCACAATGAAACATCTTGCAGCAGAAGAAATTTCCTCAAGGCGGAGTTGATCGAGTTGATCCCCTCGTATATTTTTCCATGTCGCTGCGCACGTGGGAATTCCTCTCCATAATCTACACACTACCACCCTTTGCCCGAACCAGGCACAAATACCCATCCCGATCCATCCTTGTTGGGTCCTCTTCTTTATCAAAGCGCTGGTATACATAATAGTTATAGTAATCAAGCCAGAACCTCACCAAATCCCTGCCGGAAACAGAGGGACATACTCGTCCTACGAAATCTCCTCGTCCTCCTCGGGGTGGAAGGCGTCTCCAAATGCAGAGCCCTCCATGGCGTCCAGATTCAGGTCGTCGTCGTTATCATAACTTGCAAGCGCATCTCCAGCCGTGTCCACTTCCACATTGTCAAAATCCCCTCCCATGCCGAAATCAGGAGTGTTCAGTGCTCCATCCGCCGGCGCCTGAGCTTGACCTTGCTGTGGCTGATCGGTGCTCTGGCCATTGGACTGGTCCGCGGTCCCGTCCGCCGCAGCTGAACTTTCATCTTGTTGACCTTCATCTGGTAGATCCGGAATCACCATGTCGTTCTGACCCCCGTCTTCCCCAATCATGACCCATTCCTCGGCGTCTTGGTTGACATTGTCGACTTGGTCATCCATCCCATCCATATTGACGTCCGTGACAATATCGTCCATTTGTGGAAGCTCTTCGGCTTGTTGATTGGCATCTGCTTCAGGCCGTTGCTCCGTATCCGTAGACTGTGCCGGTTGTGCTTCAGATGGTGCAGGTAGTGTTTCCGCAGTCGCACTGCTTTGTTGCTCACCGGTGGCCACAGAAACATCCTGCTGCTCTTGCTTTGGCTCCTCGACAGTATTCACAACCGGCTGTGGCTGTGGCTGCGGTTGTTGCGGTTGTTGAGTGTTGGCATTCTCTACGTTGGGAAGAGGGTGGGAAGCTTTTTGCGGCGAAGTAACAACCGGAGCCTGAGGTTGAGCTGGGACTTCAGCGACTTTGCTTCGCTCCTCCAAGCCTCCTCTTGAAACTAGCGCCACAGTAGTGGTCCTTGTCAGCTTCTGACCCATATGCGACTCTACTGTTTCCATGATATCGTCAATCGCGTCACGCGGGACATTGTCGGCATCACCATTGGACTCGTCTTTGGAGATATTTGGTCTCTCTGAGACATCCGCCACTGTTCGTAGCTTCTTTTCAGCAGCCGTCAATGCTGTAGACCGACGTAGCTTTTCCATTCTCCGAGCGTGTCTGTTCCTCATTTCTTCCAACTCTTCCTGCATTTTGGCCAGTTTTTCAGAAGCGCGCTTGATGAAGTCATCAGCTCGCCCAGCAGGCATTTTACCAACTCGTGGCGGTGGTCCATTACTCGATTCTTTCGCGACCGACACAGGAGCATCGAAGAAATCTTTGGTCAGTTCTTCCAGCTGGCCCTTCTTTCCAAAACCCAATTCACTGGGGATGATGGAGAGTGTAGGATACGGCGACTCGATTAACTCCTCCATCCATTCATGGTGTTGCTCGTAGCGAACTCGACTGATATCTCTGGGGGCCATAAAATCAAGCAAGTCACCACGAGAGACATCTTCTTCTTCCTCCACAGTCGAGTCTTGGGTAATGCTCGCGCCTCTTCGGTGACCAACGCCGGGAGGGATTTGGCCTTGAGCCGGTCCTCTGGCTACCCCCGGAGGCAAGTGCATCGTGGGCCAATTTGATCGGTCGTGTAGCATAAACTCTTTTCTGGGCAGTTGTCCTTGACTCTGGATCATGCGACGCTGTTGGAGGAGTGCATGAACATGGGGCATGATCGGGATGTTGGCGGCGGGTACTTGGTCGCGCGGAGAGGCTTTTGAGTAGTGCGTCAGCCACAAGCTAGGATCGGGATTTGGGAGGCCATGAGCTGGGTTCCCAGGAAGCAGCCGGTATCGCCTTCTGCTGTGCGTGGCCATGATTTCGCCTGTGGCTCGAAAGCCCGCTCTCTGCAGAAACATTTCCAAAGTCTGTCCGGACACCATTAGCGCTGGCCGCAGACGGTAGAGGCTTCCCCTACATATCCCCGGACTTCGGACTTGTAGACATGTTCCACATCTGCCCAGATGAAGCCGTCACTTGCATAGCTTGTACCCAGGTATTCGAGCGGCTGCCACTCGAGGATCAATGTGCCGTCCGCTGGAGTGTCAAGGAATTGCCATTGCATAGGCTGCAGGTCGCGCACAATCTTGGGCGCTTCCAGCAGGTATCCAACGATAGTATCGACGGCTGGGTTGCTCGTGATCGGGTAGCGATATTTGGAGACCAGATGCAGATGAGGCAGCTTGAGTGTGTACAAGTCAGTCCTGGAAAGGGAATCCAAATCCAAGGTGAGGAGGATTTTGCAACTCACCAGCTGCGGCGGGATGCCGGCCGCGGGGTCTTTCATCATCGGATTCATCCTGAAGCGAATGCAATTAGAGGAAGGCTGCTGATATCATGGAAATCAATTGCTGCTAAAGTGGTGGTGCAAAAAAGGCTGCAGGTCAGAGCGCGCCTGCAACTGCGACGCGATCAATCTGGGGCTAGGATTTTGGGCGAGGCTGGGGTTCTTGGCGACTATTTCAGCCTTGTCACGTGCTGGCCTTGAGAGCGCCAGCCTCGTTGCCATTTCCTTTACTTTCCCCCAGCATTAGAGGGCATCCTTAGAGCCAGACATCGTTTCTCGTTGCTCGTGGTTGGTCCTGGACCAAGTACTCCGCATCCCGGAAAGTAAAATTTGCTTGTCATAACAACTCAACCTCTCCCCTCTGGACGCCTTTCCTCACGTCCTTCCACCTGACAACCCAGACCTCTCCTCTCCTCATCCTCAGCACTACACTAGCACCTTCTTCCTGGTCCTGGTCCCTCGCCTCATCGACATCCCGCTCATTATTCCAGGTGCCCTCACTTAAGCATCTCACAAGTACAGCCTTTGAGCCGTCTGGCCCCTCTATCATAGGTACCCCTCCGCTTGAGTCATCCATCCTCTGTAAGCCCGTCGGAAGCGAGTTCAGAAAACTCGAATCGTAAAGTTCTCCTATCAGGGCTTGATGATGTCTCAGGAAGGCTACTTCCGATGTCGACATGATAGTGGACGTCTTCGTGTCGGAGTTGAGATGTTGGGTGAGGTAATAAGTAGCGTACTTGGTCATCTTGGCGAGTCTTTGTCTCAACAAACTCCTTACAAGGAACTGTGACCGTGATAGATCTGTCTGTAATATTGCGAGAATGAGGTTGGCATTCTGTGTGCTGCTAGTCGGCTTTCCACCCACGATCCCATCCATCGAATTTGGGTACAGTGACGAGGAACCACCGTCCATTCCGCTGGCTAGATCTTCAATACGCGATATTTGAGCTTGAACGCGCGCCATTACGCGACTCATGAGTTCTGTAGGATAAGGGAGCAGATCAGGTGCACAGCGCTCCGATGTCCATGCGCGTGTAAGGAGCTGGTGGTCTATGAAGGCGTCGGTGTCGCTGACAGAGTATGAGTTTGTTGCTGTTGAGTAGGGCTGAGAGCGCGAAACGTCCGCGAGGATGTCTGAGATATCAATGTCCATTGTTTCCGCGAATAGTCGGCTCCGCGAAATGATAAGTTTGCGGCCGACGGCGAAAATTGGTCTGGGCTGTAGGGGTAATTTCGACGCGGCCACGGACGGCTGCAACTAATGTGTCAGGACCTTGAGATTTTAGAGGCAGAGAGACGGGAATGCTTGACACCCCCTAGACGCTTCAACTCTTGCTCTAGAATCGGATCTCATACATTCGGTAGATGTGATTTGGATTTTCTTACGATGAATGTGGTCAAATGGTATGCAGTATTAACATCAATCTTCAATCACGAAAATGGCGCGTCTGACGGTGGCATATAAAACGGGCCAGCCCTTGGCAAACCACCAGCCCAAGACCTAGTATAACAACACAAATAAGTTCGGCACGGACTTTCTACGTCTGGCAAACCACACCGCATCGATCTATTTTTGCCCTCAAGTATCATCGCTGAGTATTATGAGAAGTTGATACAGTCTCAATCCCCCCTCGACGCCGAAACATTAACCGCAGGATGCACCAAAGTAACAGGGACCAATACCTCATTCCGGCGAGGTTTTCTTCAACCCTTCATTCAATTTCGAGCCTCTGTTCGCAATTTTCTGTTTGCCAAGGACAATGTGGTCTTCTCGTGATATAACTAGGGTTCCGTTGCAATTGTCACGACAGGTTTGACGACGGCCGTGTCAGTGATTGGGCCCCCTTGTAAGATGTCAAAGTCACGCTCACGGACCCATTGGAGTTTGTTCGCCTGGAGCAGTGCTTTAGCCTCGCCTTGTCGGCTCTGTTGCACAAGCCGCAGCGCCTTTTCCGCAATCTCTAACCGCTCAGGAGGTTCCGGGGTGAAATAGAAGCGTCTTTCAATCTCATCGATTGGCTCCACAATCTCGCTGAATAATGCTGCAGCTTCGTCTGGATGCTCATGTTGTCGGAGAACATTTGCCAATGTCAAACGTATCCAGAGCAGCGACCTGTTGTTGTCCTCCCTGCTGATACCGGTGCTCTGATCAACGAGCCTCTGAAGAACCATCCTCGGCCGGTTGTAATATCCACGGTCGAATTCTATCAGGGACGATATGTACTGCAATTGACACGTCCGCTCGAAGTCAGCTGCAAAGACCTCGGAAGATTTGATCGCGTCCAGGACTTGTCTGGCAAGAGCCAGCTTCGCATTGTCTCGATATTCAAGGGCAAGAGCCAGGGCAGTATCGACAGTCAAATTCAAGTCGTCACCGAAAACTCGTCGTCTCTGCCTCCAAGCATCCAACAGAGCTTCTTCCGCCGTGGCGTGCTCTTTCAATTTGCGGCAGACCATGCCGAGCGCCGTTCGCGACATGATACATAGTGGATGAGCATCACCCCCGATGGGACTCCACTCGCGGAGGATTTTGTCATAATTCGTACGAGCTGTGGTTAGGTTTCCCTGTTTTTCCTGCACATACCCTTGATAAAGTCTTGTCACCAGACCATTGGCTGAATTTTCACCTTGCAAGCGCTTGAAGCCCTCCTCGGTCTCCATGAGGCTCGCCGTGGCCTGATTGAACTTCGCACAAGAGTACTGTGCATAACCTAGTAATTGCACAGTCACATAGACGTCTAGACTGTCCTGGTTGTAAATCTCCCTTTGTGTAGCTGCAACCCTTGACAGCTCTTGCTCTGCCTCCACAAATCGCCCTTGCCAAAAGAACTCTTGTAACATACTTGTTTTCGTTTGGAGCGTGAGTGGATGTCGAGCGCCCAGAGTACTTTCAAGCCCTTCTGCCACCGCCTCCTTGTACCAGAACCCTTTTCGCCAGTCTGATCGGGATCGGCCCCCCAGATTGAAGAATTGCCCGAGCCGCATGAATGGGAGATATGGAGCCACATTATCTTGTGCCTTCTCCTTCAACTCTTTTTGCAGTCTTTCATGTGGCTTCACGAAGTAGTCCTTTATGGGGATCTTCTGTTGTGTGCCTTCGTCAAGACCCTCATACCAAGTTTTAAGCATAGTCTGTACCTCCAATTGTGGCGCAAGGCCACTCTGATGCTTTGCCTCAAACAGGTTTTCGGACCAGGTGACAGCCTGGATTCCTCGCAGAAATTGAGCAAGCAGACCAAGGATATCGTCCGGGGGTCTTCGAAGTGCCGTCATGTGCTCATGCCAGTGAAGAACTGCATACTCGTAAAGGACCGACTCTCTCAACGGCTGGGGGTCGTCATTGCCCGTGATCATATGAGGAGGCAACAGATGCTTGCGCAGCAGCCGTAAAGCAATTTTCCAAGACTGGTACATCTCGTTGTTCAGTTTTTCGAGACATTTTTTGGCCAGGAACAGGTCAGGACCTTCCGACCTGGCGTCTTTGTAGATGTATTCCTTGAGAGTAGGGTGGGTTAGATACACATAAGGTGCTCGAACTCGCACCAGTGGATGGCAGAGACCATCGACATCCACGGCCATGTCCTCGTCGTTGCGAGGAGACCCCATGAGCTCCTCATTTTCATGGCCGCCAATGAAGGAAAATAAGGTCCGAAGCGTCAGAGGCTCCCGCGCAGCAGCAAGCACCCAGAGAATGTGCTTTTGCCGTGTTTTGTCTTGCTCTTCGAAGCTACAAGCAGTCTCCCGAATGACTTCTTCGTAAACCCGTTGAAGTTCGGTTGGGAAAGTCAGTAGTTTCCGCCTTCGAGTCTGAAGACTGGGTCCTTGACGGACATGGTTCAAGAGCAGATGCACCCACAGGAAACTTCCCAGGCAATCTCTCTCTATTCGACGCAGGATATCGTCTTGGATTGGTTGGAGGAGCCCCCGGTATCGCGAGATCTCTTGTCTTGCAAATAGCTCGATGTCGGACTTTGTCTTATCAGGCGTCATCTCAATCATGTATGAATTTTGTATTATTGGCTGCTTCCTCGACGTTAGGATGACCGAATGGTGGACATTGGTAGAGATGGCTGTTAGTGTGCGTTCAAGAAGCTCGCTGTCCTGGGACTCGCTGCATTGATCCAAAGCATCGATGATCAGGGTCACAGGGGGTAGAAAGGAAACAATCTCTTGCGTGATTTGAGCCAGTTGTTGTGTTCCGCACTCGCCAGCGTGCCCGAATGCAGAGCGAAATCTCTTCACCTTTTCCAGCCAGGGAGCGATATCATGGTATGAATGGAGAAGTCCAGATCTGCAAATTCGCAGAAGCATGGAGAGGAATAGTTGGCGGATTTGGTCCCCCCGGCGACGATTCTCGGTGCCCAAGGGAAATAGTAGCACTGTCTCTTGCCGGAGCGCGGTGACGAGCGTATGAGCAAGTACTGTCTTTCCTACGCCTTCAGGCCAAGTTAGCAAGGGAGTCAATCCGCGAGGCTAAGAGGGAGCGTTGGACCAGTATCCCCTTTTATCCAGAGTGGCCACCTGTCGACCGTTGCTGTCTTCCACCTGATCCATGTTGGATCCGAGAAGATCCATTCGCCCGTTCCTGGAGTAGGCTCGACGGTAGAAGGCTCGGAGAGTGGTGCCGCAATTTCTAGCCATTTCACCGTGTTATGGAGCATTTCGACTGCTTGTGCATCTTTACAAAAAGTGTCGCGTCAGTCGGCAGATCTTTTGCCAGGTGGACCGCTCTTATCACGCCATACCTCGGACCTGAATGTTGTGCTGTAACTTCAGCTTGCGAATAGCTAAAGAACAGTCAGCCGCAGTCGCGTGAGCCCCAACTCCAACGTCGGGCGTTATACTACACACATTGCTGAGTTTGATGAGTGTCGGCTCTGATATTCTGTAGAAGAGCGGTCTGTTCTCGAGCTTGACGAAAATGAAATTGATATGCTGCTCGAAGCTCTGAATGCAGTTGGACACGTTAGTCATTGGAGAAAGTCCTGTGCGTTGGGTGGCACCCCGTGCGACTTGGCCAAATCAACGTTCACTTGTCCCTCCAAAGCCACAATCTCCCCACCACTTTCAAAAAGTGAGGCTGGCACAGCTCAGAGATGCTTCAACCTAGTGCTGGGTTGGGATAAGGGTGCAATAATGCACGTACCGTCACGGAATTTTGCCTGTGCAATTCTTTCGTCGGCAGCTCTAGCTTGGTGGACAACTTGTCCTGTATCGATCGCACGCCCTCAGATTTTGAGCCTTAAAAGGCCTTCGGGGAATCCTCTCACCTTGGCGTACTGTATGTTTGATTCGCTGGTCCAGTTGCAGCTCCAGCGTCTGCAGCTCGTTATAGCAACGATTCAACTTAGGCGAGACACTCCCTCTGAGGACTTGAGCTACTTTTCGTCGAGAGAGCTGGATGTCGAGGCGGACCAGATAGCAGAGAATATGGGCAAAGTACACCGCAACTTGGTCCAGGATTTCCGGATGGTCCTTGAAGGTGCGTGCTACTTGTTCGTAAAGACCTGTGCTGCCCACAATCACCACCAAATGCTGTCCAATATCGTCCAGGAATTGTATGTAGGAGGCTCCCAACTATTTCGTATTGCCGCGGTCGGATGTCAGAGACAGAAAAGCATTCTCCAGAGTCCGTTGAGTTCTTACCTGCAAGCACAGACGGATGGTTCCCCAAACCACAGCAGCTGGAAGAGGTTGCGGCGCTATAAGGACATCACCAACTTCGGCACAATCGTGCAATTTGCGAATGATGCTGCGCAAGGTCTTCTTCCATCCCTGGTCGGTGACACAGTCTGGTCGTCTGTCCGCCTCGATCTCTCTTGCCAGCTCTCCAAGGGTGCAGCACTTGAACTTCTTGCCGAGCTCCTGAAGCTTTACTTTCTTTTGTCGATCCCGAGTGAGGCGGTCATTGAAGTACTATGTGGTCAGGCGAGGTTGGTCAGTGAGCAAAAAGATGACTCCTGACTGATCACCTGGGCCCCTCTGTTTAGGCGCATGCAGCGGTGTGGGTGCTGGCCCATCTCGAGGGACAGGCCCCTGCTGGGTGCCTGTTAGCCCTGCCTGTGAGCGTGTTTTATGTTCTGGGCCGAGGCATGGTTGGTACCTAGGTAGGTAGCCAATTGCTGCGCCATGTAGACAGAGAGGGCCTCAGGATCGCTACCGAACGGAGCAGAGGGGGTAAGGTGGTACAAGTAACACTCACATCAACCGCCTTGACCCAGCATTCGTTGACAACGTCCTGCATCTTTGGTCGCTTTTCTGAGGGGAATCAGAATCGCCCACAATTTGGGTGTGGCACAGTCGACGTGTTGGAAGGTGATGAAGGCCATGGTTTCCTGAATGCTGGCACACCATACGCTTTATGCTGATTTAGTGAGGCTCTTTGCGAGCATTCAGCCCTTATTACATTGCCTACAGGACGGCCGATGCTGCCATGAGTGTGCCTGAAGGCGCTGGCTAGTGAGGCTACCGACCAGACTGTGCTTCTGATCTCGTATTCCGAGTGTCTCTGCAACGTCCCACTGGCTGCATTGGCTGCAAGGCAGAATGTCCTTGATCCCTTCCGTGGTTGGTTCACGCCCTTCACTGCTGCCCAACATTGCCTACCAGGGACGGAAGCTGCTCCAATCACCAATGCCAACAAGCGTCATTTCGGGCTTGAGAGCCTCAACTGCGCCTTTTCGCGGTTGCCCCTGAGGTCTGTCGAGCTGGTCTATTATCCGCGCGCATTTGGAGATAGTTTGAGCTTGCTTCGCTGTTCCAAACTGAATCAGAATCACCAGACTTTCACAAAATCCATCTATACTCTTTCACGTCTCAATTGACTCATCTTGCCTCCCTGCGTATAATTGAAGATGGCAGACTCGCCATCCAGTGGCGGGCGACGGGAAGGCCCGTCCACTGCGGGGGATCCTATCAACTGCCCCAGTGGGTGCAAGCTTCGACATCAGCTAGGCGACGACCTCAATACGGCGTCCTGCCATTGCGACGAAGGTTACTATGACAGGGAGCGACAAGTCTTTTATTCCGGCAGCGACGTCCGCGACGGAAAGTCTCCAGAGACCCGTAGACAATACCTGAAGCGTATCGCAGGTACCGATGCGGATCCCAACATGAACCGTCAAGGCGATTATTTTATACCAAGAGATGGAATAAGATACGACGTTCTGAAGCGTCTGAGAGAGATCTATTTTGTCAAGGAAGCTCAAATATGGGAGCATGAGCTAGTGAGTGCACACACATGACTTCTTTGTGACGCCTGCTCATTTCACCTAGAACGACCAGGAAGGCTGGCTGATTCGGGCACACAGACGAAATTATCCGTGGAAGGTACGCCGTAGAGAACAGAAAGTTGTGTTCTTTGCTAAAATCACAAGGCGATCGTCGAGTATCTGCAGCAAGAAAGTCGATATCAGGACGACACAGGTCATCCCTGCACCGAGAGAGCACCACTCTCCGGCGCATTAAGGTCCAGACGGCCTTCAGAAACACAGATAGCTCTCCCATCAGCAGGTGCGGTAGGGACTCAGGCAAGCTCCAGCTATTCTACCGCCGTGTCATCTGCAAGGTACCCATCGTAAGTTCACCAGCTGCTCTCAAATGCACCCACCTATCTAACAGTCAGGAGATATTCGTCACAAGGCGAAACAACTCAAGCGTACACGCAAGCTCGACAGGGCACCTCAGAATCAGCTGGCGCAGGGTCGGGCTCACCTGTGACCTCTACAGCAAGCGCGTTCCCTCTGCATTTGTTCACTCCCCCCCATAGCGCTCCAGGCCTACCACGTCCGCAAAGAGGGCAGACCGGGGTCATGCCTCCGATGAGTCGCACTGACAGAGAACAGCTACCTATTCGTCCTTCTCAAGACGCACCGTGGACCCCGATTGGCCTCATGTCAGAAAGAACACAAGCGAGGAGCTACAGATCATCACGTGCTGGCGGCGAGAATAGCAATGAGGATGACGCCGACGAACATCCCAGCTCTGAGAGCCGGTCATATGCCACCACCAGGGCTATTGAGAAGCGGCAAAATGTTAACTTTTTGCATGACATGTACAGCAGTGCAGGTCAACACAGTCTAGAAGAAGGCGCTAGTGGGGCTAACTACATCCCCATAAGTCGGAGAAGAGAAACCCAACCGCCGGTCGCAGACAGAAACGATGGACGAGAATCCTCGCGTGATGATCTCAGTGATGTGCCTAGGGCCTTGACAGAGCCCGCAGATGAGACTCCCTCCCAGACCGCACGGCCTCCAATTACGTCGTCATTACCTCCGCGGACAAAAGGGACGGCTGCGGATGAAAAACAGAAGAGAAAGGGTTCGAGGCGATGAAGTACAAAAGAATCAAGTCCCCAAAACAAAAGGAAAGAGTGAAGCATCATCACATTAACAAACACGACATGCAGCGAAATTACATCAATGCAATAGGACGAGTACAGGAGTCGGGACGGTTCATGGTGTCAGCATACGCCATCACGTACTTTGATATGGACGGAGTGCCTGGTATGATCAACCGGATCTGGGCCAGCTTGATCGGCCCATAGGGTGGCAGGTGCAGGAATCTGCCTTATTCGGGGATGTTCGGGATATTCGTCCCCTGGACGGGAGTTGTGCCATGCACGGCACAGGATGGCACGGCATAGTATAGCGTCATCTCCCACAGTTGAGTTGTATATGATCGTATCCACCAAGGGAGCCATTCCCTTGATATACCTCGATGGTTCTCGTCCTGATCTTCCCCATACCGGTTCCCGGATACTACCTATGTACATAGGTACTATGTATGAGTAGATGGATATACCATAACCTCTGGGCTGGCTGTTCTACCCACACTGCTAGTACATAGTACAAGGTGTCTATCGAGGTATCCACACCTTTAGCTTTATTAGCCGCAAGACCCGCCCCTACTGGGACTTCCCTCTACCTAGCGAAAGTATAATTTCACTTGCCAGTAATTAGAATTTCGACGCGAGCTTGAATCTCTTTTGAGTAGATGTCCCTTCTTCGTACCTTGTCTATCGAAGTCTCAAGAATGAACATAGGTACGTACATTCCCGTAGCTCCTTGACCGCCGCATTTGGTATCTGCCACCGCGTCTGCAGTCCATGCTGCTGACTCCATGCAATATGATTGTCCAGTAGCCGCGCTATCAGGCCGAGCTTTGTTACGGTGAAACCTGCTCACTTCTGCCATTTCTCTTTCGAAGCGCTCAGCTTGTAGACGGCGTCTTGTTCTTCACCATGAGTTGAATCCAGCAGGCATAAGCGCTCGATCCAACTGCGCTGGAAGACGCCAAAGAAGCGCTCGTTTGGGCAGAGAACAGGCAGGCCCCGGGAGCTGAAACACCTCGAGGGCACTATCGCTAATAAACGTCTCTCCACTTTGTCCAACATTCGGAGACGAGAAACAAGGTGATGCTATCCCACGGTTGATAGGGGGTATGGAATAAGTTTGGGCACCCATTACCTAACCAAGGATATCTGAAAGACAGCATCGAGCCCTTTTGCAAACCGGCACGCTTGCATTCCTCTCGCTCGAGCCAACAGCGTGTCGAGGTTGTTCTTGTCGTACAGATTGAAAACTTGGTCTGTGCAGCACTGTCCTTACGGCCTCTATTCAAGGTGTGAAGGGAGGCAACGTCAGACCGCAGACGAGGCATCCGAGGAGGGACATTTTGCTTTCAAGGCCCTTTCTCACACCGCAAGAAGGCGGATCTGGCATCAGACCTCCATAATGTGGTGGCGGCTTTGGTGTAGCATTTATCTCACACAATGAGCGGACTTCAAGTGTAAGTATTTGCGCGAAAAGCACATTGATGGATATGTCCAGAGCAGCAGCCTCGGGAACAGGGTAGAGGCCTTTGATCTTCAACTTCTTGGCAAGGTCACCGAAGACAAGAGCGTCACACTTTGCGTCTCGTGGGCATTGCTGCTTTTCACCCAGATAACGTCCAAGGGTCTCGTTCAGGTAGGTGAGCATGCTTTCGATGACCGATAGTCGACTCGATTCGATCTTGGCTTTAGGCGTGCACTGTCAGATGGCTTGAAAGCTAGAGCTAAGGGACGTACTTACCGGGAATCGTGGGCGGAAATGGAAGGCCATTTTCGTCAAAGCGAGAAGTACATCCGAGAATAGCAGATTTGGTCAGTTGAAGATACTCAAGTGGCTTCCTGAGAACCCAGCAAGTGAAAATCCAATCTGCGAGACATACAGCCCGAATTTCGCGCTTCCACCAGAGTTCAGAGAACCAGAGATTGGTGTACACTCCGGTAGCCTCCTGAAGCTCGTACTTATCAATGAGAACCACGATCGCCAAAAACAACGTGCGTTCAACTTCGAGAGGCACGCTTCTGTTCAGTCCATGTATGATACCAAGCAAAATCATCATAGCGTCGGCATCGTCTTCAGGAAGCGGTACTCTTGTCAACTGATCAACCTCCGGCGCGACACCTTCCCGAAATTTGCCATTGAACATGGTATGAAACACCCTTGACGCCAGCGAAAGATGTTTTGAGGACACCTTGACTTCGATCTCTTGAATATTTTGGGCGGTCAGTGCCTCCGCAGGCGATGATCCATGGTGCTGCCCAGCAGGAGTTTCGCGCTGCGCATCTTTGCCCTTTTTGGTGGTAGGCGTCTCGGCGTTAGGGTCGGAATCAGATGGAGCGATTGTCTTGCTCAGGACTAAGAGGACGTCGCCATGAGGGTCGTAAATGGTGCTTCGAGGCTCTTGAAGATACCAAGACCACTGCGAAGGACGAGAGACACTGGAGTTTGAACTGGCAGTCGCCATTTTTTCGAGGTTCACCAAGTGAGCCGGTTCGGAGGAGATTCAAAGAAATAGTGGTGAAGCTGAAGCAGCAAAAGAGTTTTGAAAATGAGGGAGAAAAGGAGGTGGAAGTGAAAACGCGTGTGGGTGACCAAGTGAAGTACTCCTTCACTTTGTCCTCATTCACATCATGCATGATCTTTGCAAGAGGAACCTAGATTAATGCGCCGCAACAGCTACACTAGAACAGTCGAGATAGAATTACACGGAACCTGCGTCTCCTCATACTTGTATCTCTTTCAGAATTCCTAGTCTTTAGAGATGAAAGTAGTATAGGCGCTCATCGATGCACTAGGCTGTGAAATTTCCCCATGTTTCCTTGTATGGATCTCAAGTTGAAAGCTCGTTCAGCTCTTCCAACCTCAGCCAGAGTCTCGTCCTTTGCCGCTCAAAGTCGAAGACATCGACGTTGACTGGTCGACCATGCGCCATGCCGATGCTTGTTCCCTGCCATCCTTGAGTGCTCCATGCATATGTCATTGGCTATCGTCCCATCATAGAATCATGCCATCCAAATCCTCCAAACATAGTCCTGCCCTGTATGCGCCACTGCGAGAAACCGATGAACGGAACGCAGACGCTTAGAATCATTCCTCTCACGCCAAGTAGTTGTACGAAGGTTTTGCTGGATCGGGGCCCCTCTCTAAGTATTCCTTCTCTATCAGTGATTCGATCTTCTTCTTGATCATATTCACATCCGGTTGGAAACGTGATGAAATCTGGGCGAGAGTCTCCGTCATGAGCTGCGAATGCGACAAACTCTTGCGTGACTTCATGATACGGACGATCGCGGCCTCGATGACGATTCCACGCTCTTCTTCTGTTCGCTTTTGAGTCGCACGCCGCTCCTCGTGGTTCTCGACCCGATTGCCGCCGCCGCCTGCGACCACGCTCACTTTGATCTTGAGAAACTGGCTAGTGAAGTCTTCATTGAAGAAGAATTTGTCTGATGACTTGACGTCTTTCGTCACAGGCTCTTTCCGGAGAACTCTCCATTTGTTAACCAACGACAGAGACTGCAAGTTGCGGATGAGATCAGGCTTTGGAATATTGGTCTCGGCCGCAATCTGCTCAAAGGTAAGAGATTCCCCGAGTGGAAGATCGTTGAAGAGCATGAGAATAACCATCGCGTAGGTCGAAACGTTGAGTTCGTATCGTCGCGTCTTGCCACCAGTCGTGAATGTAGCTCTCATATCAGCGTCACCAAGACCGGGCATCCATGTCAACTTTCTACCTGTATGCTTATCAAGGTAGAACTTCTGGAATCTTTGCCGTACCTGTTCGACTGGAGCTGGGAACTTGCAATCGGTCCTGGAAGCATTATCGTCAGGCTTGTTGAGCGTTTCAAATGGCCAGATAGTGGTGGTTAAGACCCTGCAGTCCAGCTCAACGCGTTTGGGATCGGGGTCGCCAAGTTGATTGACGTATTCCTTGTATTTCATGTTGAGATCGTCCGAAGTCTCGGTGTCCCTGATAAGGCCCTCGAGCTTTTGGGTGAACTGGTTTCCGATCTTCATCTTCATCTTTGAGAGCATCTGGCGCTCCATTTCCCGGCTGACCGATTTCTTCATCAGAAGGCGCTTGGCCATGTGTCTCTTGTAGTATGTCTCGAACGTGTCTTTGTTCGCCAGGTATTGGAGAAGCAAGATGCCGTTGTCAAGTATTGTGTCGACTTCAGCATCGCTCTTGTCCTTACCGCCCCGTTTCAGATATTCATCAAGAAAGAGAGACAGATGCTCGGCGCTGCGCTCGTTGATATTGATGAAATCCTGGAATGAATTCTCCAGAGCTTTCTCTAGTACTGTATCTCTCTGGAACGCTTGAATCCAGAGAGCGTCGAACTTGGCCTTCAAGGCTAGAATCTGCTCCACCCACACGATGGCGGCCTGGGTCTGTTGGCTCAGCGCCTTCTCCTGCTGAATGCCTCTACTGTCGGCAACAGCTTTCTGAGCGGCTTTCGGTGCAGGCGCGGCATCACCGATCACATTCGCAGCCTTGTTGATATCCATCCCGAGTTCTATCACACGCTTCTTGACCACATCCTTCAGCGCGGTTTTCCGCGGGTCCACTCTGCTGATGAGCTCAAAGACATTGGTAAGATCTTGGACCTTGTCACTGTCCAGCATACTCTGCACCCCGGTACCCTCCATGTTGATGACATCGCGGATATGAGCAGATATAAGCTCCTTCTCCACCACAGCTTTGATTTTCTGTTCTGTAATTGGGGAGATGGTCTGCTGGCAGCGCTCTTGTTCTTCTGCCAACCTTTTTCTTGCGTGGGTGCAAAATGTACTTGCGTCAGCCTCAACCAACAATGTTTGGCCTTCGCTCGTGTAGAATTCTCGACTCGTTTGGAGAAACTTGGGCTCAAATGACGTGAGGTAGAGTTTGCTGGATTCTTCCTCGGCGAATGTTTCGTAGAGCCCCTCTAGCATGTAGCAACAAGCACGAACCAGCGGTCGGTCAATGATTTCACCTTTTCGTTCCGACCTGATCATGTCGAGAAGAACAGTTTCCAACAGGGAGAGAACAGAGGTTTTCGGATCACCATCCAAGGGAGTGTTGAGGACCTGGGTTCGAAACAGCGCCATCGAAGCGGCAAAAGTCGACGGTCTCTTCTGTTCTTGAGAAAACATGCGGTCCTGCTTGGGCTATAAGCATCATATCAGCGCAACGGGGAAAAAGTCGAGGCCACAAACCATGTACATAAGAACGTCGGTAATCATCCCGGTACAGAGTTGATGGTCGGCAAAGGCGTCGTTCAGAGCCCTAATAAACCTCTCACCAGCGACTCTACCTTCCTCGGACACAATGGTAACATTTTGATCCAAGCGATCAGCCAAGAGAGCAGGTGTTATGAGGTTGTGTATCTTCATCCGCACATTTTCCCGCAGCCACGTCTCTATCAGTTGTACGACCCTGTCGTACAGCATGTCCTGCTTTTTCTTCAAGACCAGCTTGTATGCATTGCGGAAGAGTTCTTCGAAGGAGAGTTTGGATGCGTTCTTGGCGAAGATCTCTTGAAAAGCGGTGGATAAAGTGTTCCATGTTGAATCGAAGTCGACGTCGTCCTTCGTCAGACCCTGGCAGCGGGGCATGTTAGCAGGTGACCGAGACCCAAGGCCTTGCTTGACAGAGGCGAGTGCAAACTGAATCTGGGCCTAGTATTGGCAAAATAGAGAGAGTGAACATGAATGGGAAAGTGAGGCAGGAATATCAACAGTCTGCGGCTTGGTGAATGAACAAAGGTGGCAGTGAACTCCAGCTGGACCGCAGTCTGAGAATCCGGTTCACGGGTGAGGCACATACCCTTCTCGGGGCTCTGATCTTCGGGCCACCTTTCTTAGCCAACATGATGGGCAGGACACATTGCCTGCTCCAAGGCAGCCCTCAAGCTCGCGGTTGTTTCCAAGAGGCTGAGCAGATATTAACTCGAGGTGCAGGTGGTGGAGAAGGCTTTTGGAGAAAGTGTGGCCGCGGGAAGGCAACGGGGAATGGAAGTCTCTTCAGATGGCGATTCAAACTTGCCCTCAACGTTTTCCAGCTCCAAGGATGGATCGAAAGAGAGACAGAGAAGCGGTATTCGTGGTAATCTCGTTCATTCTCTCGACTTGACGCCACTGTGCTGGCCAAAGGCCTCTGTCTGCCAGTTGCCAATCCACAACGAAGCCGCTCGCGTCGGCACCACATCGGATCGGAGGCGGATCGGAATATTAAAAACCCATCCTCCCATCCTCCCATGGTCGCCATCCTCGGAGGAGACCCCCTCGACCCTTCGTCATCGGCCGACTGCCTCAAATTATTTCTCTCCGCGGACTCGAAGTTCACATTTTCTCAAGAAATTTGCGGCACCATGCGATCAATGTCACAAGTGGCGCGCAGAGCTGCTGGCAGCACCTTTGTGTCCCGGTCAATCAGGAATTACTCGCGGGCTTCGTCGCTCGCGCCGACAAACCCACTGGTCTGGCGACAGCCAACCTCAACTCGTCGTCCATTCGCACCGATCAACCGATACAACTCTTCCCTGTCTGTGCCCGGAGCCAAACCACAGCCGGCAGAAGAGCGAGACGAGCCTTCCTACGAACTGAGCTTTACCTGCAAGCCTTGCCTCTACCGATCCACCCATCGCATCACCAAACAAGGTTACCACCGCGGAACGGTTCTGGTCACCTGTCCGTCCTGCAAAGCCCGCCATGTTATCGCCGACCACCTCAAAGTCTTCTTAGACAAGAGCTCGACGCTTGAAGATATATTAAGGAAGAAAGCAGCGGCCGGCGAAGATTTCACCAAACTGTTGAAGAAGGGAAGATTGGGCATCCGACCGGGTGAGATGGTGGGCAATGAAGGCGAAGAGGATCTTGAGTTTTGGGAGGATGGCACTGAATCTGTGCACACTCCGATCGAGGGAAAGCAAGCAAGTCAACAAGGCTGATATTAACCTCGGGTGAAAAGGCACGGAATGCGACTGGACAATCTCATGCCTCGCGGTGTGTTTCTGTCGACACAGGACACGACAGGAAGGGCGGTATTCACACCCAAGTCTCGCGACAGCTTTTAAATCTCCGATCGAGAGATTGACAACCTTCAAAATCTGCCTTGTTAGAGGATTCGGCTTTTCCTTGCCACCACTCCGTTTTCATCAGAATTGGAAGGACGTCAACATCCACATCGACGTCGAAAAACGCCGACTAAAACCGTCTCCGCTCTATTGCGCCCAAGCGAGCTGCTTTGCGCTTACAATTATCCGACCCCGTTGTCCTCCGGTAATAGGTGGACTTGCTGATTCCACTCCAGTCAGCGCGGTATTGTACTATATGTGTCCGATTTACGAAGCGTGTGGAGGTCCCGCCTCGTTTGTGGGAAGCTGATAGATCTGTTGACCTTTGACGGTCATACAGAAACATGTACCTAATACAAAATGTACTAATACTATAGATAGCGTTCAAAATCGATTCCATTATCTCGGATATATCAGACTCTCCCGCTCAGGGATATTGTGCCAAAATTACATGAGAAAAATCCAATTTTCTTGAGGTCTTGAGAATGTCGGCATATCCATCGCTCTAACGAATTGTCTTACCGTCCTGGATGCTTTTGATGTCGGTGTAAAATCTCCTCCCTTAATGGCCATTCACAACGCTCTCCTGGACCAAATACACCCTCGCCTCCCACGGGGTCAAGTACCTACCGACCTCCTCGCCTTGTGGGAGGTTACTGATCAACAGCTCCTTGCTCACGCCCACAGCCTCCAGGCCGTGCGGGTAGTGCAAGGGCTGAGTGTGGTCGGAGAAGTTGAGAAAGACCAACAACCTGCGATCGCCGTCCGGGTGTGTCTTTGTGAAGGTGAAGACGTCCTGGTCAAAAAAGTCCCAGACCTGGAAGTCTGTGCCGAAGACGGTGAGCTCGACGTGTTTCTTGCGCAGGGCGATCATGCGTTTCCAGAAGGAGAGGACCGAGCCCGGGTCGTGGCGCTGCGCGGCGACGTTGACGGCTTCATAGTCGTCGTGGACGCGGATCCAGGGTTTCTTGGCCGTGGTGAAGCCGGCGTTGGCGGACGAGTCCCACTGCACGGGCAGGCGGGCGTTGTCCCTGCCCACGAGCTGTAGGCCCTTCATGGCCTTCTGCAACCAGAGCGGGTCGCCCTTGTGCCGGGTCTTGACGTCGTTGTAGGCGTTGAGCGAGTCAATGTCCCGCAGCTCCTCGATGCCCCAGTGTTCCGGGTGGTTGTACATGCCGATCTCCTGGCCCTGGTAGATGAACAGCGTGCCCGTGAGGGTGCACATCAGCACCGCGAGCATCTTGGCCGCTTTCTCCCGCCACTGCGGCTTGTCCGTCGCGAACCGCGTCAGGCTTCGCCCTTGGTCGTGGTTCTCGAGGAACACCGTCGTCCACGCGTCCGTGCCGTTTGTGAGGTGCTGCACTTTGCGAATCGCGTCCTTGAACTGCGGCAATGTGTGCCGCACCGTGTGGTGCTTTTTCCCGCCGCCGCCGGTCGCGGTCCCCAGCATGACCACGTCGAAGTCGAAGACGCAGCTCAGCTCTCGCGCCTCGGCCGAGACGTACTTCAACACCTCTGCCGCTTCCGTCCCGGGCAGCTCCCCGACGATCAAGATGTCACCGTACTTGTCGAGGACCTGTTGGCGTTGCTCCCTGAACCATTCATGCATGCGCGGGCCGTTGACGTAAAATTCTTCCGCGGGCTGGAATTCCTCTCCGTGGAGCTTTGTGACCGCGTCCGGGAACGATACGTCCTTGGAGTACAAATTGCAGGCATCCACGCGGAACCCGTCGATGCCCCTGTCGAGCCAGAACTCAATGGCGGATTTGTAGATCGCCTTGCGGGTCTCCTCGTTCTCCCAGTTCAAATCCGGCTGCTCCTTCACGAACAGGTGGAGATAATACTGGTCCCGCTCTTCACAGTACTCCCACGCACTGCCGCCAAAGATGGACCGCCAATTGCTCGGCGGATGTCTCTTGCCGTCGACATCGATTTTCGGATCCCGCCAGACGTACCAGTCGGCGTACTTGTTGGTCCTGCTTTTGCGTGACTCCTGGAACCACGCGTGTTGGTCGCTGGTGTGGTTGATGACCAGGTCCAGAATCAGTTTCATCCCGCGGTCGTGGCATTCCCTGATCAACTGGTCCATGTCGGCCAGCGTCCCGTAAGCCGGGTAGACGTCCTCGTAGTTGGAAATGTCGTAGCCCATGTCCTTCTGCGGCGAGTTGTACATGGGTGACAGCCATATTGTCTCCACCCCGAGATCTTTCAGGTATGGCAATGTGCTGATGATGCCGGGAATGTCACCGATTCCGTCGCCATTGCTGTCCTTGTACGAAGCAGGCCAGATTTGATAGCAGGTGCTGGCTTTCCACCAGTTGGGCTTCGGCGCAGACATGTCCTAGATCAGATACTTCAAAAATCAAGAGCTCGAGCGGAATTCCCCTGGAATGAGAAAGTATGGATGCAGAGATACGGGACGAAGAGAAGAGAGAGTGTAAATTCAAAAGCACGAGAGCGAGAGACGACACAGACTGCAGAACAAATCGCTCTGACTGGGGATGAACAGTAAATACCTTTAAAACGAGTTCACATGATCACGAGGAACGGACCGCCTTCTGGATGAGTTCTAGGTGAATTCTATCTCATGTCAAGGGCGTGAGATCATGGTGTAGCTGTCGAACTTTTATTCGGAGAAATCAGGACCTGACGTGTTAGCGGTGCATATTGCAACAGGAAGTATTTTACCCTGCCATTTTAGGCTGTGCAGCTACAACCGTCAGGCCAATTAGAATCGTCAAGGGGAGATTTGAAGATGGAGGTCTAGAAGGGAAGAGACACAAGGACGCGAGGCCGTAGATCTTTACGGTACATTTGAAGAAGGATTGCGGGGAGCGCGAGAGGAATTTGTCCGAGAGTTTGGCCGTTGCAATGACAAGCGAAACAAGCGTGCAACGGCTAAGTGCGATGCCTCCATCATACAATTATGATGTGGATCTATTCTCTTGGAGGAATCGGCGTGGGCTTTGCCACGATCAAAGAATCCTTAGAAAGAAGAGTCGCAGGTTGTGTCCACTTCGACAGTCTGGATTTTCGGCATGAAACTCTAGATCTACCCATCAACCAAGTATTGAATTTTCCTCCGAGGGCTCGTTCTCATCAATTCCTTGTTGGTCTTCCAGCGCATAAAGACACAGCACAGGGGGAATAACGCAGTATTCACCGCGCACCATGCGAACAGCACGCCAAAATTCAAGCCGATCCGACTGTGTGTGTCAAATAGAATTGTGCGACTGGCCTCAACAATATGATATAAGGGCCAGGCGTAGCCAAAATGGAAGAAACCTGGCGCCAACGGAATCGCATAAAAGGCAGTCGAGACGTTGGATATAACCCAAAAGATGAGCCACCTTGGATGCGACGTTAGCGCTGGTATTTGTATCTAACACGAGGAGAAATTGGGAACTCACAAAGCAGTCCACGGCTGCCCAATGATCATGGTGACATTTTCACTGGCCAACCCTAACGCATACATTCCCACCCAGTTCAGCATCCAATACACCACAAATGTTGCGCGTCCGTAGGCATCCGGGTTTTTGGCCATCGTGGTGTCGTTGTGCGGATAGCCATTGGAGAAAGGAATGAGAAATGCCAGTGACACCAACGAGTAAGCCAGTGACATTAGGAGATAAGCGGCAGTCGTCATAAAGAGACGGAAGAGAACAAGTTCCCAAAAGTGGAGGGGTGCATGACCCTTCGGGATGAGAAACTTGGTGTAGACCGGTAGAAAAAAGGAAAAGGAGAAGAATGCAATGATGATGAGGTAGATGAGGCCGATTGTGACGGCCGGCGTGGCCTGTGCAGGCATGAAGGGCCGGAGGTCGAAAAATGAGAAGCCAATTGCCGGGTTTAATGCTTGTGGCGCACGAGAGTACGTGGCTGCATCGAGCGATCTGTTGGACAGGACGTTCCTGATCCAGCGTTCTCCAAACACTGACGCCACGTTGATTTCAAAGTCAAACAGTTGAGGGTTGATGTAGTCGCCATAGGTTGTCTGATCTCGGGCTGAGTTGACGATGATCTGACAGGCCCCAAGGGGAGAGTAGGTGGTATTTCCAGTGGCGACAGCTCGTTGGAGAAGTGCTGTGGCGTTGGCATTGACAATGATGGCGGCCCAGACATGCTCATCGTAGACGGCTTGTCTCACTGCGAGGGGTTCACCACCATATTTCTCTGGAGGGTCGATCCTGTACCCCAGTGCATAAGCAGGAAGGGAAGCCTGTTCCCGTGCCAGCTGTTCGACGACCTCTCCCACCAAGGGCGTCGTACCTTCGTAGGGCGGTACCCTGCCATCAAAGCTGACCACGGCCACAGTCAGAGCCGATAAGTTCTGCGGCACATGGAAAAGGACAGCCCAGTAGAGTGAAAGAACGCAAAGGATGAAGCAGAAGAGCATCAGGACTGTAAGGGCCCATTTCATCGCGACCTCCTTACGCACAGCCTTCAGTGACGGGTCGAAGAAGCCGATCGGTAAAGGAGGAGGCTCTGGCGAATTTTTCTCTTCATCGTGGTTTGTCCCACCTGGCGCTTGGTTCTCATCCTTTTCATGCCCAGAGTCATTGTATTGCTTCTCTCGCTGTTCGTCCTTCCCTGCACGGTCTGACTGTAGGGTATGATCCGAGCTATTTTCTTCCATGCTCAGAATTTGGAGAGGCCTTCTTTAAACACGAAGTGTATTTTTTCAAGACAAGCAATTCGCACTCGAGAAATAGGATGACGCGCAGCCTTGCCACAGGTTTAGCGAGTCAACCTAGCTTTTCTCTGGCGTCGACACACAATGCACGAGGTCCATTGTCCTAAGAACATGGGTCTCAATTTGACAGCTCTCTCAAGCATTATGAAGAACAAGACCGTCAGGGTTTGGCATCAAAGGCCCAAAAGTCGTGACGTTGTGACAGTTGTTGCCATGATGTCATGTTGCGGAAGTACATATCGCACATATCGTGGATCAAAGCCACACTTGGATTGCAGTTGCGATGCGGAAACATGGCTCGCATTCATGAGGACATCGTGGGTTCTCATACAGTTACCGAGAGCTTGTCCATGTTTGACGTGAGATATAAAAATGACTTGCAAGATCTGTGAGCTGGGAGGCCCCGTTCAACAGGCACCTCTTACAATGGTTCAACAGCCCCGACTGGTCAGATAAGGTTCGGCGGGACCCGTCGTTCTTATATATGGCAAATCTTATGACGGCCCGGCGAGCCGGATACGAGACAACAAGAAGTACAGTCGGAAATGCATCATGTTGGGAGATGAAGTCGGTACCTAGGTAGGTATTCAAGCCCGGAACTGGATGCTGAGAGGAACAATGATATCCCGGCTCCGGCGACAGTGGCAACGATGGACAAATTTTGCCCATGTAGCTTTACAATCCTCCACGATGCTTAGTGGACTCCAAACCTAGTGACCATCCAGGTAGACTACCCCTTGATCGTTCTCAGCGCGAGTTACTATATGCAGCAATTGTTTGCACATCACTGAGGAGTTGCGACACTACCTACCACAACGGTGGCGGGAAGTTTCAATTCGCTTTTGGTGGCCTGCATCCGTGGAGGAAGGAGACATCACAGTCTACTTCAAAGTGATCAATCCCGCGAACAGCTCTGTGCGCTGACACTCGATTTTGACATGCCTTGAGAACGACTTGAAAAAGCAAAGTGGATGTGGATGTGGATGGGGTAAAGGAGGTGATGAAGGTTGTATTGGATCCAAAGCCGCGATTGAAGATAAGGCTGTCACATCTAATAAGACTAATATACTACCTAGTAGCTATTGTACCTTGTATTTGACAGTCCTACTGGCTCAGGTTGGGTTATCTAGCTGCGTTCAAGTTGGGGGCCAAGGGGCCACGATACGAGTACATACTAAGTACACAAAGAATAGGCAACTGGTGGACGCCTGCCATTCTGGAAGGCTGATTGATTGCTGCTGATTGCTGCTGATTGCTGCCTAGCACCTGCCTTGGGCGACATATACAAACCACAGGGTTCCGGACATTCTCTCCTCTTGGCTTTCCACTGTACCATCCTTCACTAATTTCTCACAGAATACGAAGATATGCTTAACAAAATACCGCTAGAGATCTTGGAGCACATACTCTCCTCCCTGGAGCGCGAGGACCTGCAGGCTGTTCGCCTCGTGAACTGGGCCTTGTCGAGCAAAGTCGGACCTGCCTTGTTCCGAACCCTCTACGTTTCATGCCTCACCTTAGATCGCCTCCAGCACATCGCTCGTCACCCTACGCTCTGCCTTGCCGTGGAGGAACTTCGGTACCAGGAGCTCAATTTTGACCTCATTGTCGATGAAGAACGGTCCTGGGAGGTCCTCGATGGGCCAACATGGAGGGATGAACGGATGGATTACTTGGAGATAACGATTTGTCAGTTCATTACTGCCTTGCAATCGGACAGAGAACACTTATTAGGGGACTCAAGAGCGTCAGATCTGACAGACGATGAAGGAGATACAACGATGGTTGATGCAGAACAATGGAAGCCGGATAGAAGAGAGGTTCGCGCAATGGTGGTTGCGGTGAAGGAGTTGTACGCCGAAAAGGCTCGCCTACAGAGTCCCCTTCACCTGTATGGAGTCTTCCGCGAAGCATTGCCGCGCCTCCTAAACCTGCGTCGAGTCGTGTGCGTCGAAGCCGAAGCAGGTTGCATCGCGATGGATTCTGCGCGAATAGAGCGAACCGGAGCTTTTGACCGACTGAGGAATGTCTTACCCCTGAGCGACCATCACCTCCGCTCAACTCTCCAGCGGGACACGCTGGCCTGGCCATCGCACGGGTTCATGGGTATCTGGCGCGCCTTGAGTGATCAGGACTCCAACCCTGGGATACGACACCTTGAAGTCCGACGAAACAGCGACCTCTTTCTGAAGCACGGCATACACCTCAATGCACCGGACTTGGACTCGCACGGCCCTGCGCTTGTGCACGGGTTCCGAAACCTTATGGTGCTGAGTCTCTGCCTCGAAGTGAACGCCAGGGCCTCGTCGGACATGGTCCCAAACGCTGCCATCCTGTCCGAAGCTCTCAGACACGCCACGAACTTGAGGCGACTGGAAATCTGCCTGACGTCCTGCGCTGCGATGCCACCCCATAGCTGGATGGTCCTTCGCAGCCACAGGGGCGTCCCCTTTGGCGACGCAGCCGTCAGGCAACCAAACATTCTGCCTTTTGTCTCCTTCCCGGATCTCCACACGGTGGTCTTCGAGGAGGCCGATTTCACGAGTGACCAGATCTGCGCTTGGCTGTTCATGCAACCCAAGCTGAGACACCTGACTTTGAGAAGACCGTACCTGCAGGGCCGCTGGCAGAATGTGATCCAGAGGTGGTCGGACGCGCCAGAATTTGTGCTCGACTCGTTCGAGCTGCTCAGCCCGTGGGACTATGACAATCGAGACCTTGAAGAGAACCCGCCACACCCGGACATGGTGCAAGTGCCCTCGCGCGTTCGAAGCGATGCTCTTCTTGAATTCATCAACCGGGGTGGTGAATTGAATCCCTTCGAAGTCCGGACGTGGAGGCCGTTTCATGCGGCAGGGGAGAGAGAGAATGATGCTGCGAATGATGAGACTGAGACGGATGAGAATGATGAGACTGGTGAGAGTGAGGAGACTGAGGAGACTGGTGAGAGTGAGGAGACTGAGGAGACTGGTGAGAATGATGACGATGATGACGCCCAGGACGAGGAAGACAATCTCTCAGAATACTCAGATCTCTCCGAATGGGTGCCCGAGGATCATCCAACGCCCGTTGAGGATCCGGATGGGCCTGAATTCGACGAAGACTATGATTTCGACGCCGAACCAGACAGCGACATCGAATTGGAGGGAGGACCGTCGGGCCTGAGGCAAGAAGAAGTCATGCAGGATCTAGCGTACATTGTTTACGGATATTAGATTGACCCCGAAAGAGCAGGCACTTTTACGGTAGACAGTCGTGTTCCAGGACACTTTTAATTCATACCCAGCTCTCTTCCCTTCCCTTAGGAAAGCAGGATGATGATGCCGTATGCTTCAAGTAGCTCGGTAAATAGTTGTTTAAAAGCGGCGTGAGTTTGGGTGGATGTCGAGATGCCAAGACTTGTCTCATCCAACCTCGGCTGTATATGGCGGCAGCACTGCAGCACTGGGCAGTCTTCGCAATACAATCGCTAATGTTGCCGTACAACTAAACACTGGTAGGCCATGGACAGGTCGCTCGCGACCTTGCTGAGGTCTCTGCAGACCTCAGATCATTCAGACGATGCCGCCCGGTGAGTAACGGAACACTTTGATCCATCCGGTCATACTAACTCACGGCAAGGTTACTACCAGCGGCCACGAGTCTTCTCTCGCGTCTTTCGAACCCTCTCAATATCACGCTGTTGACATCGCAGTTACTGTCGAATGACGTGCTGTACCCAATTCCTACAGAGGTTGCCAGGTGTCGACCGATTTTCAGCGTCTTTTATACTGCGGTGCTGCGCTTGATTGAAGATAAGCATAGCCCGGCACAGGAACATATCCGCAGCAATCTCACCGTCACGGAATGGACGACTGCTGTGGTACATGGAGCAAATGACAAATCTCCTCGGTGGAGGCATACATTATTGCTTGGAGCGCTGCTCCTGGCTTTTCAAGCTAAAGACTTCGAGGGACTGGCTTCAGGCGTAAAGAACAAACTACAAGTCGCACTCGTGGTCGCGTCAAATCTGGCCCTGCAAGACAAGGACGCTGAGCCTAATTGCGAGCTGGCTGTGGTCTTTGTCTTGAACCATACCTTCCCTCTCCTCTCCGATGCCCACCGGCAGCAGATCAGTTATGATCTGCTTCTGCCTATATTGGTTGACGCGACATTCTTCTCTCGCGAAGGCCTCGAGCACGGATACTGGCTAGGGGTCATCGACTACGACGTCCGACCGTCGCCCGACCGGAGGTTCAACTGGGCGGCCAATTCCACATCTTTCCGCAAAGTCACAGAGGTCAAATCGCGAAACTTTGTATCTGCACTTGGTGCTCTGTCGCGCTTGATCGCTCACAGCATCGAGAATGTCCATGACCGATCCGTGATCATTTATAGCGTCAACAGGCTTGCTGACTTTTCGCGCACTTTTGCTACATCGTGGCGACAGAACAAGTTGTCCGAAGTCGATACCAAGGAGGAAGCTCAATGCTTGGACCAGGAGACTATCAACAAGACCTTCCCCGTTCTTCTACAGGTGCTCAGAGACACAATGTTCTCTGTGGTTATCAGCCTCCGATCGGTGCTAGGAAGACTTCTCTGTGACAGGGTTCTGGCGTCTGACACCAATTGCCCCGGCATAGCCATGCAATCTTTGCACATTTTGCGTGACACATACTTCATAGCACACCGATTCGGGCTCACCTCATCTTCACAATACGTATTTGTCAACTTTACAGCCATTGATATCCTGAGCCAATATCCGCTACAGTCGGAAAATTTCCTTGACTCTATCCGACCAGCTGATCTTGGTCGAATTCCTCCTCACCCCCTCGACAGGCTCCAAGATCTCTTCTTCCTCAACACTGCCGAGCATTTCACCTTGATCCTGCCACCGCAAACCAACCAGGACCTCCTCTTTAACGCGGCAACCCCGTATGTTGATCCACAAGGAGATCCGCGGTTGGCGGAGATCTTTGAAGCTGCCCACAGTGTTGTGTTGGCCATCCTTGCTGCACCTCAAAACGCGGAGCTTGCGGCAAAAATGGTTCCGTTTTACGTCGAGACACTGCTCCAGAGCTTTCCAAACCCGCTGTCGGCACGCCAGTTCCGATTAGCCATCAAATCTGTTGTCCGTATCGCTGCGCCACCGTCTGCCATTGCCGCCTCTATGCCTCATCTCCAGGCCGTTGTTCTTGATCTGCTTAGGGAACGTATGGATCGTGCCTCGGAAGATTCACTTCCACCTAACCCAGATCTCCCCCTCGAGAACAGTCAACCTTTGTCTGAAAAGGCTGTTTTACTTCTTGCAATCATTGATTGTTTGAGTTTTCTGCCTGTTCCATTATTGGAGGAATGCCTTCCTTTGACTGCAGAGCTCCTGTACAAGGTCGGGCATCCGAGCCAAAGAAAACAATGCCAACAGCGACTGTGGGACACGCTAAGCAATGGCGAGATGGACGTTGAGCGTGCTGCAACTTGCGTTGCTTGGTGGACTTCTAGAGGAGGTCGGGAGCACGTCTTGTACGGAGAGCAGTCGGAAGAGCAAGATTTCACCATGAGCGGTGCATTACAGTTCGACAACAAGCTGTGAGACATGGGGGCGGAAATGAGTGCCCCTTCCTCCCACAATGCCGGTTGTTTGTCAATGTCTCTACCTCTGAAGACGCTTGCCCTCGTGCTTGAACAAAGCAACAGAGATGAGACTTTAGACGGTTTGCTCTTTGGTTAGTGCCTCTACAAAGCACACCCCCAGGGTGAGAACACGTCTGGTTACAAATAAGTTTCCACATACTCCAACCCGGTAAATCCCAACATCTTCTCAAGCCTCTTGTGCAGTTGTACCTGCGATCTGGTTGAGATTCTTGTCAAAATGGTTTCGCTTCGACGCACCAAGAACTTTGCTACCGACCCTCAGACCCCGATGTTCCTTTACACAATCCTCAAACAACTGGACCTCAGGTCGATCAACTGGAACGAAGTTGCAGCCTGTCTTGGTATCTCCAATGGCCACGCAGCCCGAATGAGGTACAGCCGCATGAAGTCGCAGTTTGAAGGCACATCCAACCAAGTCAAGCCATCCAAACCGAAAAAGGAGAACTCCAACGCGGCCGATAACAAGTCTTCCAAGACCAAACCAAAGAACAAGCGCCTTCTTGAGGAAGAAGAAAATGAGCGGCTGGCCAACCAACGAGCGACGTCTCAAGCTGTCATCCAACCGGATCATGACCTCAAAAGAATCAAGGTCGAACCACACCCGTACATGCATCATCCATGGTACTCTCCGTACGGCGGAGGTACAGCACAGATGTACCCAACCCCATTTTGGGGTCAATCAACCATGTCACTCAAACCGCTGCCACACCCATCGTTTGGAATGCCTGGCCTCCCTGCTCAGAATGTCATTCCTACACCTCCCATCAAGACAGAGCCTGGAACCACTTCAGCAACTTACACCGATGTCGAGACGGCGACTCCGGCCATCAAGCAGGAGGTCGATGAATCTGATGTCAGCGCTACAATTGTAAAGAAGGAACCAGGAACACTTCTAGAAGACCGAACGTTGCCTACCGATGTCAGCCGCGACAGTGTCTCCTTCGGCTATCCCATGCCTAGAACGATCCATACCTTCTTCGGCCCTCAGCAAAGTGTATCGACTTCAGGACAATCTCCTTCTTTTCATAACAACATTTCTGAATTCTCAACACCACCATCGCGCGCCTCCTATTCGCCATTCAGTGATCACAGTCAGTGTCAGAGTGCTTCTCCATGGTCCGCCACTTGTGCAGGCCAAAACACCGTGACGATTCCGACAGATGATGCCGGCGACAAAATGATTCTGAACCCTTATGCCGTCTCGTATCAAGACATGCTGAACATGCCGTTGTACAGACTGTATCCCGAGCCATCTGCTTCACAGACGTCACATGCAAAAGCTCAATATGTTACACCTCAGTCTGGCGTGGTTGAAGCACGAGACGTTGAGGAGGATAAGGAGTACAACCATGGGCATACGCCACCTGCTACCTCGACCATAGCACCACCGCCACCTGCAGGGAGTCCGACAACGAAGAACAACGATGTGGGAAGCAGCACCAGTACGTCTGTCATCCCATCAGATACCTTCAGTTCCTCTAGTGAATCTGTAGTGCATGCAGACACCAGTACCCAGCCGCCAGCTATTCCCAACATCATCGAAGTGGACTCAGATGATGAGGGCGTGGCCAGACCCAAGATCAAGAAGGAGTTTGTGGAGATGTAAGAGCTGGTAAGAATTGCAGATGACGGTGCTCCTAGGCGTCGCCAATTGTACGCAAGGGCTATGAGGATGGTTTCTGGATGACTTGATGCGGTTAGGTTGTTGATGGGGCCTCCTCTCACCAGCAAGGGGAACAGGAGATACTGTTGGATTGTCTCTGTCGTTTGCAGATCGATTCCTTCTTGATTGAAGAGCAACTACCTAGTATCCATTGTAGCATCAACCTTGTCCTCTTCTGGTTCATTCGAGGTCTGATCTGTTTCCGTGACACTTGATGCCTGAAGCTGCCTGAAGCTGCCTGAAGCTGCCTGGAGCTGCCTGGAGTTGCCTGCGGCCGAAATGCGGGGGAACCAATCATGAGAAGATCCCGGCCTTCGCCTCAATTGTGTTGGGAACGTCTTCCACTCACTCTTTCCATCTCACCGTCGACAAGCCCATCGTCTCACTACCTATTTCCGCCCAGAGTCCATCATGTAAAAGGAAAAAAAAATTCCCAAACCTCTCATCAGAAACTATCCTCTCACTCAAACCATGTTCTCGTCACTTACATCTTTCTCGCCCTTCGGTCGCGGCTTGGGTCGGAGCTCCACCTCTTCTGTCAATGCAATTGCCATCCCTGCAGTCGAGGTGCACGATGTGGAAACCTCGACGGACAAGCGAGGGCGGGCGCTCAAGCACCTGTTGAAACTCAACCATGTCAACTTTTCGATCCTGTTCAACCAGTTGAGGTTCCACAACCACACGCCTCATGTAGGAAAAACTTTCCCATCTCCCGGATCCGACCGCTCATGGTTTTCCCTTTCTTTTCTTTCCAGCTCCGCCCACCATTTCCCCAGTGTACATTGCTCACGTTTATGTTGATCGTATACAGATCCTCGGCTCCGCGTATCTCTTCTCGTCGTCCGCTGACCACTTACACGCCATCTACGAAGACGCCGCGGCGAACGAGGGCCACGAACACTGGGTCGATTCGCCCTCGGAGATCGCCCCGCACGACTACCGCGACTATCTGGGCAAACGCGAGTACCAGCGCGCGTTCGTCGACTTTTTTGAGGATCAACTGGTGCTCGCCGGCTATGACTGGAAACGCGTGGTCGAGAAATTCCTCTTCGAGAGGGGAAACGCGAAAAAGGGTGAGCCGAATGCCCAGCCGATTTTCAACTGTTTGACCGCTGGTCTGGGTCATCCGTTGATCCATCTCGGGTATGCGTATGAGCTGAATAGTCGCGAGGTGGCGATGGAGGCGCTAGGGCTGGCGGCGACGTGCTATGATGAGAAACTCGCAATATTGCTCGAGACGGCAACGTCGGCATCGACATCGGCCTCGCAATCGGCCAACAAGCCACTGACTTACTCGACGAATAATCTGTTTGAGGTCTTTGCCCGCATCCATGGAGACAGTCGTCTCGATGGGGTGTTCGAGCACCTCGGCGGGGACAACCTCACGCACTTGCTCAGCGATCCCGCCCTGACGTCGATCCTGCTCGAACACTTCCGCGCGTGGCAAATCGTCGACCCGACCAAGGACTTTGCCCAGTCGCAGGCGCTGGCGACGGCGCTGCTCATCGCCAGTGGGCCCAGCGTCGGCGGCCACGGGTGGGACTTTTTCCTCGTGCACCTGCTGACCACGTCGCACGCCGTTCGGATCTTGATCCCCTTCCTGCCAGATTCCCAGCACCACGTGCCCCTGGTGAGGGAGTGGCTGCTGATCAGCCTGGCAATCTACATCGCCCAGCTCCGCCCGCTTATCAAGACCGAGTACATCACGGAATTTGACCTGCAGGGCCGCGACTGGGACAACTACGTCACCCGCCAGGCCGTCGAAGGCAAGTCCAAGTTCAGCGCGCACTTCGTCAAGGCGTGTCGCGCCATGCGTGAGGCCGAACGGGTTTGGGGTGGCCACGCGGACGACGACAAGTACTACCTCAAGGCTGCGGTCAAGTTTGCTAGCGAGTTCGATGACTGGGGCGGCTTTGGTGCCGAGGAGATGAATTGAGTGATTGACTGACTGATTAATGTTTTTGGCCACGTTTTGGGAACTCAGAGAATTTGCTACATATTAATTACCTACTGCATGGGGTGCGATGGAAATGGGGCCGGTTGAAGGGTGACAAAATTTGTGATATGACCACCCCTTTCTTCTCCTTTCACTTTGTTTCTGGCATCTGGCGAGACCAGAGCAGTCAAAAAGTAGCAAAGAAAAAGCATCCTCATCTGCCTTGACGGTTTCTAGGCAACACACTTCAGAAAGCTCGCATCGCCTAATGAAAATCGGGATACATAAATATTCTGGACCCACCAGTAGGAAAAAGGAGCATCGTGGAGCGGATTTCGCTCCTTGATCGATCGGGCTTGCTCTCCGGTTTGACCGGGCGCCAAGATGTTGGTCGTTATGCGTATATAAAGAAGAATGACTCGGTTGTTTCTGGTATATCAAGATTGAAGACCAAAACTTCATTTCAGCTGCAGTTGATTCTACCTTCTTTCCTCCTTGTTTCGTTGAAGCGGCGATCCAATCTGCTTGCGGCGTAAGGAAGTTGCCCGCGTCCTGTCTTGCCTCATCGCCAGTCACCAGGAACATGGCCACTGCGACCGCAAACGAGCCTGCAAGCAAACGCTGCGTGAGTGCAGACAATGCTCGACGTTTCGTCGCCGATGTCCTTCAGGGTAACGGCGTGTCGGAAGAGAATGCAACGATCATAGCAGACTGTCTCATTCAGGCTGATCTCCGCGGGGTCGACACTCATGGCATGATCCGCATCCCTTCGTACATGGAACGTGTCCGACAAGGCGTGCTCGACCCCAAAGCGCAGCCCGTGTTCAATCAGGTCACGCCTGTGGTCGGGCAAGTCGACGGTCACAATTCATTTGGATTCCTGTGTGCGCATCTGGGTATGAAGCATGCGATTGGGATGGCTCGCACATACGGGATCGGCATGGTCAGTGTCAAGCATTCAAACCACTTCGGTATGTCTGCTTGGATCGTGCAACAGGCCATCGACGCCGGCATGATGAGTCTGGTGTTTACAAACTCGAGCCCGGCGCTGCCAGTTTGGGGAGGTAAGGAGAAACTCATGGGTGTAAGCCCCATTGCCTGTGGTGCGCCTGCAGGACAGGCGCCACCATTCATCCTTGACATGGCGCCCAGTGTTGCAGCCAGAGGAAAGATCTACAAGGCCAAGCGGCGGGGGGAAAAGATTCCTCTGGACTGGGCGTTAGATAAGGATGGGAAGCAGACGGATGACCCCGAGGCAGCCTTAGGAGGAGTCATGCTCCCCATGGGCGGGCCCAAGGGCTCGGGTCTCTCGATCATGATGGACGTCTTCTCAGGGGTGCTCTCGGGCAGTGCCTTTGCCGGTCATGTAACCAATCCGTACGACCCCAGTAAGCCTGCAGATACTGGCCACTTTCTCATCGCCATCAAACCTGACCTGTTCATGAGCTTGGAAGACTTCAAAGAGCGTATGGATTATCTGTACCAGCGGGTCGTGAGCTGTGAGAAGATGGAGGGGGTGGACCGAATCTTTTTCCCAGGGGAGATTGAACAAAGGACGGCTGCTGCGAGAATGGAGTCTGGAATCCCTCTGGTTGAAGCAGAGATTTCTGCATTGAATGCCGAGGCCCTGAAGGTGGGCAAACAGCAGCTTGTGCTTCTGGAGACTTGACTCCCTTACAACTTTTGTGCATCTGCGGCGCTTGGGGCCAGGATGGGATTTCTAGGGGCTGACAAAACAATTGCATCTTGTTCCCCATGGCAATTTGGAGGCTCCGTAGGTGGCGTCGGGGGCGTGTCATTGTCCCCAGTGGGTGTCCAGCTATGTCACCCACGCGCCCCGTTAGCCCCGTCCAACTCGTCAGCAAGCGAGATCGTTTCGGCATCAAAGCCACTTGGCCGCCTCCTCGTAGGCGAAGAAGCCATCTTCGTCATCTCGCATGCGGCCGCGGGATGAAAAAGGGGGCCGCCCGAGGGGTCATGCTTCAGTGTTCTGTTTTGTTCTCAACTGCTTGCTCCTCCAAGAAGCCAGATGTCACTGCTGAAGACTTCCAGATATAAGATTCGAACCAGACAAGTCATGCAGGCGGTAACCGTGCCTCACTAGCCTAGGTTCGTTGGTGTGTGACCCGAAGTTGCTGAACAAGGGTGGGCATGTGGAGAGGTATGCTGGTCACTGGGGTCGGGAATAGCATTTGGCCCAGTAATGGGAGAGACGATGAACAAGACCAGAGTCCAACTTTCGGGATCCTCTTTTTGCAGCAGTAGCACCCAAGTAGCACCCAAGTGGGTGGACAGGGGGAAGAAAATCCATGGATAGATCTTCCCGTTGGTGCGGTTTTTGTCGAGGGAGATGGTCGTATCCCGCGCATGCAGCCACCGAGCCACCCAAACCTGCGGGCTCGCTTCTTTTCCCTTCCCACCGAAGCCACCTTCCTTCCACAATGCTGGGCCATCACCGCAGTCACCACCACCACCACCACCACCACCACCACAACTTCAATTTTCGCCTGCGGGCCATACGAAGAATACAAACCTGGACCTCGTATATTCGTATCCCACTCATTTTCCCTTACCTGATTTCAGTGTCGATGCTGTATCTGCAACTGTCACCTCCATCCTTCTGCAATTCCACTCTCAGACTGTCCTTGTCCAGCACATTGTTGCGAAACCCGAGACCATAGCCCTTCGCAATCGCCACGCTTGAGGCCAATTGACCCTTTGCACTGGGCTTTACACTACAATACCTACTGCTTGCCTGCGTACTCTTTGCCCTTGCTGGTCCCTGGGCATCTTTTCTTCCTGCATTTCTATCCATCCTCTAGCGACCAATCGCGCATCCATCCATATCCATACCCCGAATTCCTCCTGCCTGTCCTGCCACTCTGGTCAACGTCTGCAGGCTCAGATCCCACTGATTTCGCCTGTCATCTGCTCCAACCTTGTTTACAGTCGCCTGCGGTACTGCGTTGCGTCGGCTTGGACGACATACACGGTGAGCTAGGAGACATAAGCAGTTCCTGTGGACAAGATCCAATATATCGTACTGGGTTGAGATCCAGTAAAGAAGGAGGACCCAGATATCGAATGACGGTGGAGACCACCAGTATGCGAGTATTCTAACGCCGTTACCCATGCCCTCGCCAGCACACGCCGTTTGTGGATGCCAAAACAAGTGCCCAAAGGACTTCAATACCTCGCATCCGCCACGAAGCTGCCTCCGGCTCGAGAGTAGCTTTCAGAAACAATGACGGGTTCCGCTTCATCCGACGCGACAGATCCCTTCAAGGACGCAAAGCCTTCAGAATCCTCTACGCAAGCAAAGGCAGGTACCTCAGCCTCCCCGACCCTGCGTCAGCATCAGACACCTCCGACATGGATACCTATTGCACCTCTGCAGTCACATATCAGCATGTTCACAGGACGATCTGATACTGAGCCACTGGTATCGCCTTCGCCATCGGCAAAGTCGGACGACAGCAGGTTGACATTGAGTCCGGCGTCTATCAATCGTGTCTTCCCCGTTCGTTCGACCGTTTCTATCGATCCCGTTGCTACTCCAATACCTCGTGTGGATTTGGGGGGGGACTATCCTGGGATGAGACCTCCCACTCGCCCTAGAAACGCAAGTCGCCCTATCATGGGACGTATGTCCACCTCAACAAGGAACGCCTCGACATCTGAAGCGTCAGACGCGGGCTCGACGTTTCACTCTGCTGGCAATTTCGACTATCAGCTTCTGAATAATCTCGTGGCTGATAACATCTCTACGAAATCGGAAGCCTCAAGCATATCCGGTGGAGTAGCACTCTCAGCAGCGTCAGAACCTGGCTTGGTCACAGCACGCTTCACGCATGTTATGACCGAGGGTGGCCATGCTGTAATCACCGGTAGGGACGGCGAGACGTTACAGAGATGTGAAGACGAGCCAATCCATATCCCGGGCGCCATTCAGAGTTTTGGTTGTCTTATTGCTTTTCGCGAAGAGAACGAAAAGCTGGTTGTGCGCGTGGCGAGTGAGAACTCGGTCGACATTATTGGCTATACACCTCAGCAGCTCTTCAAATTCGACTCCTTCCTCGACATTTTTGGCGAGGACCAAGGAGATAATTTGCTGGATCACCTGGACTTCATCCGCGACGAAGGTGCTGAAGATGTGATCGCGAATGGACCAGATGTTTTTCTCTTGTCAATCAAACCTCCGCAGGCTCGGACCCGGAGATTATGGTGTGCCATGCATCTATCCGAGACAGATCCCGGCTTGGTGATCTGTGAGTTCGAGATCGAAAACGACACGAGGAATCCGTTGGTTTCCCTGGAGGACATGAGTCCCCCGGTTCCTGAAAACACCCTTGGAAGCAACCCGACCAGGGAAGAACTGATGGACAGCACCGTCAATATCAGCAAACCGCTACGTGTATTGCGGAGTGCACGAAGAAAAAGAACCGAGGCAGCAGCAATGGAGGTGTTCAACGTAATGTCTCAAGTACAGGAACAACTTTCCAACGCGCCCACCCTGCAAACCTTTCTTAAAGTTCTCATTGGGATTGTCAAGGAACTGACCGGCTTCCATCGTGTCATGATATATCAATTCGACAACGCCTGGAACGGGAGAGTTGTTGCAGAACTGGTTGATCCTCGATCAACTCGAGACCTGTACAAAGGTCTGAATTTTCCCGCATCCGACATACCCAAACAGGCACGAGACCTGTATAAGATCAACAAAATCCGCTTGCTTTATGATCGTGATCAGGAGACAGCCCGACTGGTATGCAGGACTGTGGAAGACCTTGACAAGCCTCTCGACATGACACATGCCAACCTTCGCGCCATGTCTCCGATCCACATCAAATATCTCGCCAATATGGGAGTCCGGTCATCCATGTCGATCTCGATCAATGCTTTCAATGAGCTGTGGGGATTGATTTCTTGCCATTCATATGGGTCCAAGGGGATGAGGGTGTCATTCCCCATCCGCAAAATGTGTCGGTTAGTCGGCGAGACTGCATCCCGCAACGTGGAACGCCTGTCCTACGCCTCCAGATTACAAGCTCGTAAACTCATCAATACCTCCTCTACCGCAACAAACCCATCGGGTTATATAGTGGCCTCATCTGACGACTTATTGAAGTTGTTCGACGCCGATGTCGGTGCTCTCTCTATCAGAGATGAGACGAAGATCCTGGGCAACCCCCGGGGACACCTTCAAGAGGTCCTTGCCATGGTTGAATACCTGAGAATGAGGAGGATGAGCGCAGTATTCTGCTCCCAGGACATCAGCAGCGACTTTCCTGACCTGCGATATGAACCAGGCTGGAAATTCCTGGCCGGTGTCCTTTTCGTCCCTCTGTCGACTGGTGGCAATGATTTTATCGCCTTCTTCCGCAAGGGCGTGCTGCAAGAAGTTAAATGGGCTGGCAATCCCTATGAAAAGTTTGTCAGAGAAGGTACTGAAGGCTACCTTGAACCCAGAACAAGCTTCAAAGCGTGGAGCGAGACCATCGTAGGTCGATGTCGGGACTGGACGGATGAAGAGATAGAGACAGCATCCGTCCTATGTCTTGTCTATGGTAAATTTATCGAGGTCTGGCGCCAGAAAGAAGCAGCCCTCCAAAACAGTCAACTGACTCGTCTTCTACTTGCCAATTCCGCTCATGAGGTCCGCACCCCGTTGAACGCAATCATCAACTACCTGGAAATAGCGCTTGAAGGTCAGTTGGACCAGGACACCCGAGAGAACTTGGCTAGATCCCATTCCGCCTCGAAATCATTGGTTTATGTCATCAACGATCTCTTGGACCTTACGAAGACGGAAGGGGGGCAGACACTTGTCACAGATGAGGCTTTCAATCTTCTGCAGACCTTGAAGGACGCCACCGAACCCTTTGTTGGCGATGCGAAGCGAAAAAGTTTACAGTACGAGGTCACGCTACAGCCCGAGCTGCCTCAAAAAGTCATGGGCGATTATCGACGAGTTCGACAAGTGGTGTCTAACCTCGTTGCGAACGCAATACAGCACACAAAGGAAGGAAAAGTCGTTGTCCAAGCATATACTTTACCAACTACGCAAGTCCCGGGCAAAATCGAGATTGAAGTTGTCGTCGAGGATTCCGGAGTAGGGATGTCTCAGAACAGAGTGGACGCGTTGTTTAGAGAACTTGAAGAAGTTTCCTATGAAGAGGATCTGCAGGCACCTCCGGTGACCACGATTGATGGGATCGCCAACTCGGCACAGCCTGAAAACATGGCTCTTGGTCTTGGCCTAGCTGTTGTCGCACGCACCATTCGGAATATGAATGGACAGCTGCGTGTGAAGACAGAGGAGGGGAAAGGTTCCCGTTTCGTCATTGTCCTAAGTTTCGATATCAATGAAGGGCCCAAGCCTGCTCAACCCGACCATCGTCCTCGGTCATCAGACGCCAAATCTCGACCTTCTACGTCTTCTGGGCAACAGGGAGGCGAGGTCACCTTGATCTACAAGCACCCGCCAAAAGTCTCGGAGCCGCCTCCTCTGCTTCGCAAAGACAGTGGGGGAAGCATGAACAGCTTGGCAAGTCTCAAGAGCGGAAAGAGTGGCCTCAGCCTCAAAAGCGAGGCAAGCCAGAAGAGTGACGCGGAGAGACTCATCGACGCTATTAAGCAGCCTTTGCAGCTGGCTGAACAGAAGAACACCCCTTCTAGTCCTAGCGCCAAAGAGTCCCATCGCATATCGCTCAATTTATCAGAAGCCTCGCCAAATGCTCCAAAGTCGAGAAGCTTGCCTTCTCCAAGGGAATTAAGGTCTGCATTCTTCAGGACAGCAGGGTCGGAGACAATCAAAGACTCTGGGACTCCACTGCGACCAGTCCGGGTACCCGTTGACCAGCCTGACCAGCCAAGTGGATCAATATCTGGGCCTAGGGTCCTTTTTGAAGAGCCGGAGTCTGTGGGCACAAGATCTGATACGACTGAGACCCCGAGAGTTTCATCATTCGAAAACTTCTCGGTCCTCGTCGCGGAGGACGACCCTATCAATAGCAAAATTATGAGGAAACGCCTGGAAAAGCTTGGACACGCGGTCCATATGACAGTGAATGGTGAGGAGTGTTCTTCGGCCCACGGGGAACAGCCTGCATCATTCGATGCCATTCTGATGGACCTTCAAATGCCCATTGTAGACGGGTTCGGCTCCACGAAGATGATTCGATCGTTCGAAAAAGTGCACGGCAAGTCGAGTCTCTCCAGTAGAGCTGGGCGCAACGGACGAATTCCTATTTTTGCGGTCTCTGCTTCGCTCGTCGAGAGGGAGCACGACAAATATGTGCAAACGGGCTTTGACGGCTGGATATTGAAGCCGGTGGATTTCAAACGGGTGGATCTGCTCTTGAAGGGCATTGTGGATCAAGAAGCCCGGAACGAATGTGTCTATGAGCCGGGCAAATGGGAAAGAGGAGGTTGGTTCTCCAATGGGCACGAACAGCAAGGTCCTTTCGATGTCGACACCAAGCCGAGTCAGCAGAAGCCTACCATACAAACGGAACAAAGTGACCACGAAATGACGGGAACGGAAACCCTGTCAGCCGAGCAATCACCACCTTCAGAAACGGCAACTATTGTACCAGAAAACGAGAACACATGATGAAACGGCCATTGGCACGAGGCGCCATTGAATAGGCCCCTGGAAGGAGAGCGCCCTGCTTCATTCGTAATGATATGCGATACGTGTGTGTATGAAATATGTCACGGATTCTGCGAGGAGTCCTCTGTGGAAGCAGGAATCAAGCAGTACGCCGTTGTTACTGGTTAGGCGATCAAGGCATTCTTGCGGTTGCGTATAGGGAGGGCTACAAGGAATATCCACTAGATATAGGATAAATCGAGGTCCCAACGGCTCGAGGCAAATCAAAACGGCAATGGCATTCGTTCCTCTCCAGTCATAAGCTGTAAGGCTGAGTGTGGTCCTATAGTATCTATGCCATGAAAATGATGTTTCCGTGAAAAGACGGCCTGATTTACGGTGAAACATCGGGACTTAGTGCCAGGTATATATGTAATATAAATATATATGTGAACTTGCGGCCGTCAGTCAGGTATAAGCCGCTAAATGTTGAAGGGGTACATCATCATCGCTGGCTAATGCCGGCTCTCTCCCAATCCAATCACCCGCTTATCAATATCCATGGGCTCCTGGTTCTTGACAGCATCACTCGCCCCACGTAGTGAGTGACATTATTTATTTACTCACAGAGGGACGCGGAATAGATTGGACTCCTCGATCTCTGTCCACAGCCTGATGCCGTCCGAGTCATTGGTGTACTGATACCACAGGAACATGCCCAGCCGGTCGCGCATGGTCGCCCAGTTACCGATGCCCAGACGACGGGTCAAGTCGTCCAGAGTCGCACAGAACCAGGCACGGTCCGGTGAGCCTATGGCGGCGATGGCGCCCATGGCCGTGGCCCACAGGATCAGGTCCGAGGCTTCATTCGACCAGGGTTGGAGGGAGGAGTCGAGCAATAGCTCCTGGATGTCGCGAGCGAGGCGGTGAAAGGGCGCGGCGATGGCCGGGAGCGGGAAAACGACCAGCAGGCTGTAGATGACGGTGGCTAGACGCGCGAGTCGGATCAAAGGGTGCTCGTCTTGGACCTCGCCGGGCAGCGGCGTCAATAGCAAAAGACTGTGCTGCACAAAGTTCCTCTCGTCCGAAACGCAGCCCAGTTTCTGGGCCTCCGGGCGGGCTTTGACGTGGTCGTCGACGGCGAACGTGTACTGGATGATCCACTTGAGAACAATGAGCAGTTTCTCGACCCTCTCGTGACCCAGTAGTTCGGGGAGGATGCGGAATCCTCGGCCTAGACCGACCAGCGGATGGGTTTTCCTCGAGGCCGCGTTCAAGGGTCCGATGACATCGTCATGCATCTTCTCGTACGGCAGCATTGGTTTGGTGAGAGTCTGGCAGGCCAGAATGATGTCTCCGCTGTGTGCGGTGGCAGGCGTTAATGCCAGACTTTGGAATGCAGGAGAGGGGGGGCCGACTTACAAGGAAATAGCTTGCGCCAGCCCAGGCAGCTTGAGTTTGGAAAGGCCTCCCCGGAGCGTCAACATCTTGGCCAGGCCTTGCAGATGCACATTGACGGTCCGCAGGCGACCGCCATACAGATGAAGAAGTTGCAACGTGGTCAATGGACCTTGGGATGGTGCTGGTGTGGGAGGATGGACTCGAGGCTCGCCGTGATAGGACAAGGCGTATACCGCAAGAATGTTTTCATCCTCGCAGCTCACCGACGTATCGGCGAACTTCTGATGCACGCCTCGAATGGTTTCGGTGTAACATTGCATTGTCTCTGGAGAGTCGGAAGGCGACAAAAGGAATATGCGATTGCGCGTTAGTTGACAAAACAATGAGGCATGGAAGAGACTTCGGTCGCGAAAGGTCATCTGGAGCCATTTCTCCGAATGAGGACTCATCGTCTGACCCTTCTCGGGCGGGAACATCAGCGACAGGAAGCTGTTCACTGACGACCACCATCAGCCCTTTCCTGTTTCGCTTCATTCGAGCAAACAAGTACGCACCTTGATCGAGGATAGGGCTAACGAACTCCTTGGGCAAGTCGCATGGATAAGTTTCAAACGGGTCATAGTGCCCAGATACCAACAGGCTGGACAGGCTGGCGCTAGTGATTGTTACCAGCTCGCCTCCTTGCGATCCTTGCAGAGGCGAGCCTGCCACGAACTCGATTGTCTCGTCTTCAGTCTTGGGTGACCGATCTTCGCTTTCTGTTGAGGAAGACTCGATCGTCTGAGGAGTCGCCGGGGCGAGGACTCTCTTGGAAGGCTTGACCTGGCTGCGGGTCGAAGAACGACGTCTTGCTACCGGCGGTCGACTCGTCGCAGCGCCATCAGTGGATCTCCTGACTCGGCGCCAGTGGTAGTTGGAAGCATTGGAACGAACGAGGGTCTTGTTCCGCGAGCGTTCGGCGTCGGTGGAGGGGTTTGCGGTGACAAATTGAAAGGTTTTGGCGGCAGCGGCGGCGGCGGCAGGAGAAGCACGAGCAGGACTCGACGCTGCGACTCCAGCGCTTGGATCCGGCCGAGGAGTCACGGCTCGCGCCTTGTGCATGTCCTGCCGTTCCTAGACATAATCTTGAACAAGATTTGGCCCTCAGGAAATGAGCTGGATGGGGGGTGGTGGTGACAGTCCTTCCACGTCCGCAGTTTTGGGAAAAACAAGAAGGCGACGGCATTGTGCTCGCTACCTAGCCGTGTGGGGTTTGGTTTGCGACGGAATCTGGCGAGAGCTGGTTCACAGTTCAGCCCATGCCTGCAGGTCACAGGGCCTTCGAGGGAGGGGGCTGTTCGTCGGCGTGTGAGAGGTGGATGGCTCGATGGGTAAAATGGATGGGCAATGAACAAGGGCGCAGTTGGAACGGGTGGTGAAGGGCATGTGGAGGGGGTCAGGGAGTGTTTGGAAGGGGCACTTGGGGGGGTAAGTGAGTGGATTTTATCCGGGGCGTCGCTTGCAACCTTGAGTCCTTGACCTATTGCCCCCGCAACCCTCAACCCGCACATCAACCTCCCCCCGCGCGATGTTTCCTTGGGATCTTGACGTCGATGACTTGTAGCTGCAGGCCCTAGAGGCCCTAGAGTCCCTAGAGTCCCTAGAGCGTAGCGCCAGTCACTGAAACCATCTCCTTTAGCTTTCGATCTTCCCCTAAACAACAGGTTCCTAGGTCCTTTGGTAATATGACGAGACCTTGACGCCATTCGATCTGCCCAACAAGGCTGAGGCACTTTTCTAGCTCTCATGACAATCGCTGTCCCCTTCCAACATAAATACTCTGGATTTGCAAGAACATGCACACCATTCTCATTGACGTTGGCTCATCCGTCAACATCAAAGATGCCGCCACGCCGATCTAAAAGGAGAAAGACAGGCTCTGATACAGCAGCCGGAGCTGACGAAACGCCTTCGTCTACGGTCAATGGCAGCCAGGATGGCTCTTCTACCCACAAGGAAAGTGGTGGCGACGTCAACTCCAAGATCGAAGCTGAAGTCCGAGGGTCCGCACCCGAGCAGCCAGCAGTGCTGCCGGGAGAGGAGCAAACGGTGATCCCTGCGAGCAACAACGAAGCCCACACTGACACGATCAGCAACGCCAGCGAAGCACCCACCTTTGATGACATTGACCCGGCCGACCATGCCGACCACCCGGCAATCTTCGACGAGGAAGAAGTCCCGGACTACGACGCCGATGTCAAGTCCAAAGAACACACGAGTGGCGGACGGCAACAGGGTGGCTTCAACGCCCTGAAATCCTTCCACGGCCAGATGTACACGGGCATGGCCATCGGCGGCTCGCACAAGTGGAACTACGACCAGGGAGTCTGGAACGAGACCAAGACCGAGCCGGACCTGTGGAAAATCGACTTTGAGACGACCAAGAGACGGGCGCGGAATGCTCCCAAGGGGAGTGGTGCGCCGGTGGGCACAGAGTATCATTGGCTTATCGTTGCTCATCAGGTAAGGTCGGTTGCTGCTTACACCGCGCAACTCTATCGCCCCCTTTTTCGATAGATGAGTTTAAGCTTTGCAACGGGGGGGGCTAACGTTGAAAAATTGATCATGGAGAAAAACAGCACGTCAAGAAGATCGACGCAAACACGTACAGCACCCATCTGGTCGGGTCAAAGTACAAGCTGGCGCACAAGAACGTCAACTCGACGTCGTGGTCGGTCCCGACGGTCAAAGCCCAGCGCGAGCGGGAGATCGAATTGCTCCAAGACGCCGAGCGCAGAGTGCTGGGCCTCCCGCCCGTGCTGGCGGCCGAGAAGGTCAAAGTGGACAAGGGCGCCGAGAAGGGCCAGCAGAAACTCGACTCTTTGTTTGCGAGGTCAGGAGGGGGTGTCAAGGTCAACGTCAATGGGGGCGGTGACGGGGGGAAGAGGAAACGGGGTGAACGTGAGGACGGGGACGAGATGTAAGAAAGGCAAAGGGAATGGGCAGGCTGAAAGGCAAATACCACGGCACGATGCACGGGAATCCTGTACTCAGTGCAAATGTACATCATTAGGGCTCGGTGCTTCATGGAATTTTGTATGATTCACATCTGTACATAGTATAATGACAAGTAAACAAGAAATGGAATGACCCAAATTGCCCGGTAAAAGAGACGAGCGTGGGCAAGAGAAAGAGAAATGAGGTCGAAGAAAGATATGTTCATGGGTTGGCCCTATCTCTGTTCTTTGCTGCTCCTTTACTGCAGCAGCTGCAGCAGCAGTGCTGAAGCGAATCTATTGGAAACATTCGATTGCTCGATGGATGGAAGTTAGACGGTACCTTGCGTCCAATATACCCAACCCACCCATGTAAACCCCAAAACTTCTTAGGACTTTGTGCCTGGCCCTTTGCCCCCTGCTATTCCGTGCTCTTGCATTTTTTGCCTCTTCCAAACAGTGGTGACTTGCACAATTTCCAAAATCTGCGAACCCCCGCTGCTGTTGACACGTTGCGAAGTTCGTTGCTTGCCGTATTCCCAACCGATATGCCCAGATCCAAGTGGCGGTTAAATATCCATTCGCGCCATGCTCTGATATGATATGCCGAAGAAGGATGCGGAACCCTATACCTTTCTCTACTAAAGCACCCTCACGTGTACCGTTTTTCTTTTCCCCTTTACAAAGTTGGTCCCATTCATCGCTGCGGTTCGTATCCATACCCGCCATTCGCATACCCCGTGTGTGGGGCGTATGCGTTGTAGCCAAAACTGCTGGTCGAATCGTTAAAATCGTCCATTCTGACCCGTCCGGATTGGCTGTGGTTGCTGTAGTCCGTGATGTCGGCCGCTGCGTGGTCCCTCAAGCCCAATCTCGACTCGTTATAATCTCCGATTCCATAGGGTAGCCCGTCGTCCTGGGGAGTCTCTTGGTGGCCGCCGAGCAGTCCCGACGCCCCGGATTGTCCGTTGTTCAGATCGTCCAACTTCACATCCGCACCGCCTCTCACAAGGGGCCCACCCATCTGGTTATACTTGCCCAGCTTGGTCTCCGCGCGCCGCGTCCGCACATCCAACACAATCAAGGCGATCTGGGCCAGCAACCCGAAAACCTCAAACGAGTATAGAGCCTTGTAGATGCGGCAGATCATCATGCCGTCGTCCGAGGCCCAGTTGGCGCGTGAACAGCTGTGGCCCAGCGTGCCGTACATGTTCCATGTCAAGAGCCCGTAGCCGACGACCCACAAAATGAAGACGGTGACGTTGAGGATCAGGTTGAAGAGTGGGGAGAGGAAGAAGCAGGTGTGCAGGAAGGAGGTGAGGACGAGGGAGAGGAGGGAGAGGAGGCTTGAGGCGAGGACCTGAGGTTTTCATGTCAGTATATTTCGTTATAGCTTGCAGCCGCCCGGTATTCTCTGGGGGTTGATTCGACTCGAACGCAACGTACAATGATAAACGTCCAGGGCAACTTAAACCCATCGTGCCGCAGTTGCATGCAGAAATATATCAGGATCCCACTGACGATGGAAGCACTAACGAAGGCGACGGCCCGAATGAGGTGGAATGATAGTCGTGGGTAGACCTGCGGGCGCGACTTCATTTTGGAGGGCATCATGGAGAAGCGGACGCCCCGGAGGTACGTTGAGGGATATGCCGAGTCTATATCAGTCGTTGCAGATATGAGATGTCGTGGCTATAGCCCGCCGAGACGCTTCTTTGTCGGATGGGAGGTGGTGGTCCGTTTCAAGTTGCGGGTTGTGGGTGCGGGTGCGTTTGAATCAGGGAGATGTGCCAACGCTCAATGGCGGTGGTCTTGAAACACGGAGTCGTATGAACACAACAGAACAGAATATAAGAGATAGGGATCACACAGCCGCAACGAAGGATGTTCACAAAAGCAAGACGAAGTATACAACAATCACTGAGTTCAGAGTATCAAAGAATAAAAGCAAGGAGCAGATCCAAGAGAAGGCAACGGCCACGCCATCGTTTCGTTAGCCTTTCTTGTCCGCAGGTGTTTCACCAGCTTGCGTCGCGATCGTCAAGTGAGGCTGAGAACCAGCCTCGGAGCTGAAAATAGGTCAGCGCTAATCCATTTGTGGACAGCAGCCAGTAAGGCCTCAGTAGTGGAGATTTGATTCTGCCAATCAGGGACTTCATAGTGGAGACCCAGGAAAGGGCGAGAGGGCTGCGAGTCTGCCCCGAATGCTCTTCTTTGGAAACCAATATGAGATAAATAGCATGCAGTACTGGTTTCCTGAAGATTCGCAATCCGGTACGAAAAACGATGAGTTCCAATGAACGGGGCTGCTTAGGGAGAAAAGAAGCACGAGAGCATGTCACGCCTGCCGTCTACCTACTAAGGTTCAAATGATTGCATTGCGGTTTTGGTGGAACTTCCAAAGAGCACGGCGGCCGGCAAACAACTTGAAAGCCAGAGTAGCACGTCTATCCAGCCCTCTAGAGCCACCTTGGCCAACTCCCATTTACTCAGTCTGGTTTTCTGCTTCATTCCTATCGAAGCGGACTCTCCTTGATGATCCCATTGCCCGGTACAAAATTGCCCACTCCCGCGGCATTGAACTTGAACCCTCCTCCGACTGAACTGCCACTGCCACTGCCGCTACCGCTGGCACTTCCAGTCCCCTTGGGCGGTGAAGTCGGCAACGGCGTACCACCCACCGACGAAGGCAATGCCATCAAATCCGGGGTGTTTCTCCCGCTCTGTACAGCGCTGTTTGCTGCTCCGGTACCAATACCTTCCAAAGGCATCAATGTTCCACCAATACTGCGCGGAGGAGGTTTCCAGCCATATTTCGTGCCCTTGCGGTAGATGTCTTCGATCATCTGCTCTGCGATGCCCGCATCTTCATATTCCTGAAACTTGCGCCACAAGCGTAGCGCCATGCGCGCGTCTTCAATGCTGTCATGCCCGTCGATGTGCATCGCCTCATCCAGCGTCGTCTCTTCCTGGATGTATTCCTTGAACACCGCCCATGCAAGATACCGCAGCGAGAATCGCCGGTTCTTCCCAGGTGCGAGGTACAAGAACTGCGTGTCCACCGTTTGAGACTTGGGGACATGAATATTAGCCTTCCGAAAATCAGATGCCAAACCGTGCCCAACGAAAGTACAACCAAGGTTAAGCAGAATCCATAGCTTTTTGTAGGCCACTTTCAGAGGCACGAGGTTGTGATGTGAGACTTGGGCATCGAGATCGCCTGGGCGAATTCCCGAATACTGGGTTTTGTAGTCAACAATCGGCTCGTAGATGGTGATGTAGTCATCGATAAAAGGAACGCCTTCATCCTCGCCTTGACCGCGTACCACGCTGACGCGTGCAAGGCCGGACTTCGCGGGCCGAATGGTTTCTTGCGTGCCGTCGGCTTTCACGTTGATCTCGGCTTTCTCCAGTTCGACAAACTCGGTGTCTAGCGCAATGGGAGTGCCTTTCTCCGGGTGCTCTTCGGGAGTGAGGATCTTGCAACCTTCTTTAGGATAGAGACCGTTGATGCTATAGTGCTGATATAATAGGGTAGTGTCCAAATTTCGTTTCCAGTTGTGATCAAGCTTGCCGTGTGCATTCTTGACTTGATAGGCAATGACGCTGGGCATTTTCCACCCCTTGTTGAAATGGACGGCTTCTCTTGGATCGACGGGAGACACCAGAAAGTCGTTGAAGAGATGCCAATTGGGAAATACTTTGTGATTGTGGGACATCTCGGGCCCGCTGCTAGATACCTCCACGTTCACCATGCTGACGAGGTGAGGTTGATGCCGTTCACTGGTGTCAATCTCGGCGACGAAGCCAACGAGCTCGTAGATCACCAGGCCCGGTGATTTGTTTCGCTGGTGCAAGGCGAGGTCGGAACCTTCGAAGACGTACACGTTCCTATCCTGTACGATAACCCCGATTTCGGAAGGGAGCCAACCCGGCGTCTCCCAGATTGCGCGCATTGCAGGGTTGGTTCCCAGCGCTGCGTTAATCATCAACACGAAAGGTAGCTGTCGGACTGTCTTTCGAATTGCCAGCTGTTGATATCTCCGACATCGACTACACCAACCCCGGTTCTTAGCTTCTCGTTCGATGGTGGTCTTGAGGATGGACGAAAACTTGATGTATCTGATAGAGTGCTTTGGTTCGAGTTGCGGATAGACGAGGTCGTGCACATATGTGCTTGCCGGTTTGGTTGTCTCATTGCTGCAATACATGCAACGGATGGCTTCAAAGGCTTTGCTGGCAATAATCTCATCGATGCCATCACTACTGGTCGCCATCGTGACATAGTCGTGCGCAATTTGCTTCAAAAAGAATCGATTTACAGCCTGAATCGTGGTCGACAGGGGTGTCCCGTTGCCCAACGACAAATTTTCGAAAAGGCTAAGATTCGCAGCTTCCCTAGATGCTCCGAAGGCCCTCAAAAGATTTGTCGCCTGGCAATTCTGACCGTTCGCCTTTTCCAGCATGTCGAAGAGAAAGCCAAATTCGCACAGTAGACACTGACCTGCTACGCACGACGTGGCAGCATGCTGGATGGCCACATTGCGGATGAGGGGAATGAATTTGTACAGCTGTAACAGTGAGTTGATGAACGAGTTTGCAATGTGCGTTTCCAGTCCAGAATAAGGAGTCTTGTTGTAGTATCGGAAATCAAAGTCATCAACTCCGAATCTGCTGTACTTGATCTCAACATTGCTATATTTGAGCATTCGTTCTTCATCAGTCTGCGCCCGGCCATTGAGAGATATCCCAGCCAATGCTTCGGCGGCGTCGGAAAGCTTCCTGCCATTTCCATTGGCTGGCGCCTCCTTCGCCTTTTCGCTCAGGAATTTGGGCGCAGTGATTGAGGCCGGCACGTGGCCTATTCTGGTGTCTTCCACCTGGTAGCGGAGAAGCTTTCGAGGATTCAGGTTCGGCGCATAATGTCCCATTTCGGCAGTCTGCATGTGGAACAGCAGCGATGGCTCGACTGGCACTGGTGGCGCGCCCACCTCAAATACCATATGACTTGGCCACGCCGACAATAGAGGTTCTGAATAGTATGGCATGCCTATGGTGTTGAGCGGCGAGTCGTTCCAGTCGACGTGAGGAATCTGCTGTGAAGGAGGATCTGCAAATTCTGTTTCCTTGCTAATGTTATTGAAGCGGACTTTGGAGGGAGATCCCCAAAGGTATATCCATCCATTCGAATCCGTAATTACCAGGGCGTCTCCCGAAGAGGCGATTTCCATTCCTAGCATAAATTGGACGTTGGCCTGTTTGAGCATGACATTTACGGGATTCATCAGATCCACCACCTGCATTTGCCCGGTTTGTGATGCGACAAAGCTGGTGGTCTGGAGTTTCGGATGCAAGCGCGCGTATGCGGCACCTGCATGAAAAGGTATCGGGGGCAGAGATGTGAGAGACTTTAGATCGTAGACATTGGCCAATGGATCGACGATAGGTACGCCCAATTGCCTGACCGAGAAACCGCAGGTGACAAGAAAGTCATTGCGCGCGTCCATGTCATTGACAGCGCTGGAATGGGCTTTCCAGGATTTGAGGAGCTGATAGTCGGTCAAGGAGAGAATATGCACGTTGCCGTCATCGGTCGCAGCACATATGTGACGGCTTTTCCTCAGGATGGTGTACTTGGCCTGTGCAGGATGTTCCGAAATAATTTGACCTTTGTCTATATCAATGATAAAGAAGGTGCTTTGACATCCTGCCACAATGATGAGATTGTTTGTGGCAGCAAAAGCCATGCAACGGAGATCCGTCATCAGGCGATGTGAGACGTGCCATTGTGTCAAGCCTCTGCGGGTGACGAAATGGACGCTGGAAGACGAGATGGATATGATACCCTTTTCGTGGACCAACAGCTGCTTGACTGGCCCTTCCCCCAGATGAGCCTTGACCGAGACGTACCGTTGCAGTTCGGGACCATAGAATGATGTGACTCGTCCCTGGCCTCAGAGGTGAGAGGTGTAGACTAGAGTTCAAGGCCGCCTTACCTGATCGTTGCCTACCCACAAAAGTTCCTGTAAATCATCGAAGGCAACTGCACTGGCTGGAGCTGGAATTGCATGCAGACCCGACGAAGGCACTGCGATGCGAGTGATCTCATCCCAATCTGCCTCCATGGGCAAAGTGATGCCGACGTTGTTGATTTATTGCAGATCCGGAGGACGAAGCATGATGAGAGTAAGCGGCTCGGGGGGATCAAGGTCTTCGAGGGCGATTTGAATTACATGGACGGCGACTTTGTCATATCATCATGGCCGTTTGTCGCCGATTGTTCGTTTGTCAGGATAGAAGCTGTGGGCGTGAAGTGATGGCTGATGGCTGAAGTCGAGGGCAAGAGCAAAAGAAGCGCCTCACCAGCTCTGGCCATATTAAGTGGCTGTCTACCTCAAGTGGCTGTGACTCGAGATGCGGGTAGTGAAGCTTGAGGCTTGAGGCTTGAGGCTTGAAACTGTGGCGTCACCAGGCGTCGCCTCACGCGCCTTCAGCTTCTCCCCATCGTCCTGACTTTTGTCTCCTCTATTTCCCCATGGGTCAGTCTCAGTCAATCTCAGGCTCCTCTTGTCCTGCGATCAGCCCTTGAACACAAACTCATCTGCTCGAAGTGGTTCTCATGCTGTCACGTTATTTGACTGCCACTATTTGGTACCAATTGTTAATTGTCTATTCAATTTCCTGCCGTCTTCGTCTCCAACCCCGCCCTTACAGCTAGTCTGTTCAGAAGGGCCACGCCATCAAACCCGTGCCTGTATCTCGCTTGTCGCCTATATATTCCCCGTGGCTCACAACTGCTCGCTTGCCTCACCTTGCTCTTTGAACTAACAGGAGCCCTCCCAGCCATTCTCCGACCCGAACAAGCCAACGATGAGCAGTTACGAGAGTAAGCCCGGTGCCTCCTTGCTACGCCGACTGGGTTGACGCTTTCTAGCTGAACATGCCTCCGATCCTCCCAATAGCAATCAGAGCCAACCACGCAGACCCGATCTTTCCACTTTCCTGAGCCTCCTCTCCGAAGTCACGCCTGACCGGCCCGAAGAACGAGCTCGTGAAGGGGCTGTTCCTGTCCCTGCCGATGTCTCCGCCGTCTTTCGCTCGCTTGCAGAGGCCTTTCAAGTCATGCGTAGGATCAATGACAATGCCGACTCCGACTTGCTCGAGAGCATGATCCAGAACTTGATGGACACTGCCGAGCGACCGCCCCGGGAAGTCAAGGGTGTGGACGAGGAATATATTGCGGCGTTGGAGCGGGTCAACATTAAGAAAGTCAACAAAGATGCCGACTGCCCGATTTGCGGTAATGCTTTTGTCGAAGACCCTCATCCGCTCCTGGTGCGCCTTCCTTGCCATCAAAACCATATTTTTGACCTTGAATGCATCCGACCATGGCTTCTGGTGAACGGGACTTGTCCTTTAGACCGGGTTGATCTGGCGCAAAGGGAGAGAGATAGGAAAAAGAAACACCTGGAAGAAATCAAGAAGAATGCTGCTCCGGAGGACGAGGAGGAAGAATGGGACGGGCTCTATGGCTGAAGCATGTCAACGATCACCGCTCTGCTGAACAACCAATGGTGGACAGTCTCCTCGAATTGCAACTGCTCGTACTGCCTAAGGGATTGTTGCCTTCCTGTCGGCTGTTTGGCCAGGGGCGGACCGGCACTTGAAGAGCAACGCCGACACATCCAAGTCTCCCCAGCTCTGTCCCCGGCCCTAACGAATAGGACGGAAGTGACAACGGCTCCCGTCTGGAGCCAAAAGGAGTCCGAAGCTGACAAACATACTCCCCATCAAACGGTGTCTGCGGCGACCGCCATGACACGATCTCTCTTAGATCCGACTATTTAGGGCAGTCGGCGCGATCGTCTATGGCCATATGCGTGTTTTGAATCCGGCGGAATAGGAACTCCTGCGGCCATATCAAAAGATCCCGAGTCTGAGCATCAGCCGGATTCTTGAAGCTCACAGGAGCCAATGCAAGACAGGACATAGGTGCAATATCAACATAGATCTGATGCATCTGATGCTGACAAATGTGACTACGCTTTCTGATCAGTGCAACTTGGCTCTCATGTCAACGATAGAGCGGGTTGCGGAGAAGAATAAGACTTCCGCCAATCATGGATCCAATTGACTTTGCTATGTAATACTCAGTACCTCGGTTTTTACCCAAAGGAGGCATCATGTTTTCCCTTTGTCCCTCCCCCTCCGTGCTGGGTGCTGGAGTATCGGAACGGCATGTTACCACCATCAATGGTCGGAACTTTCGAAAATATTTAAGATTGACGCAGACAACCTCACTTCTCGTCACTATCTCATTTTGCAGTGAGACGCTCCACAGCCCCTTCCCGGAGACATTCATTTGTCCGTCGGAGAGAATTACTAGTAAGCAGAAGATACCAAGAGCAGTATTAACCTGCAGCTAGCCGAGCAGTGTATATCACGCTACCCGACTATTTCCCTCGTCCAGGAGCTTGAGCATAAACACGAATAGGTTATAAGACAGGCCTGAACACGCACATTGTCGTCTCGTTGGTCACTCGTCAGGAGGAATTTGACAACATGGCGGCGACACCCACGTCCACCCGCACCTGGATCCTGGCCAACCGCCCCAAGGGCACTCCGACCTTCGCCAGCACCGATGCAAACCCGACTTTCAAACTGGTGGAGCGACCGCTGCCTCCATTGCAACCGAACCAAGTCCTAGTCAAAACCTTGTTCTTCTCCAACGACCCGGCGCAACGTCCAGCCATCGATGCTTCCGTCAAAGCGGAGCGGCACTACACTCCGCCCGTGGAGATTGGGGCGCCCATGATGGCACGCGGGCTGGCGGAAGTGGTTGAGTCGACCGCTGACAACCTACCCAAGGGGACCATCGTCGCGGTGGCTCCGGGATGGACCGAGTACGCTGTCGTGGATGCCGCCGATGCCAGTCCACGACAGCCACTTCCCGGTGGCTTGAGCATCACGCACTATCTGGGCGCGTTCGGTGGACCGGGCTTGACGGCTTATTACGGCCTGGTTGTGATTGGTGAGGCAAAGAAAGGGATGTAAGTGTCTCTTTGGAAACCTCCACCTCTGTTTGCGCCGCATTGGATGGAAACTTTTCCGCTCTCTGTCGATTTCTCGACGTTCTGACCATGACCTAGGAGAGTGGTAGTGTCCGGAGCGGCGGGGGCAACAGGCAGTATGGTGGTGCAGATTGCAAAGAATGTAAGATTCCAGTCGACGTCGTCCTCGCAGCGTGTTTTGTTCTGTGGTTGACCATCTGATGCTGTCTAGATTGTCGGTTGCTCCGAGGTGATTGGCATTGCCGGCTCGGATGAGAAGTGCCGCTGGGTTGAGAGCCTTGGGGCGGACAAGTGCATCAACTACAAGAGCCCGACGTTCGAAGAGGATCTGAACAAGGCAACAGACGGTTTCGTTGATATCTACTTTGACAACGTCGGCGTGAGTAACCTACCCGCCCTTTTTAGGGGGTGACAGAGCCCGCCGTGGCAGAACAACATGAAACTAATGACACGGTGATGATTCAGGGCCACATCCTCGACTTGATGCTCGCCAGGCTGAAGCGCTATGGAGTGTCCGTCGCATGCGGCTCCATTACAAGTTACAATTCGATGGAGCCAACAGTGCTGCAAAGTAATCAACTCCCCTCTCCTTATCCTTCTCCTGTTTTCCCCTTCTTTCTTCGGGAAACCCGTCTCGACTGACACCCCCGTTCCTGCGTCCCCCCAGACTATTTCCAAGTGATCACCATGCGCCTCTCGATTCGCGGCTTCATCGTGAGCGACTACCTGCCCAAAGCGCAGGAAACCATCCAACTCTTTGTGCAGGCCATCAAGGACGGGAAATTGAAGATCACCAACGAGGAGAGCGAGCAGGTCGTCGACACCAAATTCGAGGACGTCCCCAAGACGTGGTTGAAGCTGTTTGAGGGAGGCAATACTGGGAAATTGGTCACTAAGCTGGTGTGAAACGAGACCCCCAAAATCAAAGAATAGGAATAGCGAATGAGTGTCGACCACTGCAAATGGCACGAAATGTACCTTCTCCCTCAAGAGGACCGAATAGCTAGGTACTAGGTACACAGTAGGGATTGTTTTGTGGCGGCTTTCCCATGATGAAACCCCCTGCGCCCTAATTATCCCCTACGCTGAGTGGATCAGTTTGAGAATGCGCCGATGGTTGGTTGGTTGGGGCTAGTCCAGTTTCATACACAACGTGCCCCAACTTCAACCTTGTCCAGTTTCTTTACCTCGTACACTTGGTTCACATTCTTCTGCCACGCTTTCCCGTCGACATTGGCCTCCACATGCCTGGGGCCCAAGGCAAAGTGCCAATTCAACAGTATGACGGCTCGATATATACCTCTAAATGGACTTTTAGATCGCGATGAATCATCAGCCCCCGGACCACGCGCAGCGTCAGGCTGGCGCCTCCCTAAACGCTGGATCTCCTTTCTGATTGTGACATTTACAATCTTGACAACAATGTACCTTTTCATTGGAAATGGTCGCCCGCTATATCATACAGATACACAGCAAATAAATGCTTCGCCATCTCTGCCATCTACCTCGCATATTCCGCCGCCGTCGTCATCCGTCTCGTATCTACTCGGGTCGGACGAAGACTCTACGAAGCTATGGTTTCCACCTCCCGTTGATGCCCAGCAGTTCCATCCCACGGTAGCCTTGTACAACTTGCCCTCTCCAACTTGGCAGCGGCCTCGAACGCCACTATTCATCGCCTTCACCCGGAACACCGCCATGCTTCAGCAGGTAGTCCTCAGCTATATTGCAGCCGGGTGGCCGCGAGAGGATATCATTGTGGTCGATAATGGGGGCACCATGGACTCCAATCCCCGGCGTCTCCTATCTTCGGAAAACCCGTTCTACGTGGACTACGACCTGTTTCGGAACCGATATGGCGTTTCCATTTTGCAGACCCCGACGCTCTTGACCTTCGCTCAGCTGCAGAACTTCTTCCTGAGAGTCAGTATGGCGCATGGGTGGCGGTACTTTTTCTGGTCGCACATGGACGTCGCGGTACTCAGCGACGAGGAAGCGACACCGTACAAGTCCTTCCACGCCCGCGTGCTCGACGTCCTGTTCGACCTAGGAGTCACGGCCCTTGACGCAGACATGGGCACTCCGAGAACCGGCGAGAAGAACTGGGCGATCAAATACTTCACCTACGACTGGCTGACTCTCGTCAACGTCGAGGCTTGGCGGCAGATCGGCGCCTGGGACACCTTCATCCCGTATTATGCGACCGACTGCGACGCATACTCGCGCATCGTGATGAATGGCTTCACCAAGGACGACGTGCGGGCAGGCCGCATCTTCGACTTGCCCGAGGCCATCCACGACCCCGAGGCTAAATTCTTCCCACCCCCGTCGTCCTCGCAGTCTGTCGATGACCCCTCTTCCGGAGGTGGAGAAGCGCCCGGCTCACGGCGCTACCACCTCCTCCTCGCGGAGCTGGAGGATCTCGAGCGCCGCAAGCCCGAGAACCACCGCAACAATTGGCAAGCGGCCCTCGGCGAGGGCGGCAAGGGCGAACCCTGGACCTACAACCCGGACGGGTTCCAGAAGATGTGGTGGGCCACGGCGGAGAAGGGCAGAGATATGTACAGAATGAAATGGGGCACCTCAGAGTGCAGGCTGGACGAACATGGTGTGAAATTGGCAGACGCTTGGGAAGGCGACGGGTGAGAAGACCTCTCCACACACACACCCAGAACAATCCGAAATGAAACAGACGCCCCAGAACCAAAGAAGAAAGAGAGGGTAGGTGGGTGGGCCGGGTGGTCTGGTTCCCTTATACGGGGTAAATATCAGCATCTATCGACATCTATCGACATCTATTGACGCCTTTATGTTGTTTTTACCTACGCATTCGGATTCAGGACTTGGGGACTTGGAATAAGGGCCGGATACGAGATTTCTTTTCAAAAGAGGTGGGCAAATGGTTGCATAGGCGAATGCGAGCGACGCCAATAACTCGTGGATAAAGATGAAGATTAGGGACTTTTCTTTCTTAAAGTCTTTTGATTTTTTTTTTTCCCTTCCCTTTCGATTTTTTGGTCCCGAGTTAGTCGTTGGGGAGAAAATTTGACTGTGGAAAAATCTTTAATTTATATAGCAGAAAGCGGCGGCGTCCTAGATCTGGAATCTTTTGGGTCTATTTCTTCACGAGAGGGGAATTCGGGGATTTGGCGATAATGAAACTGAAAAGAACGGCCACGAAAAATGTATTGTAGGCTGGGGGGTGGCGGGGAAGATACTACCTAGGTAGGTATGGGCAATTACATGATATGCACTCGCCACATCTATTCAAACAATGTTTTGATTCTTCGCTTGACGGGAGATTAACTTTTTTCCAGTATTTGTCTCAAAACAACTAAAGGGGGGTATTATACACATGAGTAAAATCAAAGGCCAACGGGGGTTGCCGCCAGTTTCCTCATCTTCCTAGTAACTGGCGCCGCTGTCTGTCATCTTCCTTCACTACTACCCAGCTCATGAACAGCCATGGTCCCATGCGAGTATCCTTCTGTTGTCGGCAGCTCGCTCACAGGCTGAAAGCCATATCCCGGTGTCTTGTTCAGTGATTCCATCCGCGATGGCGCCGGGGCCGGGTAGTACGGACCCATCGTGGGGACCATACCATGGTCGACGTGCGGCTGATTATTCTGAGCGTGTTGTTGCTTTGTTGTTTTGGTCCTCCGCGCGCACCGCAGACCCAGGAATATGCCGAGCCCCATCAGCAGCAATCCTCCTACAGCAACACCGGCTCCAATGCCTGCTTTGGCACCCGTGCTGAGTCCGCTTGAACCTGTCGTTGCTGCCGGGAGTGGTGCGGAGGATGTGATGGAGGCACCAGCGGCGGCTGTAGAAGAAGAGGGGGAAGGGGAAGGAGTCGTTACGAGGGAGGTCGACGACGTGGACGGGGACAGTGTCGATGTTGCTGAAGTCGATGTGGTTGAGGATGAAGACGAGGAGGAGGAGGAGGAGGAGGAGGAGGATGATGACAACGCTTCATTAGACTGTATGATAAACCCCGGGCTTGAGAGCTGTCCATCTACCCAGCCCGAGATGCCCGAGTCGTCAGCGCCAGTCGGGTCTCTTATGAGAAGGACAAAGTTTGGGCTTGATTCGATTGCGGCATCGTCGATGTTGTCGTTCTCCCCTATTGTCCATGTATAGGACCCGGTATTCTGAACATTGGCTGTAGCAGCGGAGAAACGTTAGCGACCCGTCCAAGCTTTAGCAGCGGGACCAGCTGTACGGCATATGCGAATTCACCAGAGGCTCAAGACTGACATAATAGGGCTCCCACATCATTGCCATTCCAATGCGAAACAATTAGAGTTATTGCATCCAATGAGCAGTCCCAGGTAACGTCGACTTTGTCTCCGATCGTGTAATGGATAGACAGATCGGTGGTGCCAGTTGCAGGGTTGGTGAATTCGTCGGCAGCGGTGAGATGGAGTAAAGCTGAGAATATAGCGAGAACTCCCGCGAAGCCTGACGGTGAATATTGCTTGTTTGCCATGCTGGATTCTTTCGGGCCTGGAATCTGGAAAGAAGACTTGGACGGAGTATATCTCGCAAAGACCCAACCAGAAGATGAATGTATAGTACCTCAACCGATGGCTGTGCTGCAGCTATTATCAAATTATTCTCTGGGGGGGCGGCGACAGAAGCCCCCGCGCTTATCCGGCACAGAAGGTCTGTACCGAGATGCTTGTGCAACAAGAGTCTCAAACACCTCCCGACAGGACAAAGAAGAGACGCCATAGCGTTGCAGCAGAGAAGACCCATCGATAACGCAAGACCAATCATGTCCAAACCCCTTGAAAGCAAATGAGACGAAGAAGTGGCATGCGAGGTTTGTTTGTAACTGACCGATTTAGAAACGACGAGGGTATTTTGCCCGCCAGGCCGGGGTGGTTGGCGCCAATGCAGGCGGAGGTTGTTTCGAAGGAGACGAGAGACGCCCGATAAAGGAGAGAAGATCTGAGTTGGGAAAATGCTTGGAGACGGTGACTGAGACGGCCACTTGAGAGATACTGTCTAGGTCAATTACATTGCCAGTAGTGTCTCACCAGTCATTGACGCTGGTGAGATATTCAGTTCTGTCCACGGTCGCTGCCCAAGCCAAGTTTACAACAACAGGTATGAGGTAGTCATTGCAAGACATGGCGCTTTGTTAGGGGGCCAGAACCAAAAGTGTTATTCTGCCTTTCCACGTATTGTCGTGAGTTCAACGAACGTGCAGCAGGAGGTTCGGAACAGCATCCATCGAGGTTACATGCTCGAACAACTTGGGGTTTTCAACAAGAACCTGCCGACAGTCGAGCAACCCACGTTCAGGGGAGATAAAACTACCATCAATACAGGAGCTGCAGCCCGCACGAGATAATCGAAACTCGTGTAGCGTGATGGCGTAGTGAGACAGTTCAGATCCGCCCTGGGAGGCTTGCCTCTGTCGAGCATTGGGCCCCTGTACCGGCCCCGCAGAGCAAATCCGCAGGCGCCGGGGAGGAAGGAAATTCCAATTTAAAAGAGTGGGCATGAGGAGATCAGCAGCTCAGATGCAGTGCTCCGTATGGGGTACGAGGTAATTACTCGTACGAGGACCAAGTACCTAGGTACCTACTGGGTAAGGGAATAGGCACATAAACACTCGTGAGCCTGAATTTGGTTTTCGTCATAAATTTCGTGATTCAGAGGTACGAATAATTGTACGGCTAAGGCGAAGAACAATTTGTGCATGGTCAAACTCAGAACAGCTGCACTTCATCCTCCATCCTGATGCCGCACACTTTCAGCAGCAAATATCGGTCAAGTTGAACTCCAAGCAGACAAGTGCGTGTCTACCCGAGTACCAACACAGCATCCTAAGCGAGCCGTTCCATTGCGAGTACGGGAATCGTACCGAAACGCCCGAGATGAAGGAACCGAATCCAATGAACAGGTCCACGCGCAAATAATAATCATCAAAAGAACAACTCGACAAGACATCTGGGGAAATTGTGGGGCGGGAGGTGCGCCGTCGAAGACCGATAGGTGCCGCGAGGGTGTGTACGGCTGCCGACCAGCTGATAATATGCTAGGATAGGATCGTCCCTTTTCGGCAGGTGTTCGAGCTGTCGAAAGGATTCATTGTCGCTGCTTCGAGTATTTCCGGGTGATTCGGCCGTAGCATGGGCCGGTATTGCAGGGCACAAGTTCCAGCTGCCTATCTCCCCTCTCACCATGGCAGCCAGACTTTGACTAAACGAGATGCTCAAGACGACCTGCTTTCTGAGATAGCTGCGCCGTCAGAGGTGCTGTAAGGCCAGCTCATGTTGAAATTGAACACCTTGTCGGCGGCCTTGTCCCGCGACGAACCAGGCGTCACATTTCGGCGAGCCTTTGATAGCAAGGGCTGCAATGAAGACCTGGACGCTGTGGATTTGATGGAAGCAGCGTCGGTGGAGGTGCTTGAGGAAGAGGAGGAGGAGGCTGAGAGACGCGAGAAAAGTGATGGTCGCTTGGTGGCAGACATGTTGTCCCTCGGTAATGAAAGTCTGCGGCCGGCTCTGGTGAGGACTTGCTCTTTCTTGTCAAAGGTTGGAAAAGGGGACGGTATGTTCGAGGAGGAGGGAGTGATTGTGGGTTGATTGAAGACTCTATGCTCAAACAGCTAGAGTTGAACGGTGTCTCCCAAGGTGTTTTTATGTCTCCTGTGGAATAAGGCGTCGACACGGTTGAAGCTAAGCCCACGTCAGAGAGATCTAGGCTCATCATCTAGCGCTTACCGAGAGATGCTCTTGTTTGCTTTTAGTCTGGACCCGTGGCGGGCGGAAGCAGCTTTGCAGGTGCTAAGGGTCGACGCCACTGGAGAAAGCGCAAACAGCGCAATACGGGAGACAGCCACGTTCGATGCTGGAGGCCATTTACGGACGCGGCTCAGCTACATATCATGATTGCTCTCTTTTAGGCAGGCGTTCTGTCCAAAGGATTGATTGCCTGTGACGAATGCTTGTTGTATTCGCTCATTGTTCAAGGCCATCTAGTCCGTATATTGCAAGTGGTGCAATCTGTCTCATGGTTTTGTCTATCCTCATATGCATCATGGCCTCCTCATTGGCGACTTTGCCCCCCCTCAGTTATGTCGACCGCACCGTCTCTCAAGCACCGGCTACATTGACCGGTTGACCCCCGGCCGCCTCTTTGATCCTGGGATCACTCACCTTGGCGATCTCTCTGACATATTCTTGCCGTCTCCTCTCTTCCAATGCCCCTGGCTTCCAGTATTCATACTCGATCCATTCGCCTTCTTTCATTTGTGCCTCGACGGCTTCATGGAAGCGTGCACCAAGTTCCGGTTGCAAGGGTACCACACCGGTCTCCTCGCAATAAATCTCCCAGAGATCCAGCAACTCCTTAAGAATCTCTGTGTGCTTGGTAGCCAGATCTTCCGTCTCTCCGGGATCCTTGGAAAGATCGTACAGCTGCCATGCCGAGGTGCCTTTGGGGAAAGGAATAAAGTCTGCTTTCCACGGCCCCTTGCGAATTGCAGCCCGTCCACAGAGTTCCCACCCAAATGCCTCGTTGGGATCGTGCACTAGATCTTGCTTTCCGCTGAGCCACGGTGTCATATCCTTGCCTCGCATGGGTACAATCTGTCGGCCATTCCACTCGGGAGACGGGTGCTGAATGCCCGCAAGGGAAAGTAGTGTTGGCGCAATGTCCATCACTGTTGCAAATGTTTCGGTGATTTCGCCTGCTCGCTCTTTGTGTATCGGCGGATATCGAATAACACAAGGCACCCGGACGCCTCCCTCGGTCGTATATGCCTTGTACAGTCTACTTGGGGCAGTTGCTGCTTGAGCCCAGCGTGGGCCGTACCAGACGAAACTGTCCTTGTTGCCAATGTTCTCGAGCGAGTTGTTGTAGTACTTGCCAATATGTTCCATCAGCTCACCAGCCACCATAGGATATGCTTCGTATGCAGCTCCCTCAGCACCATTGTCAGAGAAGAACATAATGTAGGTATTGTCTAACTCGCCAATTGATTCCAGATAGTCGGTAACTCTGCCGATGTTGTGGTCTAAGCACTCGACCATCCCAGCGTACGCCTCCATCGAACATGAAGAGGCCTTCTTGTGAAAGTCATCCATTTCATCCCACCCAGGTACCTCGTCCGCGACAACTGGATGGGGCTTGACATCTTTGGGTATCATCCCAAGTTCAATCAGCTTCTTTAGCCGTGCCTGACGGAGAGCTTCTGGGCCTTCCTTGTAAGTACCTCGATAGTGATCAACGTACTCCTTGGGGGCCTGGAGAGGCCAATGAGGGGCCGAAAATGGGTAATATGCGAAGAACGGTTTCTTTGACAGCTCCTTGTCCTCTTTCCATTCTTTCAGATAGCGTAGCATTCGGCTTCCATATCCGTCGCTCGAGTACCATCCCTCTGGCAGATCTTTGACATAGTGGTCGTCCTCCATGTGCAACGCAATGACGCTCTTCTCCAGGAATTTTGGAAAGTCGGCCTCCGGTCTCCAGTCGTAATGATTTGAGCACGCCGGCAAGAGGGCTAGACTTCGGTCAAAACCCCGCGCCTGAGGACTTCGCTCTTTGGTGAGTCCTAGATGCCACTTTCCAGCCATGACAGTGTGGTATCCTCCCTCTTTCAGGATCTCGGGCAGTGCAGCCACTCGAGCATTCAAGTACCCCTCATAGCCCGGCATGCCTCTTTGAGGAGCAGTCGAATATTTGCTTCCTTTGGGGAAGTTTTGCCCCGAGAAATCCGTCCATTCAATCAGGTTGCCCAAGCCTGCAATGTGATGATCGGTACCCGTGAGGATCATTGCTCTCGTCGGAGAGCATGCGGCCGCGGCATGGAAGCCTGTGAGGCGAATGCCATCTTTTGCTAACTTGTCGATACTGGGAGTGCGAATCTCGGACCCGAAGCACCCGGCATCTGAAAATCCCATATCATCAGCAACGATGATGAGGAAGTTGGGGCGTTTAGTAGCCATGGTGGAGAGCTTATACACGATCAATAGTTAGGGAACAAAAGCACCAACGCCGAAGCATGAATACGACAATGTGAGGACGACAGCAAGATACCTGGTTCGGAGCGAGAGCGAACAGGAGGATAATTGACCACCTAAGTGCCACCTGCAGGGAACGAACGATGTCGGAGCAATCTTACGGCGAGCCTCTGTCAGGAACCAGGAGGGGCAGAGGGGCAGGTTGCATCTGTCGCGTGCAGACCCGCCGCAGCAAAAGTCCCTATTAGTACGACAAATTCATAGGCGCCTCGGCGCCCAGCCTTAGGCGGTTGGTGCCTAAACTGGCACGATTGGCCCCCCAAGTCGGCTTCTAAAGGCGGGGAAGGGCTTGTGAAAGTGCTTTTCCGGCGCCACATGATCTGGGGAAAGCTGGAGCAGGAATCGCTCTTCTTGGTCATGACAGCCATGGTCGTGGTGGCTTTATTCAACCCATATCCCGCAGGCTTATGGAAAGAGTATGAGCAACACGGAGGGAATACCATCCACAGCACAGCGGCATACGAATCGTCATGCGTTGCCGAACCTCTTCCACCGCCCATCACCACCAATGACTACAACTGAACTTGGCAAGTTTGTGCATCTAAATGATGGCGTGCTCGCAGTCTCACTCTTCAAACCTCATCCTCAGCCAATCTCCCTCACTAGCGACCCACGACACTTGCACCCACATCCTTGCTGTTTACCTGCCCTATATCTGAGTTGCTAGGCGTGGCTCGCATCCCACAACTACTCCTCGATGCGACAGCGGCGCGCATCCATCCACTTGTCGATCCTCCCTCACCCCTCAGAGATACCACGGTTGGATCTACGCGACTCATACCCTTTACATCTGGTCATCCGAACACTAGAACCCCTCAAATCTATGGCGTGATCAACTGACCCATGTTCCTGCCTTCCAACATTTTGGCACAACGTGTCTAGGGACTGCAGTCCGGTGGCCACTGCACCGAAGGGAGCTCGACTTAGCAAGTGGCAGCTGGTCAGCTGTGTTGTATAAGAAGTTTAGCCATGGCGTCTTCTTCCTCTTCCACCGGTTATCACCTACTGCAACAAGGCGACACTCCAGAGACCGCACCAGCAGTTACTGATCAAGAAATCAAGATGGGTAAAGCGCTCGGCACATTTCGAGCTTGCTACGTTGTAGCCCTGTGCTGCATTGGCTCGTTCCTTTTCGCCTACGATACAGGGATTGTGGGAGGCGTCTTGACGTTTCCCTCGTTCCAAAAAGACTTCGGTTACTCAAAGGCCGACAAGACGCAGGTCAACTCAAACTGTGTCTCGATTCTCCAGGCTGGTGCCTTCTTTGGCTGCTTCCTCATCTGGCCATTGACTGGATGGTTGGGCCGGAGATGGGGATTCATCATCGCCTCTGTCGTTTTCTGCATCGGGTGCATCTTGCAAGTAGTCAAGTCGCATTCCATCGGCCTTTTTTATGCTGGCCGAGTCATTTCGGGCCTAGGTACTGGAGCAGCGACAGTGCTGGTGCCAATGTTCTCCGCAGAGATGGCGCCAAAAGAGATCCGAGGCAAGCTTGGCTCGTGTTTTCAGCTTTTCTTTGCAACTGGAGTTTGTGTCAGTTACTGGGTTGACTATGCGGCTCAGGTGGGCATATCCGGGACTTCGTCAATGCAATGGCAGGTCCCTGTTGGCCTACAGCTCGTCCCTGGAGGTCTGCTTGGGCTTGGCATGTTGCTGGTGAAGGAGTCTACTCGATGGTACGCAAAGAAAGGTCGCAACGAAGAAGCTTATGCTTCTCTTCTCTGGGTTCGTGGAGGCGTTGATAGCCCAGAGATTCGAGCCGAGTTTGCAGAGATACTCGCCGGGGTGGAATTGGAAATACGAGAATCCGAAGGCCTGACGTGGAAAGAGCTTCTACTGCCGTCGAACAGGTATCGAATGTTCATCGCCATCACAATTCAACTGTGCGCACAATTGACTGGCAACACCTCACTTGCCTACTACGCTCCACAGATTTTTGCCACGATCGGAGCCGGCAACAAGACACTCTTCATCACCGGCTTCTTTGGACTTGTTAAGATGGCCGGTGTCCTGGTTTTCATCCTCTTCTTTGTCGAAAGGGTTGGCCGCAAGATTCCCTTCATGGTCGGCGCATTTGCAATGGGAAGCTTCATGCTCATCATCGCTTTGATCGTTGACACTCATCCTCCGAAGCCATCAGCCGCGGGGATCACATCGTCAGGAGCGGCTGGTATCGCAATGGTCTATCTCGAAGCGTTCGCATACAACATGTCTTGGGGCCCTCTGCCGTGGCTCTACATAGGCGAGATCTTCCCCAACCGAATCCGAGAGATTGGTATTGCGGCAGGTGCAGCAAGTCAGTGGCTCTTCAACTTCGTCATGAGCCAGATTACTCCGCACGCCATCTCCAATATTGGCTGGAGGACATTCCTCATGTTTGCCATATTCAACTATGCCATTATTGTTTACAGCTATTTCCTGCTCAAGGAGACTACGGGCAAGAGCTTAGAAGAGATGGAAATTGTCTTTGGTACCGTGGACAGGCTTCCCACCAAGGACGACGACGAGGTGGAGTCGCAGGCCGCACACGACACCGCCAGGGAAATTCATGAAACGACCAAATGAGCTGATGCGGAGGGCAGAGTCATGAAGACCAAGTTCAAATATGTTTGCGAGAAAGATCCCCACATAATAGCCAATTGGACAGTGATGATATTTTCAGAGACATTCACAAATTGCGTCGAGTGTTGCACCGTAGCACGTCCCGGTGTTACTTCCTTCACCGTACTCCCTGTAATTGTCGTTATTCCACTCCGCGAGCACTCCTTCCAACCTTGAAGTGTCTATTGTCATGTATTCCTAATTTGAAAAGAGGGAAGACATTTTGACACTGGCTGTCTGGGTTTGTATTGCAACCCTCCAGTCGAACAGGCTCGCCACCACTGAACCCTCTGCATGTCGTCAAACATGTCCAACCCTCCCACGCCTGCGCCCCCTAGGCGACGGTCATCCTTTGCGTATGACCCTGCTCGAGATACTTTCAAAGAATTACCAGACACCATAGCTGAACAAGCCATTGCTGAGGATGCTGAAGAGGACGTAAAGACTACCGCTCTACCAACCTCAAGTCCGGCGGTAGGAGACGCAGCGGATCTGTCCCGAAAGCGAAGGCGGTCGGAGTCGCTTGACGGGGAAGTGAAGCCTGAGTCTAAGGCCAAGAGACAGGACACCCATGAGACACCCCCGGCAAAGAAAGCGCGCGCTTCCCTTTCACCTTCAAGACAAGACAAATCTTCCCCCAGAGACTCTATGAATGGGACTCATACCGAGAAACCAAAGCCCCGAACGCCAGCAGACCTTCCCCGTATCCCACGCAAACCGAGAGAAGAAGGCGAAGTCTCCACATCACGCCGGGTACCTGATGCATATAGTCGACGACCGGACACTGACGACCGACGAGCAAGAGAGCGAAGGGACGCTCCTTCGAACCGACGATCACGATCCCCTCCTCGACGACGTTCTCCCTTGGACGCCTACCGTCGCCGGTCACCTCCACGAGAGCGCCGCAGATCGCCCTCCCCGATCCGTGACTCCCCACCACGAGATATAATCCGTCCCGGCGGTGCTCGCGGTCGTGGTCGTAACGTGCTAGCTGAACAACAGCGCCTTGCCGCCGAACGCGAGCAGAAGCAGTCTGGGCTACATGCTCAAATCAACCGTGGTGTTCAAGAAGTCTCAAATCAGTTCTACAACGCGCGGCCAGAGTGGGTGAAGGAGAGGGGACGAGATTGGCGAAGGAATGAATCCCAAATAAAGGGACTACGCAGTTTCAACAATTGGATCAAGTCCTGCCTCATCCACAAATTCAGCCCAGAGGAGAAGACTGAAGAGGAAGAATTGGGCTGGGGCGAGGAAGCGAAGGCACCGGCAGCACAGAAGCCACTGCACGTACTCGACATCGGATGCGGTAAAGGAGGTGACTTGGGGAAGTGGCAGCTGGCTCCGCAAACTGTTGGACTGTACGTCGGTCTTGATCCAGCGGAGACGAGCATCCAACAAGCGCGTGAGCGATACCAGCAGATGCGGCGAGGTCGTCGTCCAATTTTCGAGGCCCGCTTTGTCCCACAGGACTGTTTCGGTACTTGGATTGGTGATGTCGGCATTATTCGCGAAGTCGGCATCGATCCCAATGCGGGCAATGGGCAACCCAGTCGCTGGGGCGGTGGTGGGTTTGACGTTGTGACTTGTATGTTCGCCATGCACTACTCGTTCGAGTCCGAGGAGAAAGTACGCATGATGCTACGCAACGTGGCAGGGAGTTTGAAGAAAGGGGGACGATTTATCGGGGTGGTGCCCAACAGTGATGTTTGTGCGGAGAAGATCAGACAGTGGTTCAAGGCCAAGGAGATGAAGAAGGCCCAGGAGAACGGCTCGCATGATGCCAACGCCGAGAAAGAAGACGGTGAGGCTGATGAGGAAGGCCCTCAATGGGGGAACTCCATCTACAACGTCCGGTTCCCGGTCGACCCGCTGCGTCCCTTACAGCCAGATGGATCTTTTCGCCCACCCTTCAGCTGGAAATACACCTATTGGATGGCCGAAGCCGTGGATGTCCCCGAATTCGTGGTACCCTGGGAAGCTTTCCGGGCGTTGGCCGAGCACTTCAACCTGGAGCAACGCTACAGAAAGCCGTTTTTGGATATTTGGCAGCAAGAGCAAGGCAATCGCGAATTGATGGGTCTGGCGACGAGGATGGGAGTGATCAGGCATGAAGGCGGGGAGATGGTATTGAGTGAGGATGAAAAGGACGCAGTGGCCTTCTATCATGCCTTCTGCTTTGTGAAGGTGTAGATGGGCTCTTGGTTTGGCGTCCGAGGCGGCCTGGCAATGCTCCAAGACGCTGCACAAATCGGTGACTCTAGTTGGCATGGTGAATGGGAAAGCCACTCATCCTGGGAATTCTGAGGCTTACCCAGCCACGTTCGGAATGGGAGCAGATGAGAAGGGGTATGTATCTCAGACATATTGGTGCTTGAGAGTTGGTGACTCCAGACATCAGCATGTTATGCAGGATTATTTCAGCTCAAGCCAAAACTATTCTATTCAACTGGCCGGTTCTTGCAGGGATTTCCATCCTAGAAAATCTCTTCTGCACCTACTGGAAATCGCCGCAAGACGCACTAATTAAACACCCCTGGTAGTGGTTATGACTACCCTGGTCGACTAAGAACGAACGGGGGAAGAAAATGATGCTCATCTCCTACGCGGGACATCGTGTGTGTATATGTAAAAATGTAGGCATATTCAATTATACCAAAGTCACAATGCACTACCGCTCGCAAGTTGGCCTCTGCGGAAATATATATAAATATAAATATATATATTCATTGCATAATCTCACCATGCTGATTGATTGTACATTCCCAAAATGAGCTGCCCAGACGCGGACCCATTGCGCCAAAGATTCTGGTTCGGGGACCATGAAATGCAACCGCAACTGCAACCGCAACCATTTGCTTGTGCAAGACGCCTCGTCTACCCTACCCATCAACTCCCGGTTCGGAGTTGGATTGGGTTTGAACATAAACTCCAGTGAAGACAATATCGGAAATGCGGACCGACTGAGTGAGTGAATGTGGGACTGACCAGCCAGTTTAACTAGTTCGTCGACACGGGCGATCGGCTAGGGAGAGAAGAGTTAGAAACTCGTAGACTTTGGTATGTGGTTTGCTTTACAATGATGATCCATGTGAAGAAGCATGTGTGGAATATGTGGGAACAACAGCACAGGAAGAAAGGATAGGGTGTATGGTAGGCATACGAAAGAAGGGAAATCCAAAACCGAAAAAATGGACCAGGAGAGACGTACCAGTATATACATGTGACGCGGCTGTTGGCGGACCGCGCCATCCACTCGTCGAAACACATGGTGTGCGTCGCGTTGTGGCAAGTAGTACAGCGCCAGATGTCGCTGTTGTGGTTGTTGTCGTTATTGCCTCGACTTCGAGGGGGTAGTTGAGACAGGCAGATTCCGCATTCTGTTTCCGTTTCCGTTTGCGAAGGGTTGGGGATAGAGGTGGAGGGAGTGCGGTTGGTGCTCCTGGATGAGGACGGACGCGAAGGCGAGGGGCATGGACGGCGAGAGGAAGATCCCTCGTCTTCGTCGAACTCCCTGTCGTCGGGTTGCTCTTCTGAGGAGGATTCCTCTTCCGAGGATGCGCCAGGACCGGATCTTCCGCGGCGAGTAGCAAGGGTTGATGTTATCGTTCGGCTTTCCAGTTCCTCCCACTTGGCGAGAACTGCATTCAGGATTCTGAGAATCTCATCATTTTGGGCCTGGGAGGGCGATGCGCGAAGGAGATCCCCGTCTCTGATCGATGAGAGCGGCGAGATGGGCGCTCTTATTGTCGGTGATGCCACCTGAGTGTCGCTGGGCTGTCGTCCGGTAGAACGAGAAGAGCGGTCGGGTCGGTTCCTTGCGTAGCGTCTTGCCATCTTCCTCTTTTCCACATATTCGATCAATTTACTAAACCATTCCTGGCTTCTCTCGGGTGCCTGGTCCTGGTGCCATCTAATCAATCGCCAAAGTCGTGTCAGCGGTTTGGTCTTTGTCCGATGCAAAACCAAAGGGATCTGTTCTCAAGTCGCCTGTAGAGTGTGCCAACAGACGTACCTTTTGCAATGAAGCAGTTTTGCCACGTCTTGCAACGGTGTGTGCAGCATCGAGTAACTCACTCCACGCGTTAGAGCCTCGCAGATATTCTCGAGTTTGCATATAGCCGTGGAACGAGACGCCGCTGCCACGGGACGTCGGCAGTTCCGGCCAGTTCTGCAGTACCCAATGCATGTTGATTGCTCTTCAGGGTTGTTGATGCGGAGAACTGGGAAGAGGTCGTCGACGAGAAACATTTTGAAACAGAATCGAATACGAAAGCCTAAGGAGGTCGAGGGATAGGGAGATATTGTGTTATTGGTGGCAGGCTGGATGATGAACTCACCGAACCCTGAGCAGTCTTATATGCTCGACTATCCTCGAAGGAACGAGGCAGTTAACTCAACGCCTCGCAGGTCAGACACACCTGGCGAATATGTGATACTCAGCCACTCATCTAGCCGCATTCGAAGATAACGATCCTAACGATCAGGCAGTTGGCGCCGAAAAAGCCACAAGTACATTTGGCCGGTCCGCGCCGACGCAGCCGGGGGTCTCACGACAATTGGTTGAGAGCAGGGAGCTCCAAGTCCGTTCGTCTTTCAAATGGCGCAATATCCGGCAAGACCAGAGGCGCAGTACAGGCTTCGCGGTCGCGTGTAGGGCTGCGGATGCGGCTAACATACCCCTGACCAGGGTGTCCAGACATATAGTGTATCAGAGTGTCACTGACCCTTCCCCTCCACCAAGTGGCTTCCAGAAGGCCAGGCACGGTTACTTGCTCCGATTGAGGTGGAGGCGGTCATGTTGACGAACGGGCTGCAAATGATGACTCCTTCAGCAGCAGAAAGGGCATGGCAAGTAGAGGGTCTCCTGGGGACTTCGATAGGATTCTCGGCCCGCCCGAGACATTGCGTAGTCGGTGCTTAAGAAACAAAGTTGTCGGCCGCGGTGAGCACAGACTCACTTCGGAGCACATTGTGGCCGTCGAGCTGAATGGAAGGGAGGAAGTAAAAGTGCTCATGCAGGGATATTCCCCCTAACCATTTGGTCCGGAATGAGCGTGCCTTCTAGGATGATAACGCAGGTCATGTGAAGCCATACCTTGCAATATAGTTAGAGGTCCTTTTGCTTCCTTACCTGCATGTTTCCGTTAGTGGTAGATAGCATAGCCTAGTTCTTGTGCGGCAACGAAAGTCTCTCAGCTCCAGAAGATCAGCGAACAAACACCAGTCAGGCAAGGAAAGGGCGAGAACGGCCGTGCCCGTGCGCTGTGCAGATGAAAGAATTTCCGATCATGAGCTACGGTATATGGTCTGCTTAATTACAATTGACTTGAAAGGAGGAGGGTGCCGACTGGGATTTGAAGAAGAGAGTTCAGGAAGCGAGAGGCGGTGTTGATGTGAGAATTTGGCGAGCGGAGTCGGACTGGAAATGGGTCAGTCTGACCAAGAATGGATGTTATTTTCGGCCCACATGACGTCGTCAGACAAAATATTTTCTTTGCGGCAAACCGGGACATATTGAGCAGTAAAAGCAGGACTGAATAGAGTCAAGAGTAGGATTTGTATGTATTCTAAGGAGTGATTATGGTCGATGTGTATATGTGTACTCTATTAATCCCGAACCTCCGCTATGCTGAAAGAGACGCAAACCGCTCAAGAAAGACATGCTGTCCTGCAGCCCAACCCTTGTCCACATTACTGACATTGCGCATTACCCATCAGCTGCTACCTGTCTGTGCAACTCGCAAGGAATGTTTACCAGGCACCGATGGACGTGGGCACGGCCATGGTGATTGTGATTGTTTGACAGCCAACACAGTCACTCAAGCCATAGAAGAAGTTGGGGGCCAAAGTAGGAGTGGCGGTGACGGTCACTGTGGCGGGAGCAGGACACCCGTGGGGAGTGGTGGTCGACTGGGTAGGTGCCGGGTTGCACTGACCGTTGGCGGCCGTTCCATATCCACACCAATGGGATGCAGGAGTGGTGGTGGAAGTGGTCGAGGTGCTAGTCGAGGTCGGGGCCGGGTTACACTTCCCGTTCAAAGCAGTACCAAATCCACAATAGTAAGAAGAGGAGGTGCTGGCAGTAGTAGTCGGGACGCTGCTGGTGCTCGTCTGCTTACTGGAGGTGCTGGTATGTTTGCTCGAGGTGCTCGTGCTGCTGCTGGCACTTGTGCTAGAGCTCGTGCTCTTCGTTGTGGTGGTCATCGAGTGAGAGGAGGAGGAAGTGCTGGTGGTGCTAGCAGTCGAGGTGCTGGTGCTGGTGCTGGTTGGGGTAACGCATTTACCATTAAGCGCCGTACCAAATCCACACCAAAAGGACGAGGTCGTTGTGGATGAGACCGATGTGGTAGTGCTGGTGGGAGTGATGCATTTTCCGTCCAGCGCCGTGCCAAAACCACAGTAGAATGACGAAGTCGTAGTAGATGAAATTGATGTAGTGGTGGTCGTAGGAGTGATGCATTTGCCGTCCAAGGCCGTGCCAAAACCACAGTAGAACGACGAAGTCGTTGTAGATGAGACCGATGTAGTAGTGGTTGTGGGAGTGATGCATTTGCCGTCCAAAGCCGTACCAAAACCACAATAGAAGGACGAAGTCGTAGTAGATGAGGCTGATGTAGACGTTGAAGAAGGAGTAACGCAACTGCCATCGAGGGCTGTTCCAAAGCCACAGTAGACGCTCGAGGTGGAGGTAGAGGAAACAGAGCTCGAGGTCGTAGTTGGAACGATGCACGAACCATTCGCATCAGTACCGAAGCCGCAATAGTTGGAAGTGGTAGTAGTGGTCTCTGCCATTGGCATGGCCAGAGCGCCTGCAGCAAGCGCCGCAACAAGGAAAGAGACGGAAGAATGCATTCTTTTTGATGATGAAATGATACTTGTGGACGGGGACGCTGTTGATTTGGAGGTGTTGCTTGAAGCGAGTGTGGTAAGGAAACTTGGTGGGTTCAAACGACTGTGTTAAGGAAACAAGAGGCAAGGAAATTGTGCTATGATTGTTGTTCTGCTGTTGTGATGAGGGACAATTCAACTTACCGGCAGAGGAGACACCCATCTTCTTATACAACTAAATGGTAGGCAAGGGAAGTATACTTTGAGGGTGTCATGCGAGCCGTGGTAGCAATTCAGGTGTCACATTGCTCACGGTGCGTGTAGGTTTGCACGGATTGTGGCCATGAGCCTCGAGCAGCTGCTGTAACGTGTGAGTGGTGTGTTCAGAGCCAGCATCATGTCGCGATTGGCTCGCATAAGGGCAAATCATGCGAGACGTATCCCAAGCTACCGTTGGTGCCGTCGAGGCTGAAGTGAGAAAATTCTGTGGAGAGAGCTTTCAATAGTTGGGGAGGCTGAGCACCAAAGGACTGGCAGCCAAATGGCACCCAACTGGGATCCCCTTTGCAGGCGCAGCAAATCAAGAGATGGAAGTTCCACCAATCATGGCATCTCCAGTGAAGCTCCGCTAACCGCATATGGTCCGGGCAGCCGGGGTTACGGAATAGCAGTTTTTCCGATGCGAGGACGAGCCGCAAGGTGGTATTTCCCCAGTGGCACCTCAGCCGGTACAGTGCCAGTGGGTGCCAGCTGCTGCTCACCAGGCTGCGCTTCTTGTCTCGAGCTTGTGAGACATATGGACACATGACAGGAACAGAGTCGCTGCGCTTGCACTTCCTATGAGGTGACGTCTTCCAAGGGCAAATGTGGTAATGGGTGTTTCTATTTTCGAAGCCTCCGCATCTCAAAACTATCGTGACTTGCATCAATGCCGTCGAACTCGCTCAAAGTATTGTGCACGGGACTCTCGCCGAGTCGCCTTTCATCTCAAGGGTGCTCATGCATATCACAAGAGAAAAGATATCAAAGGATGGACCGGTTGAGAGGTCAGGATATGAGCAAACTGAGTTGCAGTCGACGGCGCTTCAGGGTAGACAAATATGACTGATGTAGCCACTTCTTCCACCAAAGACGAGTATAGAGGAGCTGGTATTATTATGGTCTCCTCAGGGATAGTCAATCTTTGAGCATGGTTCATCGGTGCTAAAAGGACAAGAATACCGCCTCGTACTGGACCTGCTGGGCTTGGCCGGGGGATGCTCTGCCGAGTCAAATAAATGTTCCGGCGCGTCATCAATGCCAACACGTGTCGGCAATTTGTATGGAGCAGCCACCATCCAACGACCATGATGGACAACCACTAATAAAGTCTGGTCTTCTCTTCTCTAATCTACGCTGCCCATCATGTTTGGTGCCTTGAATCGTTTTATAGCTCGCCTCGATGGTGAGCCGCCTCCACGACAAGCAGACTCCGGCCCGTCGGACACCTCGTACGGCTTCCAGGTCCTGCGAAACACAAACAAGGACCTCCCTATTGAACCCTGGTTCGACTTCATCATAGGCATCAACGGCCATTATCTGGTACTTGTCTAGCTCAACAAGAAGCCCGCAATGTGACATGGCATGCTGACTCCCTGGAGGACTCCCCGGATCCCGCCTTGTTTACAACCGAACTGCGCAACTGCGCTGGCGGATACTGCTCCCTGGATCTATGGAGTGCAAAGGTACGAAGGCCCTTTCCACCTGCAAATGTTCCCGTCCTAATCAGTGTGCCAGGGTCAACGAACACACTCGGTCAGCGTGGCCGTTCCTGCTCTGCCCGAGACGCTCGGGCTCTCGCTACAACTGACACCTCTAAATTCCTCACACAATATCTGGCACGTCCTTACCATACCCTCCCCCTTGTCCCCGGCCCATCAAGCGGGCCTCCTGCCACACAGCGACTACATCCTGGGCTCGCCAAGCGGTACCTTGAAGGGGGAAGCTGCTCTGGGCGAGCTCGTTGAAGACCACCTCAACCGCAGTCTGGTATTATGGGTCTACAATTCAGAATTCGACGTGGTTAGAGAGGTGGAACTCGTGCCCCGAAGAGGGTGGGGAGGCGAGGGTGCTTTGGGTGCGATTCTTGGTTTCGGCGCCCTCCATCGCCTGCCCGTGGGATTGGGAGAAGAGGTGCAGGCACCTGGAGAAAATCTATTTGACGCCGATCGGAAGAGCATGGAGAATGGGCAGCACGAGGCGTTTTCCAACACCTTCCAACCTGCACCAGCCCAGGATCTGCCTCCAGCGCCGATGGTTAACCCAAATGTTCCTCCACCTCCTCTGATGAACCCCAATGCGCCACCGCCCAATGCCTCGGCACCTAGATCACGCAAGGGCAGACATCATGGCGGAGCTGCTCTGGGCAGTGGCTTCGACGATATATTCGCCGAAGGAGCAAAGAAGAGTGCCGAGCAAGACCATGTACCTTCGAGGAAGGGCACACCACTTGCCCCGCCCCCCAAGCTCGCGTCTGCTGGACCCACACCACATTCTGTCAGCCATGAAAAAGAAGATCCGCTAGCGCAAGCGGGTGAAGATCTAGGTGAACCTGGGGATGCCGAGGAAACTTGAGACGGGATGATTGACGAACCCCTCGGCAGCCTCCGGCACTCTTGAACGGTGTCGATGGCAGAATCCCATCTCCAAGGTCAAGTATCGGAAATGAGTGGCTTATCTCGATGAACCAGTCGTACCAGCTTCATCTTTCCACCACTCCATGAACTCCCGGATCCTGTCCGACCTCCCCTTGGCCATTGCCTTTCCAGCCTTAGTCTTCATCATCCCCTCCAGCTTGAGCAACTTGTCCTCAAAGTGTTGTATCGAGTCTTGAAGACTCCTGGCACCCTTTGCGCCTCCAAAGGTGAAGCATCGAGCAATTCCAATGGCTCCGATGGCATCAAGTCGATCAGCGTCTTGGACGACAGCCAGCTCCGGTATAGCGTCGATAAGGTTCTTGACGTGCTGAGGATTCTTCACTTCGGAGGAATACGATACGCCCTCGACCAACAGTTGGACATGCTCAGCATAGCTTTCTGGCATACCGGCCTCAATCACGGCCTTTTGCAAAGTCATCTTCTGTTGGTCCACCGTCACATCGACATACTTCTTGTCCTCAACATCATGCAGCAACGCTCCTAAAATCACACTCAGTGGGTTCAATGCGGGCAAGGCCTTCTGTTTGCGTTCCTCTTCTTCCTTCTCGAGGATCGCTAGAGCATTACTGAGGACTCGCCGCACGTGTTCGAAATCATGGGATGCATCGAAACGTGGATTCTGGAAGTACGCCTCGGTGAAGGAATAGATTTTCCGGATAGTGGAGATTTCGTGGTCGGAAAGGCTGGGATAAGTGGCTGGATCGACGTACTTGTCCTTGGCCATGTTGGATGTCAAGATTGATGTCGAAAACACCGATCAAGCAAGAATGTTGTGATGCGGATATCACCCTCGGAGCCTTGATACCAGCGGCACGCGACCCCAAAGACAAGCAGTTTTGAATGGTGGAATCTTAGCTTAGACCTCGTCAATTCATGATTGGGTGTTCTGGGAGCGACGCCTTGCTGTGCCCAAGTTCTGTGTTCCTAAATATTGGTCGACATTCATCTACTGTCCGTCGAGGGATCGAGAAACGGAAATTCGGATGGCATGAGACGATTTTGCAACTTCGGGGGATCGAGTCTTGCAGTAAGAAATGCCAAGACGGTAGAACATCGGCTCTTCATCTTACTTCCCAGCGAGCCCAGCAAGACGTCGAGGCATGTCTACGAGGTACTAATACTAGGTACTTGACTACCTAGGTACGGAGCGAGGTAGTTATCAACTCCTCTATGTAATCATCTCTTCCATCAGACCCTCAATCCAACCTCCATCACGGCGTGGATGTTACCCGGTATTCTCTTACTGCTTCGCAGCTCCAATCTCGGATCGGCCTGCTCAAACAATGACTTCCAGCCACCTTCATCCCTCTCGCAACCGTTGAAACTGAGCATCATCTCCATATCCATGAGCCTGGAAAAGGCAGCGGTCAGCAGTCAGTACCCCAATATATTGTGTTTCCTGAGGGTGTCAGCCTCACCTTGCTTGATATTCGTCGGACTTGCTCCGGGCACCGACTTCAGGCATGATGCCATCAACGATCACAATCCTACTGTTAGCGCCCATGGCGGGAGTTATGTTGCTTAAGATTTTCGCAGCATACTTGTCCGAGTAATCGTGGCAGATGAACCTCAGGAGATACACATCGGCGTTCTTGACAGGCTGCGGTGTGAAAAAGTCGTGCGCTTGGAATTCGATCCGGTTGACGTGCTTGTCGTTGGCTCGCTCTTGTCGAGCTTGCATCACGACCTTCTCGAGATCCTGCACGATGAATCTCAGCTCCGGTGCGACTTCGGCAATCTCCGAACAGCAGTGTCCAAAGCTACCACCCACATCGACTACGAGACCGTCTCCCAGGGATTTCCAGTTGAACGCATCTACCAAATGCTTTATGTTGTAGCTCTCCCCGGAAGCTAGCGCCCTCATGCCGCCCATGAACCGTCGTAACCGATCTGGGTGCTTTTCAAAATACTCAAACATTGGTAGGTCGGTATTGTGGCCAACATTCCACGGGGTGGTGTTCCTCTCTTGGCTTCCGGGATACTTCTCCGCGGCCTCCACGAGCCTTGGGGCGCCGAGGAAACTTTCCTCGGTCACGTACCCAACGAGATCCCGGAAGTCAGGCTGCAACAACGTTGCGGACAAGGCAGTGTGAGCCACATAACCGGGTCTGGATTGCCGAAACATATTTTGGGACATGGCTAATTTCAGTATTCGGGCGCATTGACTCTCCAGTGTACCCGTCTTTGCAGCAAGGTCGTGGAAGCTGATGTCCCCGGTGACAGGTACCTCCTCGGCAAGTCGATAATGATAGATATATTGCAGACATGCCGACATGAAGTGTACGGTCAAAAGATTCCAAGATGCCTCTGCCGGACCTGAGACCAACTGCAACAGAGCACCACATGCTTCCCGGACTTGGGAACGCGCCTTCAAAATGTCTTCATTGAGCCTGGGATACCTGTCGACGCCGGTTGGCCCTGTTCCCGGAAAGAATGGATATGCATCTGCGGCAAGAGAGAGAGGTGGGAGGGAGTTTTGCTGCAAGTACTCGGAGATTGCATTGGCGTTGGTTTGGATCTGCTGGGCAAGGTCGAGAATGGAAACGTTGGGGTCAGACATTGTCGAGTCGGCGGAATCCTGAAGGACTAAACTACTTCAGAGGACGGTTTATTCAGGACGTTCACCCAAGGTTTCTTTATATATGCCTTTCCTTGTCCCTACCTTTGCTAGCTTATTAGACCTTTTCTCCCCCCTCAAGACCGGCAAACCCCCACACATGCGGGGTCCATCTGACCAGAATCTCGCCCATCAAGTAAGAAGCAGCACAGTCAACTCGCGGCTGTCGAGGGTGGCCTGAACCAAGAATGAATCATATCTTGTAAGACTCAAGCAAGCAAGCACGGCAAAAAAGCTTTGCCTTCTGTGTTGTTGCGAGCATTCACTGCAGACAGCTGCTGTACAAGTCAAGCTAACACCGGTTTGTCCACCTACATACATTACGTCGTTTAGTAGCCTTGAGGCCTAGGCTGTCTCGTCAATGATTCGGTAGCGGGAACAAGCAGGGACGGCACAGATGTGGGGCGGCAGCCTTAGGTGCCTGCTTGCTTGCTGGCTTGCTCGCTGGCTCGCTAGCTCGGCTCGTATAAAATGTCTCAATCCCCGATTGGGAGTTACTATAATACGATGTATTGAATACCACTGCTTCAGGCCTCCAGTGCAACCAGAGTGCGAGCTATGCAGGACGTGAACCATTTTGAGGTAGCATATAATATTATTACTAACTGTTATCATCGGCAGTGCAGACAAACTACAGAGGCCCACTTATGATATCCCAATCTCTGTCCGAGAGGCTCCTTGCACCATTTGCAGCACTTCAGTCATCATACGCCACATCTGATGGCGCAAAGCTGTCACCTGCCTGGCCTTCGCCTCTGTGTCGACTTCCATACTGACAGATCATCATACGCGACATCAACCTTCAAGGTCATCCACGAAGCTCGGCTGGCCGGTTATGGAGCCTCAGAACATCCTAACCGGATCACGGCTGCGCTTCTGGTCGTACATTTGCGGTTGAAGCGCGTCTGTGTACTCGGACGCGGCGGCAGGAACTGTAAGGGCGCCTTGGAGGTCCCGGCTGCGGATGACGAGATCGTGTACGGTCTGGGATGAGAGAGGATATGGGCGAGACACTCTCGCGGTGGTTGACGATGGAACGTGATCTTGCGTTTCTTCATATGCAGAATTGCCATCGGGCTGCCCCAAGGATGAGCTCGATGATACAACAACTCTGTCAACTCATAGGCATTTCAACTCTTGCAGTTGGATTGAACCGGGCTGAAGGCGCCAGATTCCGGGGAACGAGGCAGTGCAACTTCGCCTGATGCCGGGTAGAAGTTGCGGCATCTGGTGCAGACAGTGAGGCCGACCGTGGGCCCGCGCTTGTGGTACCCGGCGACTTGGGCTCTGAGTTCCTCGACTTCTTGCTCCAAGCGGCGGACTTCCTCCTTCCTCTTTTGTCGGAAGTTGCTTTGGGCTTTGCGGTTCTGCTCACGGCGCCTGTGTTTGCGATCCATCATCTTGGACGACTGGGCCACAGTCGAGTCTGAGGGCAGATCTGCAAAGTCGGCAGCCACGGCCTCCTTCGTCCAGAAGTCATCTGAATGTTCGCTGCTCGCATAGTCGACCGACAAATCAACGGCCGGAGATTGCGAGAACGCATTACCGTATAGAGCAGCTTGCAACTGTTGAGAAGACTCGCTCTCCTTGCGGTGGTGACTTGAATGAACGACCGGCGAATTTTCAGCTGAGTGGAAGAGAAAGTCCCAGATGTCGATTTGACTTTGATCTGAAGAAGCTGACGAGGGGTAGGTCCAGTCGTAAGTCGGATAGCTCAGATCCATGTTTAATTCAATTGCTTGCATTGTTCGTTGTTTGGATACAGTGTTGGCGATCTCGAGGTTGGCGACCACGGTTCCGCTGTTGTTGTGAGCTTCAACAGGCTTTCACGGTATTAATGTCGTATTAGAGGACTTGCACCACGTTGAGCTGGATTATCTGCGGCTGGATCAAGAATTGAATGCTAGTGCTGCTACTGATATTTGTGCACGTTGATGGAGGACTAAACATACCACAGCCGGGAAAAGGATGGTGGTGTTATATCCAACGAGGCTGGCCTTCAATGCACAGGCCCCCAGTCACCCAGGGATGACGCAGCTGCAGGTGAACAGAGGGTGCCTGCCCCATTTGGAAAGACACAACATAGAAAACTTTGACTCCTGACATAATGCAGGGACCGGTCTGGCGAGAACCAACTCACCTTTGGGAAACTGGGGTGCGAAGATAACTTTCCCTGACAAAGCGAACAATGGGAAATGAGTGAGTTTCGGATGCTGACAACGGATGGCGGAGAACAGCCACAGAAGCTCAAGGCAGCTCCAATGAGTGACGGGAGGGTAGAACAGACAGGTTGCTGGGCGCTCTGCGGGAATTTCCCCCATGCAAAGGACGAGGGGGAGGAGCAGTAGCTGGGGAGCTGGCCGATGATTGGATCAGTGACGTGTTATCATATGATAGCTATACCCAATATGGAGAGTGGGGCACTGCTTATTAGTACCACGGCTGTCGCATAGCGGCACCAGAGATTCTCCGTATTCCGTATACGGTACATACCAAGTACCTCGTACATACCACCAACCATCATCAACACCTCGCTTCACCAGAACCATCAGTCCCCCTTCCTCCTTATGGAAGTAACGCGTCTCTTATCTCTGACGCTACCACATTAGAGAGGCTAGTCAGCGGTGCCCCGGCTACGCAACCTGCCTCGCGGCGCTGTCCTTCTCCTCCCATTGAAAGCAGAAGCTTCTCGAGGGTGATCAATGAGGCCATGCCCTGCTCATGGCGCCGAGACAAGGCTGCCTCTTTCGGGAATACCCCCATTTTCTAATCAGGCCGTAACTCAACCTGGTTGTTCAGCAGATGGAACAAGTCATACGATCATCTGTCTGCACTGATCGATCACGACGTGAGGCTTCATGCTTTCAACAGGATAAAGAAGCTGTGAAGTTGGCTTCAATGAATTCTAGACGCGGTCTATGGCCGATCATCAGTCACGTCCGACTTCATCCGGCCGATATTGTCGACGACATGGACCATGGCGGTTCCTCCCGGTCCTGCTTGCTCCTTCCGAGATCATTGGCGTCTGGTCGATCGCTGCCACTGACCCAATAACTCCAGGCTTGCGCACTAACTTTCGAATAAGCACTCGAGACTGGCCGCGCAGAGTGCCCGTTGCATACTTCCATCCTTCCATGCATGTTCTCTGCATGCCTTTATCGCCCGGGATCATCGTCCGCCCACATTACTGGCCCCAAACGAGATCCGTGGCTGTTTGCCGAAACTTCAGATCTTCCCAGTCCCTGCCTGGAGTGACGCTCGCCAAGAAACACCCCGGGCCACAATAATGGCCGGCAGTCGCATTCTCACCGATTGGTAGAATCCTTCATTCTTCTCAACCTCTCAGTCTCGAGAGATAAGTGAAATCTCTTCAATCTGCGCAATCTACCTAGCGCCAGGACATCGTGCGCCGAGAAAGCAAGAGCCCTGGACGACAAGTCTAGACCATGTTCTTCGATCTTGTCCCCGCACTGCTGAACGGGATCTGGGAAGGTCAAAAGCCACATACGTCGATGCCTTGCTGACACCAAATTTACCTGTCTGGCGCAAGTTCAGGCAATGTCCCACGGCATATCCCAGCTTGGGCTGGTTTCTCGTCGGAAGGGGAGTTGATGTTGGACGTTAGATGTAAGACACCAGCGAACCTACAAGATCTACCACATACAGCAGCTTCATGCGACGACGTGCTTTTCTGCGCAACTGATTCGATCAACCACAGAGATCTCGAACTTATCCTAAGATAAAGTCTCCGGCCCCACAAAGAACAGACTGCCTTGTGACGAATTATCTGGACTGTCAAGGACGGCATTCTGATTTCTTGCATGCGCGATGGATTACCGGCTCCTCTTCCCTGCTGGTCAACCAGGAACGCCTGACAATGACCGACATGGCTATTCTGAAAGACTGTGCGAGTAGGAGTCTCGAGTTGACGACTCGGTCTTCTGATGAATCATGATACATGTGCTTTGGAAAGACAAATTTGCCCTTTCTCAACCGGATGTCGTATTTCGTATTCGATGGGTCCAATTCGACGGATGAACTGATGTTCAAGTTGCCCGATTCGCTCGCGACATGCACCTGTTTTGGTGATGGACAGTCCAAGGGTGCCTCGGCTGGATAAAAGCCTTTTGTCTGACGGCAGAGATAGTGACATTCTGGCGCAACAGGGGCCCAACAATACTCTGCACACCATTTCATGCTCTGTCAGACGACTGCTCTTATCCGTCAAATGACAACACATGCCGCCCTCGCTTAACATGGAACGTCGTTGTTCCGAGTCCATCAAGGCGACGAGGATTCCTCATTGTCCGCCTGTTCAACCTTCGTGTTCTCATTAGATCAGTGTCTTTTTGCGCATTTTGCGTCTGCCTGTCCTTTCGATTTCATTATCTCTGCATTCCAGCCCTTGGGCTATCCTCCAGCTTCTCCAAGGACACTGGCATCGCGCTGGGCCTCAGACCAACTTCACTTTATCGCCCTCGATCAAAGGCGGACCTCTACCTCGTACGTGGATTCAAGATGCCGTTTCAAGTCCCAGAGTTTCTCGGCACCTACCGCTTTTGGGTCACGGCTTCCCTGGCTGGCTCTGTTTTTCTGGTCAGATTTGCCCCTCAATACTCAATTTTAGAATCCTACACAGCGACAGCCTCTGCAATATTTCTCCTCCAGGTGCTGGTTTGGGCGGTCTACGCTATTTTCATCTATCCGTTCTATGTCAGCCCGCTTCGCCACGTCCCCACCGTCAAAGGGGGCAGCAGGGTGTCCGGTCATTGGCGCACGTTACTCAAAGAACCCTCTGGAGTGCCCCAGCGACGCTGGGCACAAGAAGTTCCTAACGATGGCTTGATCCGCTATCTGCACCTTTACAACCGGGAGCGTCTCATCGTCACCAGCCCTAAGGGACTTGCCGAAGTTCTGAACACCAAGAGCTATGAATTCATCAAGCCCGAGCTACTTCGCACCGGTATCGGACGAGTCCTGGGCGTTGGCGTTCTTCTGGCAGAGGGGGACGATCACAAGGCACAGAGGAAGAATCTCATGCCGGCATTCCACTTTCGCCACATCAAGGAACTCTACCCCATATTTTGGTCAAAGTCTCGAGAGATGGTGCATGCTATCCAGAAGCAGGTAAAATCCTCGTCCGAGACGCGCCCCACCGTTGAAGTCGGCGAATGGGGGAGTCGCGCAACATTGGATATCATCGGTTTGGCCGGCATGGGTCAAGACTTCAGCTCTCTGCAAGACCCGACGAACGAGCTGAATCGTGTCTATCGATCAGTCTTCCAACCCGACCGGACCGCCCAAATCCTGGGACTCTTATCCTTCTTCCTGCCAGCGTGGTTTATCAACAACCTCCCCATCGACCGAAACAGCAAAGTGCAAGCCGCGGCCGACGTTGCCAAGGACACCTGCCGCAAGCTTATCGAGCAGAAGAAGCAGCGCATGGCCAATAAGGAGCCCATGCAGCCGGACATCATCTCGGTGGCGCTCGAGTCCGGCGGCTTCAACGACGAAGAGCTCGTCAACAACATGATGACCTTCCTCGCCGCGGGCCACGAAACCACGGCGTCGGCATTCACGTGGGCCATCTACCAGCTCTGCCAGAGACGAGATATCCAGGCTCGCCTGCGCGACGAGGTCCGCTCGCACATTTCCAACCTCGACACCGAAAACATCACCGCCGAAGTGATCGACGGCATGCCGTACCTCCACGCCGTGTGTCAAGAGGTCCTGCGCCTCTGGGCGCCCGTGCCGCTCACGCTGCGCGACGCGGCCTGCAACACCTCGATCCTGGGCCAGTTCGTACCCAAGGGCACCAAGGTGATCCTGGCGCCGTGGGCCATCAACCACAACACCTCCCTCTGGGGCTCCGACGCCTCCGAGTTCAGACCCGAGCGGTGGACCGCACCGGGCCAAGCCAACGCCGGCGGCGCCGTGAGCAACTACGCGTTCCTGACCTTCTTACACGGACCCCGGAGCTGCATCGGCGCCAAATTCGCCGTCGCCGAGTTTGCCTGCCTGCTCGCCGCGTTCGTCGGCAGCTGGGAGTTCGAGATGGTCGATCCGGACAGGGCCATCGAGGTAAAGGGTGGCGTCACCGCGCGGCCCAAGGGCGGTATTGAGGTGTACTTGAAGCCCGTCGAGGGATGGGCCAGTTGAAGTCTCTCTGTTGATACGAAGACACTGGGTAGCCTCCGCCGGGAGAGACTGCATTCGGGACGGAGCCATTGACGTGGACATTTATCCACTTTGGACGCGATGAGATGGTCATATGAGCATACGAGTGACTTTCACGGGATATATAGAGCATTAATTCGCAATCAGTTGCAGTTTGCCATGTTTCTGCGGGGATCATGAGTGTCTTTCATAGCATTCGGGGCACCTCTCGAGCTCACTGGCATCTATACTTCCACTCCCAGAACAGAGCACCCTCACAACAGTCTCACTGCGGCCCCAGGCCCTTTCGCTCGAAGAGGACATCTCTTTGTCGTAATCAGGCGCGGCTTCATCGCTCAAGTTCACTCAGGTCGCTCAAGTCGCTGAGTTCACTACTTGACTCGCTTTGCGAACCGTCCTCTTCGTTCCGCTTCTTCGGCTTCTTGCCCTTTGCTGCACCGTTAACGACCTGTTTCCCGGTAAACATGTCCATCAAATTCTTCTGCCCCTTCTCGAGTTGTTTCTCTTTGGCCAACTTCTTCCTCTCCTGCTCTAGCTTCTTCTCTCTTAACCTCTCATACTGCGCCTGCATTTGGTCTCTCTCTTTCTTGCCCCTTTCACTCAGGTCGCTCTCAAGTCGCCTGAACTCTTCACCGTCGGGATCCATTCCGATCAGACTCTCGAGGAGTTTGATTTCCGTCGCCCAGATATTCTTGTCGTCGATCATCTTCTTTCCTCTGGGGTCGCTTGGGTCTGGCACTTCACAGGGTGTCTCGAGAATCAAGGGCAGATTCTGGAAGCGTGGTTCGTTCATGACATTGTGGAAGGCGCGCAGTCCGAGGAATCCCAGGCCAATGTTCTGATGGAGGTCCCTATGGCTGCCTAACGGCATCTTGGAGTCGTTCAAGTGTATTGCCTTGAGGTACTTGAAGCCTACGACACTGTCGAACTCGTCCATCGTCTTCTTGAATTCTTGCGGACTGCGCAGATCGTAGCCCGCCGCAAATGCGTGACATGTGTCGATGCAAACACCGATCCGAGACTGGTACTCAGGCTTGATCTGAGAGATCACATCTCGGAGATCCGAGAATCGTCCTCCGATCAGTGTGCCATGTGCCGCCATGTTCTCTAACAGAGGAACGACAGTTTTTGTTTCCGATAATGCCCGGTTGAGGTTGTTGGCGAGTCTAGTGACCGCCTCTGCAAAAGGACTCTGTCCAGCTGCTCCTGGGTGAAAGTTGTAGTATCGGATTCCGAGGGCTTCGCACCGATGGAGATCGTCAATGAATGCATCATAAGATTGCTTTGCCTTGTCCTCATCCTCTGTCGCCAGGTTGACGAGATAAGACCCATGGGGGACGATATGTGACAGTCCGTCATATTTGTGTTCTATCAATGCCTTCTTGAAAGCATCTCTGTTCTCGTCCTTTAATGCAGGATTCTCCCATTTCCGCTGCGACTTGAGGAAACATGCAAATGCATTGCCTCCGATGTGCAAACAATTTGTGACTGCATTTTCCACTCCCTTCGCTATACTCGTATGAGCCCCCACGTACATTTTCAAGCCGACGGTTCGGGCAGCAAGAGGCATTGCTTCGGCTTCCTTTTCTTCCTTCGTTTTGCGTTTCCGCTTAGGTTTGATCGGTTCGTCCAGCTCTATTTTGTCTTCTCCACGGTCATCAATTCCAGAGTCAGATCCCGCCTCTTTCTTGACCTTCGATTTGGCTTTTCGTTTGCGAGTGGTCGTAGCGGGCGTCTCGATTTGCTTGAAAGTCGCCTTGGCCTCGTTGAGCGCCAATTTGCCGCTCGCCGCGGTGTTGGCTTTAAAGGTCACTTCGTCTTCCACACTCACGGCGACTTCCTTGTTCTTCTTTCGAGAAGTTCTCGGTGTGAGGTCCGCGCGGTCCTCAGCTGGTTTTGCACGCTTTTGGCTTCTCGGACTGGGGTCACCTTCAAGCCCGTCGACAGTGACTGCAGCACTTCGCTTGCGTTTCCTGGTGTCCGGACTATCTGAGAGGGTATTCGAAGCAACGACCGGGTCGGCCTTACGCAGCTTAGGCATGGTCGTTGAAAAACCTTTACATGAATGTTAAGCAAGTCAGTCTAAGGAGCCTGAGGTGTTCATTAGGGTCTGGAGGTCATGACTCGTCTAACGCGTTTCTCGGAGCCGACGCGTAAAGTACTGGCCTCGCCGCACCTTCCTCAAATGGCTCCCCGACTCTACCTAGTAGAAGTCTCCAGCTTGCGGCTCCCTCTTGTCCTGCTTCGTGGAATGCGCAAGACTCGACTTCGCTGATCACAAAAAGATGAGGCCTTGATCGACTCGCTTCCTGCTACGCCTCTGAATTATGGCGGACGATACCATCGACGACACGCCACAGCTCTCAGCGACCGAGTCCAGCGAAGATGAATCAGAAGGAGAACTCGTCGAGACCCTCATCGCTGGCAGGGAGCGACGGAAGACTGCTGGGAATCGCTATGACAGGGACATGGTATTGGAAGAGGTGGCGGATGTGGACGACCAAGACGAGGTCACTTTGTTATTTGCGGGCAACGACGAGGAGGAGGAGGAGGATGAGGAATTCAGAAGTGGTGACGAGGATGACGACGCCGACATGTCTTCTAGCGATGATGACGATCAAGGTCCCAACGCCGCAACGGATGACTTCGAGGGAGAGAAGGAGATACAAAAGCAGGCCAAAGAGGAACGAGCAAAGAAACGGAAAGCAGATCTAGCCCTTACGAGCGTTGCGGGCATGAGGAAGAAACTCAAGACCGATCCTACAAAGCCGACTGTAACATCTGTTGCACCGAAACCATCCAAGAAGAAAGAGCGAGTTACATGGGTTCACGATCACGATTCCGGTCGAAGTTCTTTGCGCAAACAAACAATCGCCCACCGGGCCGAGACCATTGCCCGATTAAAAGAGAGCGAAGCCCATAGCAAAAAACTGAAAGCGCTCAAGGAACAACGGAAAAAGGAAAAAGCAAGCGACGCCCCCAAAGAACTTACGCAGGCTGATCGGTTGGCCGAAGCAGCAAGGGTCGAGCGACAGAATGCCAAGAGCCTAAACCGTTGGGAGGCCATGGAAAAGAAGAGGCAAGAAGAGCTGGCAGCAAAACTCGCAGCTCTCAAGGACAGGAAACTTGAAGGTCCAGTTGTCACCTGGTTAAGTGCCAAGGCCAAATGGGTTGGGCCTAAATTGAACAAGATCGGTACGAGAGACGCTACAGAGTTCCGCGAAGGGGGAACAGAGACGAAGAAGCGTGGGAGGAAGTCGAAAGCCTACCTCGAGCAACTGGCCGCAGAAAAGAATGCAGAGTCAAGGGGATCTGGAACAGTACAAACAAGTACTGTGGTAACCGCGGAGGCACCACTCCCTGTCTCGAATCAGCCGAAGGAGCCCGTCCAGGAAACGGTGACGACCACGACTGTTGCTCCTGTTCCGGAGGATGCGCAACCGCAAATCCCGCTCACTGCCCCGCAGGAACATGTGGACACTTTCTTAAAAGGCATACATGAGTATGCTAATATGCAACCGGACAGCAACCCGACGGAGAGCGGGCGAGTCAGCCCGGTATCTCCAGACCTGGATGCACAGCAAGCTGCAGATGTCCGTCTGGAAACACAGCAAGGTCCTAGTGCTTTGGCGGAAAATGGCCCGGTCCATGTTATCCAGGTTCAAGAACCTTCTAGCGAGGCGTTGGAAAATGTCCCCATTAAGCCTGAATCACCCACGCAGCAGACGCATATGGCCGAATCTACCATGCCACGAGAGCAGACGCGACTACCCGAGGCCTCCGGAACAGCAGAGCAGACGCAACCACCTACAAACGCTGAGCAGGAAGAGCAGATGCAGTCCTCTGGAGCCATAGACCAAAAACAGCACACTCAGCCAGCTAGGCCCATCGAGGAGTCCAAGCTGACCGAGAATTCCCAAGCGATCACGCAAACAGAGCAGGCGTTAGTTGCTGGAACCACTGCGCCAGCAGCAGCACCGGAGCCTCCATTGGTTGAAGAAGACTCGACGCGAAATTTGGTCATTCTGGACAAGTTCGAGGAGCTTTCCAGCGAGGCCCGGCAGCAATACTCCCTGTTCTACAACAACCGCAAGACAGCCAAACCAGTGAAGCACATTCAAGAGCTGTGTTCAATTACGATGTTGCCTGTTCGATACCGAGATCGAGACACAGGGATCGGGTTTGCCAATGCAGGCGCGTACAAGAAGCTCCAAGAACTGAAGGAGCACAAGTTTGTATGGAGCAGCATGCTTGGATGCTATGTAGGTCGAGAAGGAGGACCGGTAGCCCGGGGAGTACCAGAAGGATGGGGTTGAAGTTGTCCTCAGATGTAAACAGGAGTCCCAAATGAAGGGTGCCAGCACCGTTATTTGACAACAAATAATTGTAAGAAGCCTTTTGCTGATGATGGGATAAAAATGGGGTCTGGAACGAGAGGCTATGCTACTACGAGTATCTGGTCGGTACCTACCTAGGTACCCAGCAAGTAGGTAGGTGGTAGAGCACCTAGGTACTCGTAGTCAGGCTGACCCTCCTGCACGAGGCCAGAGGGACTTTGGTGCGCTCCATTTAGTAGGCGCTCTCCCCGGGCCCCGTCAGTCACCCGTCAGACCATGACCAGATCCGGTTTAGGCAGTCGATTAGAGGGTCATAGGGCTAGCGGCACATGCACGGCTTGCAGTGGCGCGCCCGTAACCCCTCATCTTATAGGCTTCTCGGGGTGCCTGGTGCCCCAATCCCTGCCCCGAAACATTGCGGTCGCGGGAAGTGGCCTCTCTGGCCTCGTCTGGAACGGGGCAAGACACACGCCCACTTTTAACGTCATCCACACAGGGCGCAGCCTGGCACCCAAATGCACCCGTGGAATGCACCAAAGTCACTTTGGTGAGTTTGCGGTGTACAAGAAATAATCAGCTGCCCAACCAAGGCGACGCCATCCTTGTCCTCTTATATCCCTCGTCTCCCAGGTACATATACTGTACCTACTTCACCGCTGTTCAATGGGAGACGATCCTCCTCCCTTACGCAAAATCCAACATGGCAAAGGCTCCTCCACCGCCAGGAAACTGAAGCGCAGGAGTGGTGACTCGGTCCTCACTCCTCGCACCTTCGCCCCGGGCGATAACAACAGGAGGGACAAAGAAAAGGAGATGGCGGCCAGTTTTTTACAGTTCTGGTAAGGACCTCATGTCCGTTCTCCATTGCAGGCCGATTCCTAACGCAGCAATTCACAGCGCCATGTGCGAGAAGCAGATTATGACTCCATGCAACTCGATTCTTTACTGCAGTGAAGCGTAAGTCTGCCTCGTCGTCTGTGTCTCTTCTTGTCAAAACGCACAGAGGCTGATAACACCATCACAGATGTCGTCGTAAGGACGCCGCGAAGCCTCTCTCGGCTTCGAACCTGTCCGCGGTTGAATCCTCTACAACACCGCCGCCGTCCCTCCCCTCGTCCCCGCGTCCAACCATAACAACGCGCGTTTCCAGCAGCGGCGCCTCCCCAGAATATCAAGATCACAAACCTGCTGGCATTCGGATACCCTTTGATCTTCACGATCACCGCTCAGATCTTGACCCCACGGAATGGAAACCCAAAATACCTCACAGTCGCGGCGCCTCGACCAACTCTGAGGCGTTTCGCTATCTCAGTCGCTTCCACCAGACACACAATATAGCCTACAACAACAGCAACAACTCTTCTTCTTCCGATCATTCTTCTGACAACCACAGCCACAGCCACCATGTCATCAAGTCTGTCGACCACCGCCCAGGACCAGCAATGCGGCACAAGAGTACTTTGAGCATGTCCACCTTGACGCCCAGCACAACAACGCCTAGTCTCGCCAACAGCCCCACCACAACATCATCCAGCTTTGGCAGCATGTACGAATTCAACCTGCGCCCACTGGCTCCCCGCACCAACCCGCTGTATAGCACCAGCGCCGGCCACTCCAGGAGCATCGATCTGGTGACGCCCCATATCCCGCCTCCCGTTGCTCCTACAGTCGTAGGCGACAACGTTGCGCTTCTTGCCGGGTCGATTCCCGCGGCGGTGGAGTCCGAGGTTAACGACCTCTGGGGCAGGAAAGTCGTGAAGCCTGTCGTGCCCGTCGCGACACCGAAGGGTGAAGGCCTAGGCGCGTTGTTCGGCAAGGATTCTTGATGTTTGAGTTGCCCTTGGGAGAGTATGGGTATGCAGGCAATAGCGTGACTTGACGACATAGTTGTGTTAAGAGAATGGATCCATGGGGAGTTCGATTGCACGTAATCCTTGATCTGATACCTAGGTAACCACTGGGAGGACCCGGCATACATAGAAGAAGTATTATTTGATACCCCCGGAATTGATGTTGCTTTTCTTTGGGATTGTGGAACACAAAGATCAGCCTTCTATCTCTCTGCCCCCTGCCCTTCCGCTTCCGCCCCAATGGAGAGATAGATGTCCTGAGCCGACGAGAGAACCACGACTCTTACGGATCTGGGAATCGATCCTCTCAGGAGACAGACCTCTCTCTCTCTCTGCTTTGGCTCTACGACTCCGTACCAATACCCCTGCAGAGGACCAAAAGAGAGCGCAACCAGCGGGAGGGGTCACACAAAAGAAAGAAGGAAGAAACAGATGATCAATTCTTCTCTCTTCAAGACGCCTTGATCCACCCAGTCAGTATATTTCATGCTATACATCTCATCGTTGAAATCTTCGCCGACCAAAAGAGAAAAGACACACGAGACATCTTCGCGTAGCTTTTGTCAACTCTCGCTCCATGATGCTAATCTTTCTCTTGAGTGATGCAGCCCCCCCTACCCTCATAAAAGTTGAGTTGACGGGGGTGTCACAACATACCACCCGGCGGCGCTCCCTTGACACTGTTCAACTCGCCGTACCGTCCCCTGTTTTTCGTCGTGTCGTACAGGCTCAATACCCTCATCGTCTGTCCACCGGTACTCTCATCGCCGGCAGAGAAGGCGTAGCCTCTCTGTTTCCTCATCCGCTGCACCTGCCTGACTTTCCTCACCGCCTTCTGGAACTGCTCCATCCTCGGCCTGTAATCCTGCACATTGTATTTCTGGATCTCCTGGACGTGGTGATAACTTTGCGGGAAATACATTCTCTTAGCATATTTCCATGCAAAATCCCGCACCAGACAGACGGGTGGAAGGACGAGGCAGAGGGCGTAGAAGACTGGGTACGAGAACATGACGGGGATGATGCCATCGAGTTCGGTCGAAAATCCACTTCCGATGTTTGGTGCCGCGTAACTGTAGGCAGGGATGAAAGCCAACCAAATCAGAAAGCTTCCCGGGATCGCCATCACGGTATACTTCGTCCAGACGTTCGTAATCAATGCGGCTTTCCCGAGGACAACCAACAGAATTGCGGTGTAAGTCGAGGTACCCCAAACCCAGTGTCCCGCAACCTTGCCATTAGACATGATGCCGTCATTCAGAAAGAAATAACTCGAAAAGATATAAGCGAGGATGGAGTGGTAAAACCCATTGGCGACCCAGGACCAAAAGCTGTGCATGCGGAAGAACACCCCTTTCTGGGTGAGTTGGTAAGATTGCGGGTAGCGATCCAAAAGACGAGCCGAGATGTATTGATCGAATACACCAATGGCGAAAGGTGGGAAAAATGTGAAGAGAACATTGTAAAAGGACAGAGTCCAAGATTCGTAAATGGTCTGGCCAGAGAAGGAGTTTTGGAAGGCATACTAGTCGTTTGTTAGCACTGATCACCCGTCTGGCCGACAATGTTTGTCCTCTGCTTACCCAGAACTGCGTCATGAACATAGCAATGTTCTTGTAAAACGAGTACAGAATGACCTTGCTGATCCGTTGATAACTCCAGGCCCCATGCACGAGGAGCAGTTTTCTGAGGTACCGAAACTGGCCAATCGAGACATCGGCACTGCGAGCAGCTTGCAGGCCTTCCACGCCACTGATACCGACCCCAACGTGTGCGGCTTGGATCATGGAGACATCGTTCGCGCCGTCGCCAATGGCCAAGAGAAGCGCCTTAAGATGCCGCTTGACGAGTTTGACGACCAGGGCTTTTTGCAAAGGTGATACTCGACAGCAGATCACGGCCTTGCAGATAACTGCCAAATCAAGAAACAATTTCTCCATATCCTTTTCCAGGGCAAAGGCCAGTGATTTGCCATCGATGACCAGTGCGAGAATATCACGCTCACCTGCCGCGGCTTGACTTCGTACTGCATCGTATTTCTTCTGTAGACTTGCTCGTGTCGCGCTAGCATTCTCCTCGTTGATGATCAATAGAGTCATATCTTCGCTGATCAACTTGCAGCTCATGCCGATATTGATGGCAGTTTCTTGTCGATCGCCCGTAAGCACCCAGACTTTGATCCCCGCTTGTTGTAGCGTGTGAATGGTATCTGGCACACCATCCTGTAGGCGATCCTCGATGGCAGTTGCTCCCAACAGGTATAAATCGTGCTCGATGATCTCTGCCGCCTTGTCAAGCTCTTCGGCACGATTGCCACCGACAGTTGTAGCTGCCCTATCGAAAATTTGTCGCCATTCTTGGTACTCTTGTTCTGGGATCTCGCGCATAGCAAGACACAGTGTTCGAAGACCCTCCGTGGCATAGTCCTCCAGATGCCGCAACGTCGTCTCCACAGTCTGATTGTCCTTGGCCAATCTCTCCATGATTACTGTATCAGCGCCTTTGCAGTATATCCTGATCTTTCCGTCGGGGCATCGAAAGATTGTTGACATCCGCTTCCTGGTAGAATTGAATTCGCAAACTGCCAATAGCTCGTATTCCACGTCTTGACCATCGACTTGGACAATCACCGAGCGCGGTTTTCGTGCCACAAACCGGTATCCAAGCATGACGGCGCCTTCAACTAGAGCACCCTCATCCGGGGATGCGGCTTGGTATTTGATCTCCGATTTCTCGTCCCTGCGTTCTGGAATAACGGTATGACATACGGACAGCAGCGAGAGGAATTGTTGAATGACTGCGGCGCTCGGGTGCGTCTTCAGATTCTCGCGGAGTTGCTTGAAATCATGAATGCCGTCCACATCCTCGGGACTGGTCGCCTTGCGGTCTTCGGGCACTACACCTGCATACTGAATTCCATGGATGGAGCACTGGCGAAATTCCATCATGTTGCAGGTCAGAGTCCCTGTCTTATCCGAGAAAACGTATTCGATCTGTCCCAATTCCTCCACAAGCGACGAGGTTCGACACACCGCAGGAGTATCGGTGTCCGTGTAATACATATCCAAATCGCTGCTGATGAGAAAAGCCTGGAAATACTTAACTATGTCGATGGTAACGAACAGTGAGAGCGGGACCAAGTTAGAGTAAAGGATCCAATAGGTGCAGAGGTCCAGGAAGAATTGCGAGGCGGCGTTGAAATTGTCGTAGTAGAGGTACGTGAGTTTCTGGCCAGCAGTGGATCGAACAATGAGATCGCCAATCGTGCTAACGGCACTGAGAACCAAAAGTATAGCAACAAGCATCAGAATCTGCTTGTTGAGCATCCGTTCCACATCTGTCCTCTTGATAGGTGTAGCAGTAGCATTTCGCATCAGCTTCGTTTCATGGCCAGTGAAAACAACCACCCCATGTACCCAGGGAGTGTTGCGGAGGATGGCTCCACGAAGAAGTAATTGTTCGGGAGTCAGGGGGTGTTCTTTCTCGTTCCCGCCACCAGACACAGTCAACGTTGCTTCATACGTGTAGAGACTGCTGTTCGGCTGTTCGGACCTTATCCGTCCGTTCAATCTCCCCAAGTCTGCAGGGTTCACCAAATGAACGGTCTCCGGAATTGCCTGTTTAATCTTGAGGTTGGTCTCCCCGTCAAGGTTGGCGGTTTCGATGTAACAAAGCCCTTCAGGTTCGGAACTTGTGAGCAGTACCAAGTCGGCAGGGAAAGACTCCTCCGACTCGACACGGACAATATCACCGACGGCAACGTTGATCCATTTTGTCTCCACGAAGCTCGAGCCTTTCAAGACCTGTGCTTTGGAGTCATTTAGAGCCTTGTCTGCCGTCTTTCGCTTCCAGTCCTCCACTAGTTCCTTGATCCCAGATATCGTCAGCACAATCAGTAGCGGAACTATAGTCGTGTAGCGATTTGTGGGGGAGACATTGGGAACTTGCTGCAGGGCGGCGGTGAACAGGAAGAACAAGTTGGCATATTTGGAGAACTGTTCGAAGAGGAATTTCGGTAGAAAGGTCGCGATGTTGTATTTGGCGGTGGAGACATGGTTGTCGACCCATTTGTTAGCAGCGTTCACCGGGGAGTTGTTGAGATGGATAATCCTGGGGCCTAGGCTTGCTGGATCGACCTTCTTCCTCGTGAACATGTCTCTGATATTGTCGAAAGTGAACTCCTTTTTCTCTCGGAATGGAGGCGTCTCATCAGTCCCGGCTGTGTCTACTCTCGAATTCTGCAGACCGGCTTCTGTCAGAGGAAGGTTGATGTCAGAGTAGTTGCTATTCCGTATCCCCAGCATTCCTTTTGCTCTGTCCATAACCCCCGACATGGACATGAGACTAGTCCGATCGCGCCTGTGTCGCCCGACCACTTTGACACCTCCACCGGGGATATGCTCGTCTGAGGGACCTGCATTGTCATAGTATTTGTATCCAGACTCTTCTTCGGTCAGCTCCTCCCCATCTCCGTATCTTGCATAGTTCTGCAGGTCCGAGGTCTGAGAGTAGTTTCGCGTACCGCTGTCCATGTACGGAGCAGTGAAGGGTCGAGTTGAGGACGTGGACGGTTGCGCTTGGCTGGCAGCCGCCGGCCTACCTCCGCCGACGAAGTCATCGTAGCTGGTTGATGGTCTCGGTTGAGGTTCTTCGGAGTCATCGATGTTGAACACGTTGAGGAGGTGCAAGTCATCTACAGGAGGGCGCTGCCCTGAGCTGTAGGTCGGCTGTGAACTCCCCAGATCATCCAGAACATTGTTATTATGGTTGGGAGCTTGAGACGCATTGGGCCTCCCGTCCATTTCTCTGGCGGATTGGCGCCAGAGGGGCTTATGAGGAGGAAGTCGAAAATCTGCGTTACTGTGCCATAAGAATCACGAAATGCCTCTGTCACGATTGCGAGTGTTTGTTGCAAACATGTTGCGCTAAATTGCAGTGTTGGCAGAGTAGATGTCAGCGTGGTGTGTTTCTTGTCGAGATTGACGGTGACAACGGCAGTACCAAGAAGCCAAGTTCGGTTTGGGATACGCGGCCGCAGGCGGAGCAACGCCTTGAAGCCCAGACTTGGAGGCCACTACTCCTCGCTCCCCGTGCGGGCAGCAGCGTCAAGTGGCTGGTCCCTACCAACCGCAGCCTAGCGAGCCTAGTGCTCAGTTTCAGTGGCTTTAGAGGCACCAGCCGAGATGCTAATAGCGTTACAGGCTATGAGGCATCCCCCATAAGGCATCCCCCATGAGGCGCAACAGAAGTGACCCCCCGAAGTCTTGCGAAGCTGGGTGGCTGCCGTTTCCCTATGGAGCAGGTACATACGTGTGAACTCATGTTATCATCATCAAAAAGAGCACAAAGTACGAGATTCTATACCAAGATAACCAAGCATCGTTTTGACTGCAGCCTAGAAGCTGTCCAGTGGTTTGATAGATTATTCCACGGGGGAGATTGATTCGTGGCTTCCTGGATCCTTGGTGTCTGAGGCGATGAGTCCCAAGAATTTAAAAATGGCTTCTGAGACTGCACTGCCACATCCATGGTTGTTGCGTTGTTGTTACAGTACATATCTTGCTGCGGTACCATCGATACAGCCCTCCGTTCCTTCTTTCGACAACAATGCCCTGAGAGGCTCTGGCGCCGAATAAAACGACTTTGGGTTCACGACTCGTGAGTGGTCATCTCTCGTTCTCAGCTCTCAGCTCGGCAATCAGCCCGCCCACGTCTCGCTTGGTCGCATCCTCCGCCAATTTCTTAGCCACGATCCCATTGATCTCTTTCCCCTTGGTCAACGCTGTGTTGATACACTTCAATAAAACTAGGGCATCGATCGCGCTCCCTCCCATCTTGGAAACCTGGCATAATTCAAAATCGTTCACAGTAAAAGTCACCGATGACTCCCGGACTTGCTCTTCACTGCGTGTTGCATCCAGCAAGATGGTTTCTCCTCCATGATAGAAGCTGAATGTTGTGCAGACGGGGTGGTGCATGATGCTCAATGGAACCGGCACTCGTTCGGCCATGGTGTAGATAGTTACAGTTTCCCCATCAACTGAGACATCTGGTCTTCGAAAGTGTCGCAACGCCGCCACAATCGCCATACAGGCACAATCAACCAGACCACCATCAGAATCCAGAACATGCACGTCCGCTCTAACTGACCAGCATTTTGCTCCCGCAATAATGCACAAGGACTCTGTATCAAGGGCACGAGATCTTCGTATAGCCTTTTCGAGGGTCCGAGACAATATCACTTCTTGCTCGGTCTGTCTGCCGACCTCATATGCCGGAGACGCGATGGGGCTCAATTCAGTGATGATTGTGAAGATGCCATCAAACTTGCGATCTTCGAGTGGCTTGGTGACTTCTGCTGAGATTTGAACATGTACTCTTCACATGCTTTTAGTATTGGTCTTACGTGTAGGTGGAGAATAACCTACCTCGTCTTCCCGAGACGGGCAGTGACTGTCCCATATTCATCTCCGAATTGTAGGTCAAGATTTCTGAATTGGTCAAGACGACGGCCATCGACTCGGACGCCGTGCTCTAGGGCCTGAAGGATGAAATTCCGCTCAATGTTGGATATGTCGATTTCGCGTGGCATCCTAACGAGGGACCGTCGGCTTGGACGGCAGGTGGTAATGATAGAGCCAGTTTAACGCCATTCAGTAGGTGGATGATTCCAAAACCTCACGGTCAGATCTGTGTGAGTGGCATGGAGTGCTTGGACTGGCAATTTGCCGTCTGCTGTAAAGTCTGCTGTTTGATCCCAAAAATACTCACGCGTTTCGTGGTTACCTGCTCCACCGTAGCGTTCTACCAGCAGCTACGGTGAACTATATTGTCCGTCAACCGAAGATATCTTTTCCTCAACAAAATCATCTTGTCGCCTCTTTGATCCATTTTTTCTTCCCGTTTTTTTCAAATATTTTCCTCTCTGGGAGCAATTAATTCTCTCAGCCTTCCGCTCTACTCTAAGCTGACTCATTGCAAGGTCTACACGGCCGCAGTGCCGCGAGTACACTGAAGTTTCCACGGTCACATGATCGTAACCACAATGCACATGCCAAATCTTCGAAATGGCTGACGCCGCGATCCACAAGCCGCCCAGACGATCCAATTTGTCTCTCATGCGAGATAAGCAGAGTGCAGCGTGCAGATTCAGGCACTGGGACGTTACTACGTACTTATCATAACACCACCACGCCACGGGAAAAAGTTACATCAAACCTCCTGCTTTAGCGAACTCTTTCAGCTCTCCCGTTTCGAGGCATCCGTTGCGTCAGCCTTGCTCAAACTTTTCCACCGAGCCTCACCCATACCCATATTTGTTGGGGCCCCCTATCAACGACTTCCACTCTCATGTCATTTTCTACTTCTCCCATTGGCAAGGAAGTTCCTTTCCACTTTTCGCTCGCACGGCTAACTCGCGGTATCCGTAACTCTGCACATAATCGGAATATCTGACAAACCTCCGACGCCTCCACCACGTGCAAGACGGTGCCGTCTGTTATCGAGGACGTGGGTCTGTGAGTGATGAATTGTTCTTATGCAATTTGATTCAAGCTTTCTGTTGTGTCCAAATCTCTATCACGGCAGACCCGTTACCCTTCGCCGCTCCTGCGGGTGTTGTAACTAGTTGCTATGGCTTGTGATATTTTTACTCCCGATGCTTCCCTCCTCCGCAACCTTTCCAGCTCCTGATCCTCAGGCTCTTCGAGGCCTTTCTGCCGAACACATGTGTTGCGTTCAGGCATTCCTGCCCAAACGTGGTTGTATGGCCACATAAATCTGGTCGATTCTTTGTTGCAACAATTGCCCTTTGTCGTCATTTGAGCTGGAATTTTCCACCCTTGCCACATCTTAAGTTTATTACTCCCCTGGCCGATGCTCGCCGGGTCGCGTCCGTTCTCTCATACAATCGGCTCTTTGGTGGCCCGTGGCCATGGCTGAAAGAGACGAACAGTCACCAACAATCGAGAAAGATAACAACGACGCCGATGCCAACCCTGCGCGTCGGCACAGTCTCAGGGGGCTCAGGCATGGAAACAGACACCACCAAAAGGTCAAGTTCTCCGACGTTGCTGACGATGCGGGAGAGTCTCTCGTCGGGATCAGCACGCACGGGATTGTCCCAACAATTCGCTTGCCTGATTCTGAAGACGTTGCCGACCACGGTCTTCCGGCCTCGGATTGGGCTGGCATCACAAATGCTGCCGCCGCTGAAGCTCAGGTCCGCGCCAGTCGCCTGGCCAATACACTAAGCCATTCTCATGCACAACCGAGACCACATTCAGGAATTCTTATTTCTCAAAGCACGACTCCTCAAACGTTAGCATCTCCGAACTCGTCTCCCCCTTCGAAGCCATTGAGTGACTGGCTTATTACTGAAGATGATATCCCCTTAGAACCACTCGAGAAGGACAAACGACCCTATGCGTTACACGATGTCCCGAGTGACGACGACACGGACAACGACGATCCCAAAGCCCTGCACCAAAGCAACGAGAATGTTGAGGAAGCAAGACGGCTCATTAGGACACTGACAAGCGGTCATGGTGCGACAGCGTGGCAAGAGGAGTCACGATCGGGAACAGAGACGCCCGCAGTTGACAAGCGCCTTCATGATTTGGATTATGTTCCCCCTCCAGACCAATATCGTCCTAGTGTCTTTGGCGCCCTTCTTGCCTCGAAATTGGCACATTTACAACGGAATGGAGTTACTTATCCCACCTATCACGATGACCACGCTTCACAAGCGCCCAACAAGTCCTCTCCAAAAGGCTTCTATTCCAAAAGCCATTCTCGTGCAGGTTCTGAGAGCCGGGATCTCTCTACGCCATCATCTGGAAGGGCTACGCCCTCTAAAAGACCGAAGTGGTATGATAAAGACAGTCATGAACGCCAATCAACAGGGTCTCTGGCAACCTTGTTGGCTCAAGCATCCACGACCTCGACAGCAGCGGCTGCGCCTCAAACCAGCAACTACGTGCCTCGTCCACCGTTACATCATGCAAAGTCCTCTAATAGCATGATTGCCACAGCAGTGGACATGATCAAACATCCCGCAAACTATTTCCATCACAAATCCACGCAGTCCCTGGTAGATGAGGAGCGCGTCATCCTGGATGTCGCCGACATCATCGCTTGTCGAAAGTACCTGAAGAAACTAGCTAGATGTCTGATGGCGGTAGGAGCACCAACTCATCGTCTCGAGGAATATATGAAGACCTCCGCGCGAGCACTCAATATCGATGGCGATTTTCTCTATATGCCAGGCTCGATGCTGGTCTCGCTCAACGACAGAGTCACCATGAGCACAGAAGTCACTCTGGTGAAGGAGTCGCAGAATGTGGATCTTGGAAAGTTCAAAGACGTCTTTGACGTGTACAAGCTGGTCATTCACGGCAAATACAGTGCTGAACAAGGGACGGCTGATCTAGACGATATTATGAAGAAGCGGGGACGACACTCTCTTCCGTTACGGATTTTTGCATACGGCGTCGCGGCCATTGCGGTGGGCCCCTTTGCCTTTTCTGCCCGACCAGTTGACTTTGGTCCAAGTTTTATCTTGGGATGCACTTTGGGCTGGTTACAGCTTGTGGTGGTGACCCGGTCGGAGCAGTTCTCACACGTGTTCGAAATACTTGCTTCCGTTCTCATCTCTTTCGCGTCCCGTGGCCTGGGTTCTATCTACCACAAAGGCACAGCTGTCTTCTGTTTCTCAGCCATCGCGCAGAGTAGCATAGCCCTAATCCTGCCAGGGTACATGGTGCTGTGCTCTGCTCTGGAATTACAAAGCAAAAGCATTGTTTCAGGGTCGGTCAGGATGGTATACGCCATTATATATTCACTGTTTCTCGGTTTTGGAATCCTGATCGGCACAGTCGTCATGGGTACGTCTGCATCTCTAACCGAAATCGATTTCGGACTATTCTCACTGACACAATTCTAACAGGACTCATCTATCCTCAAGCACAAAGCGATGTGACCTGCAACATCCCGACCTGGTGGAACGATTCCAATCACGGACCTAAACTCTTATATGTCAGATTCATCTGGGTTCCGATATTCGCAATATGTCTTGCTATCATCAACCAAGCAAAGTGGAAGCAAATACCAGTCATGACTCTTATCGCTTTTGTTGGCTATCAGGCAAACTTCTGGATCTCGACCAAACTTTCGAACAATATCCAGGTAGCCAATGCGATTGGCGCCTTTGCAATTGGGACAATGGCAAATCTGTATTCTCGCTTCTTTCATGGTCTCGCCGCTGCCGCCATGCTACCGGCGATCTTCGTCCAGGTCCCTAGTGGATTGGCCGCGAGCGGGAGCCTGGTGGCGGGCATCACGAGTGCCGATCAAATCACCGGCAATGTGACAGGAGTTAGTGTCATCAACAACGGCACTGCGGGGTTCTTGGACGCCCAGAACAGTACAAGCAGTGCGAGTGTCTACGGCGGTACGATTTTCAATGTTGGGTATGGAATGGTTCAGGTGGCAATCGGTATTAGCGTTGGTCTTTATTTGAGCGCTTTAATTGTGTATCCATTTGGCAAGAGGAGGAGTGGACTATTCAGCTTGTAAATGTCAAAGCATAGTTTTGCTTGCAAATGACATGCTTGGGCTTGAACAAGCCTTGAGAAACAAAAGTTTTGCAGTCTACTACTACTAATAGTGAGCCGGCAAGGCTGAGCGGCCTGCCAAGCCCCGTAAGGCTGCCCGCCTGCGATTATCGCTTGGAAGTTTTCCAAGCACAAGACCGATCTCTTGTCATACGCCCTGTCTGCTACGCTCTTCATCTTCTTGATCCCACTGAAGGTTCTCTGCTACATACCTCCTAGTGTCTCATACCCAAAATGACGACAGGCAAGCTCCCTTTACCTGTTTCTTGCACTGCAGTCTAACTCTAGAAATAGCCCACCGACCGACGTTTGATCCTGCACGAGGCAAAGAGGCGCAGAGAGGTCCAGCTTATCATCAACGGCTACTACCAGCGCATACTCTTCTCAAAGTTCGGTCAGTCGCGACCGAAGCACTAGGACAGAGTCCTTCTGACGATGATCAGGCAACCCGGTCAAGGCGGAGCGGACGAAGCTCAGAAAAGAGATCTCAGAGCAGAATTACTTGCGGCAGAAGCGGCGCATTTTGCGAAGACGAAGGGAACGACTGCAGAACCCACGACCAGTCCCTCTAAACCTGTGAAGCGGGAACTCGAAGATTCGCCTGATGATGGTGATAGCGACAATGAAGACCCTGAAATAAAACGAAGGAGGATACTGGAAGAGACTAGAGATATCGACGCAGACTCAGATGGAAGCGACACTGACAGCAGCGACGAGGAAAGTGACGAAGAAGATGAGACAGCAGAGCTGATGCGCGAACTCGAGAAGATCAAAAAGGAAAGAGCCGAGCAAAAAGCCCGGGAAGAAGCAGAGCAGGCTCAACAGGCACAAGACGAGCGAGAACGAGACATTGCACTTGGTAACCCGTTACTCAATCCGAAAGCATTCAACGTGAAGAGGAGGTGGGACGACGACGTGGTCTTCAAGAACCAAGCTCGAGGCACAGAACAGAAAGGGAACAAGGAGTTTGTCAATGTGCGTCCACCCCAGACCGTTGCGATATGCGGGTGCAGCCAAACTGATGAGATTGCAGGATCTACTGAGGTCGGATTTCCACAAGAAGTTCATGGTAAGAGACTCGGTGTTGGGAAGACTCTTCTGGTTTGACTGACTCGTTCTATTCTAGTCGAAATATGTCCGATAAACCATGCCTCAGACTTGAACGGATTGGCAATGGTTGGCAAAGCTGTTGCTGGCTGCCATCGTGCTACGACGCTAAGATCTCCTCCTGAGATAAGATATGCTAACCTCCGAAAGCGGTTTTACCAGCTGAATCGATACAGAGACACCAGTGGTGGCAAAACATCTGATGGCTTTCGATGTGCCCACGTGCACAACCAAGCAAGCTGAAAGAGCTGCAGGTCGTGCATTAGAGATGCTGCTAGTCCTGAAGTTCGGATGATGGCACAGCGCCCAGCGTACTGGGCAGGGGTGTGAGGTTGTGCATCGAACTCTTATGCAAGTGACGCCAAAGGTCTGAAAGCTTAGGCAGGGTTCGCGCGTATCTTGGTTATTGCGACACTGGGGAGTTGATTCTTGGATCTCTTGAACCAAGCACCTGCGAATCCCAGGGTAAGATCAGCTTGGATTCCCTCATCTGGGAACTGATGCCACAAGTCCTGGTTGGATTGGCATTGCGCGAATAGCCGGATGGGCCCTGAGCGAAGGGAAAAGAGGGGAAGAGGTGGCTGAGAGGGGGTGGCACCCGGGAGTGGACCAGGCGAGAGCAGGGAACCCTGAGGGCCAGCCGACAGGGCCTCCCAAAGGGCCATTAGGGGCACCAAGGGCACCAAGGGCCATCTGCTTCCGGCAGCAAAAGCAAGCAGATCGTGCTTGTTCGGGCGACACGGTGACGCGCGCAATCAGCAAATGCACCAGATGCCGTCATAGGCACCTGGATGCAAGTTTCCCAGCTGCGGGGCACAACTCACCCATTCGCCCAGTCAGCTCACAGCGAAGCTCCAATCAACTCACTCTCGTCGCCTTCTGAGCAGCATTCTCTATGCCCAAATAGCTCCTGGCACCAGCATTCTTTGTGCCCCTCCAGTTCTGACGGAGATGAACCCTCACTCTCACCACAAAGCTTCCAGTCCTCGGAGCCAGGCCAGACGCAGGACCGTGCCCGGGTCAAGGTGTCACTGAGGCGCAACCCATCCCCTCCCTCCTACCTCATCCTCAGCCAATGTTGGCACCAGGAAATGACGATACTTTTGCGCCTTCCCGGCTTCCTTGCTCTTTATGCTTCTGGATTCAGCTGTCCAACACCTGGCCTTGTTTCACGCGGGGTCTCTCCACCAAGTCATTGGCTCTGATCGAGAACTTACGTAGTCTGTGAACAACCTCCCCGTCAGTTTGTGACTCGTGCCTGACGTGCTTTGGAATGAACCTCTGTTAGAGTCTAGTCAGGGTCGTTGCTCTCCTTGTTTGGCTCATGTGCTCTCGTGGTGTCCTTAAAACCCTTGTCTTGCTCCCTCTTGAACTCACTTCAACCTCCTTCAATTCTCCAGTCTCTCCAACAGCTGAAACTCACATCTTCTAACAGAACCAAACAAGCAAACAAACTCAAGGCACCATGTCTTACAACGATGACAACGTACGACCTTGCTCGACCTTGAAGGGACGTTCTGCTGACATCCTCTAGACCCGCGGCGGTGGCTACGGTGACGATAGCTATGTAGGTCACCCGAGAAGTGTACTGCAACCCCTCCTGACTGAAAGCTAGGGCTCTGGCGGACGTCAACAAGGCGGCTATGGCGACGACAGCTACGGTGTATGCTCTTCCCATCTAACTCTCTTCCCTCGATACTGACATGCGTCAGTCGTCCGGTCGACAGACTGGTGGCGGTCTAGGGTCCGATGACACCTACGGAGACTCCACCGTCACTGGAGGTCGCAGCACTGGCCGGGATAACGAATTCGGTGGGCTGTCGTCGATTCCCAAGAAGACTTCATTGCACTAAACGTACATACAGGCATGGGCAGTGGCAGGACTGGTGCACAAGATGCCGGTGGCTTCGGCGCAAGTGATGATACCTACGGCTCCGGGACCCGCGATACCTCTGGTGGCTATGGAGGTGGTGGCCGTACTGGTGGCGGTCTAGGCACCGATGACACCTATGGAGATTCGACAACCACAGGTGGTCGCAGCACCGGCCGTGACAATGAATATGGTGAGTTTGGTCTGCTGTGTTTAATAATATGACCTGACCTCGTGGAAAAGGCATGGGCAGTGGCAGAACCGGGGCACAGACATCTGGCGGCTACGGTGCCAGCGACGACACTTATGGCTCCAACACTGGCGGTGGCAGTGGCTTCGGAGATGACAGCACTGGCACTGGCCGCCGCGGGGATGATTTCACCTCTACCGGTGGCTCTGCAGGTGGACTCGGTATGGCTACCACGGTATATGTCTTGACAGTAGCTGACCTAAGAAAGGTGCCGATGATACTTATGGCGACTCGACCCGAACCGGAGGCGTTTCTTCAGGCCGTGATGCTGACTACGTGAGTACTACCCTGGTGCACCGATCTCCAAAGTCTCGAAATTGATATTGACTGATTTATTCGTAGGGAATGGGATCCGGCCGCACCCAGCAACAAGACCGTGGCGGCTATGGCGGTGACAGCTACGGCGGCGACAACTATGATGATAACACCTCAGGTGGCAAGAAAAACGACTCTACCATGGGCAAAGTGATGGAGAAGGCGGGCAGTATGTTCGGAAGCAGCAAGTTGGAGGAACGAGGTACGGAGAAGAGACGTGGTGCTGGAAATGATGATGACTATTAGGTCACGTTGAACCACGTTGAGGATGGTAGGACGGCATCGTCAACAATGGGAAATGGGGGACCGGGGACTGAATGAGACCCTATGCCCACATTGCTATTGTCCGTGAGCCACGAACTGCTCGGGCCAGTGGGGACATTTCGCGTTACGACGAATACGAGGAACATCACAGTTGATTTGAGACTGTGCCTATGCCAGATCTCATCCTATTCCCCGTCCGCTGAATACAAGTAAATGTAAATGTATTGGAGATCTGCCGGTATCGTCACCGTCGTTCCCAGCCAACCACCCGAATCTCCACTCCAGCCTTGTCATCCTTGAGCCACATTTCCTTACCACTGATGTCCGCCGGCGTGACGTCTTCCTCCTCTTCGTTGTCCTCCTCATCGCTCTCATCGTGTACAGTATTAGCATCGGCAATGCTTTCTTTCCGTCTCCCCAAATGCTGAGGCAGCTCGACGTCGTCTCCTCCGACCCATTCCTGAACCTTGGATTGCGAGACGTGTTTCCATTTGGCGGACTTGACGCCGGAGTGAGGCGAAGGCAACAGGTCGGGGAAGAAGGTGTCGCACTCAAAGTCATTCCCATCGCCACCACCACCATCATCTGTCGCGCTCGCGGTTTGTGGTATCCGGCGGATCTGCGTCTGCAGGATTCTCACGTCGAAATGTTTGCCTTCCCCGCCGCCACCGCCGGCGGCGCCCCCAGCGGTTTCGCCCTCGGTGTCCGTGCCCGTTTCGCTGCCCGCGGGGGTGGTGGGTGTGTGTAAGTTGGCGGACGAGAGGGAGAGGACTTGTCGGTAGATCTCGGCGCCGCCGATGCAGAAGATCTTGTGGATTGATAGAGACAACGGCGGGGTATTGTGGTCCCGCGATCCCGGTCCCGGGGCGGAAGTAGGCGCGGTGGTTGTGTCGGGCGTCGGTATGTGGATGGGTGCTTGTGAGGAGAGCAGGGATAATGTCGAAGGCAGGGAGGCGGAGATGAGGATTGGTGATATCGACGCAGCACCTTGTGATGATGTGGAAGTTGGCGGGACGAGGATGGTGCTGGGCCGTCTCTGGGTTGGTCTGCTCTTGGATGTCGAATTCAATTTGATCCGCACACTTGGCTTCGGCGGTGGGAGGGTATGTAGCTCCCACTGCGACGACGCGGCATCGGCTTCCCCGGTAGCGGTAGCGGTAGCAGATTTCAATTCGTCAAGAATCTTCCTCCCTAGCTCCTCGGAATCTGAACGTGTGATGATCACATTCAGTCTGCCGGCCAGCGGTCGGAATTTCGGAGGGATGCTCTCCCAGGTCTTGCGGCCCATGACCACGGCATTTAGCGTCCTCAGCCCTGTCGGTGCCGTAGCCGTCGCGACCGACGAAGAAGAGGCGGAAGACACTGCCTGTTGCGAACCGATCTTGGCGGCTGCTTCGGGGCCGTGAGAGGTGACGGTTTTGAAAAAGGCCATGTCGGCCCTGATCGGCGGCCAGGGCAGCTTACCCTGGTGACCGATGCCCATGGGCGGATTCAGCGACGTCGCGACGATGATGTAGATGGGCTTGGGACGGATGAAGATGGGCGTGACGATGGTCGTGGTCGTTTTGATGATGCGTTTTGATGACGGCGAGAGCATTTCTGGATCTTGTCCCTCTCCTCTCTCTTCCTCGCTGTCGCTGTCGTAGTTCGGGGGCAGTCTTGGCGTGGCCAGCTCCGTGGGTGATGGTGGTTCCGAGAGCGTGGTTGATGGTGGTGTTGGCACAGACATTGTCTCTTTGTTACCTAGGAAATCACTCTAGGTCCAGCGCGCGTGGTTTCGTGTTTTGTAGAGAGTTTTCTCGTCAAATCGTGGAGAGAAACGTCAGTGATATCGCGATACCAAGGGCCTTGGGAGTGTCGATCGACGTCTTTATCAATCAACGCCCTTTTTTTGAGTTTTAGGTCTCTTTCCACAGGCTTAAGTTGAGGAACGGGTAACTTTCCAGCTTCAAGTCACCCCATCCGCCTGTCGCCTCGGTCTCTTCGTTCTCGAATCTCTGTCTTTCGTCCTCTGTCTGGCGTTTTCGGTCGAATGGAGATGGGAAAGAGCAAATTTGAGTGAGTGAGTGAGTGAGAGAGGTAGATAGATAGAGTCAAGAGCGGTCGGATAGAGGAGAAGATCTCCCCCAGAGATGGACGACGCGTTACACAAACACACCACACATGCAGCTGCACCGCCTGGATGGGCTAGATAAACGTACCTAGGTACATATGGAAATGTACGTAACGGACTATGTGGTAGTTACCAGTCACAGGATGGAGGACACCTTGTGATGTTTTCAGGAAGCTATCAAGTTGGAACAAGTGGTCAAGCTTCGAGCTGGTCTAGACCTCGCCTGATCGCGACTCACTGCACTCCTTCGCCAAGTAAACATCGAAAAGGTCATCGCGCCCAGCTTGCGGAGTCCAGGCTTCCGGAGGCGCTGGCGCTGGATCGCGCTGGCTTTGGGCGGCCCCGCGGGCTAGAACGCGGGTATAGGGCCACCTATGGGAGTGCCTACTGGGATGCCGTAGGCACCCAATAGGCACCCAGTACCTGGATACCTGATTATTTGACATTTGGTTGCATGTACCTGCCCTTATGGGAAGAAGGGTACCTGGATGGCTCTCAGTACCCGACATTTTACAACTGCTGCTGGAGCCGCTGTAACTTAGGACTCCGGGGGAAACAGCGTGCCGAAAACTAACTGCTTGCACTGCTTGCAGGTGGCTACAAGTCGGTACAGCATGGCAATTGCATCCCATCTGTTGCTATTCTTTCTTACAGGGATTTATCTAAGCTGTGATACGCTGAAAAGAACTGTTGGCCCTTTCCTCCGAAGCCAGATAGTCGCCCACACATAACATGACTATCTGCTCGAGGTGTTCCCCACTGTACGAGGTAGAGGTGATGTTGCTTATGCACCTACCTTGGTGACTTGATGAGCTTGGGCCACTGCTCCAGCGTTTCGTCCTGTCGGAAGAGAAAATTCCGTCCAGGATCCGCGAGGAAGGCAGAAGGCAGAAGGCATCTGGGTTCATGGCGTCGGGAAAATGGTGCGTTGTTCTCCTTGGTGATACCTCAGTATGATACAATGATTCGTCCTTATGGGGAAAGGTGCTCGACGAAAGGCGTCTACCCAGCGACGACTTTACTCCTCTCCAGGAATACTGATGAGTCCCTAGTTTTGTTCGAACCAGAAATTCCCGCATAAAACTCCGGTGTTGAAAATGATGGGACGCTTTGATATCAGTGTCCTATTCAGGGTTACGTATAGGGCCAATGTGGGATGCAATCGTTTGAACAACACCTGTTCTCTTAGGTGTCCGTCATCTCGAGCGTCGTCTCGTACTTCTCCAGGAACTTCTTGAATCCCTCCTCCACCACCTTGACGTCCTCCTCCATTTTCCTCCTGGCTGCCTCGTCCTGTCCGTTGAGACGCCGGCCTTGGTGGTCGCTTTTGAGAGTGTCCAGTCCGCCAAAGAGCCAGATCTCCTTCATTGTCCGCGTCAACATCATGATCTCCTCTGCTGCGCGGACGATTGCCGTTGATTCAACGTCGAGCTGAAACTGCTGAACGGCCGTGTCTGTCAGGGACGGCGGAGCTGGAGCATTGCCCGTGCCTGCAGGAGCCGTGGCAGTTTGCGCGGCTGTGTCATCGAGAGCCACAGCGAGAATGTTCTCGAGCCTCTTGATCAAGGTGGTTGAGAGAGCCGTTATGCGGGCTGGAGGGCAGATGTCAGAACATCGTTTGTGATTACAGTCCACGTTCAACCAGTGGATCGAGGCCGCTGGTTGGATTCGAGGGAGATAATAGGCACTCGGGGGCCAGAATTACTTGCCCAAAGTGGCTGCGCATACGTACCTTGTAAGAATTTGGCCGTGGGCACGGCGTCCGAGGCTGTCTCTCTTTTGGTTGTCGATTCCATTCTGCGAAAGGTCCGGCTCCGCCTCCTCAGCCTTGGACTTCTTCGGCCTCCACGATCAGCTCTCCTCAGACGCCCACACGGTCTTTTTGAAATCCCCCAATATCCTCAACCAGATTCCTTGGGGCGGGGGACTTTGAAGCTGCAAATCGAGTTCAGCCTCTTTTGGGCCTGAACCTGTCCTTTTCTTGATCCACCCAGCTTCTTACGAGGCAGTCAAGCCAAAAAGTAGGACAAAAGTCACGAACCAGGGAGGATCTGCTGCATTTCGCAGTCAAGGAGAAACGCGGCCCTTGGTTGCTGCGGTCAGCTCGTGCGTAATGGGAAGGTGTTACGTCGACTTGGTTACGACATGCTCTTCACTGCGAGGCCATGTGATGGAGAAACGTGCACTACAAACAGACTTTTGGAGTGTTGCGCAACGGTTCAGAAGCATTGTGCTTCTCGATTATATGCTCCGCTGGAGTCAGACACTACTGTAGAGCATGCAGCCTGCGCACAGCAATACAGAAACCTTCACTCGTTACCACCCTCCATTTCATTTGCCCTTGTGATCTTGTTCGATTCAATGAGACGCAGCAGACTGATATATGCCTGAGGAGTCGATCGTCTTTTGGGACAATTGTCTCAACAAACAACCCTCTCGAGCACCTTTTCTCTGTACGCTATTACGAAAAGTGCAAAGCGTTGATGAGACGTTCACGCAATGAGTGACATCCCTCCAGAGCCAAGCTTCCTTTCTTACGCTTGGTCTTCGTCGCCTTTCTGGCCATTCAAACGAGAGGTACCGAGTACAAGTAAGCTCGAGCCAAATTCTTACTTCATCAGTTGAGCAGGCGAGCTGAGTGGATACGACTCAACGACTGTCGTTGCATTTCTCGGAACCACGGGATCGTCGAAGGCGCCGCCACGCAGCTTGAGCGGATAATGGCGTTGTCTTCGCCACAGGCCGATAAATATAGAAGCAATAAGTCGCCGATTCTGATTCGATCAGCCCCTCGCAGCCACACCTTGTCTCAGAAGAAATTCTCCGCAACCATGCGTGCCATGCGTGCCATGCCACCTTCCTGCCACCGACGCAAGGCACAGCTATGTGTTCATTTGCAGTACACAAAATACAGTTGCTCCATCGCCCCAGCAGGCTCTCACCCCTGACGTCAAATCCAGGACTCGGATCACTCGGTGATGTGGATCATATGTGCATTTTTCACGAGCGCTGGAATCGACTGGAAAGATGGCCACATCACACGATCCACCGTACCTGAGACATTGCCCATGAAGACGGCAGGTGCTTGCAAATCCCCCCATCTACGTTTTGACCGTATTGAGTACTTGGGCTGACCAGCAACGGACAAACAATAGAGAAAAAGATTCATACGCAGCGTAGTCTCACACGAGAAGCGGGTATGGCGATGTGAGGGACCAATGGCAAATGCTGGCCGCAGGCAGACTCAGACCAAATCCACAACTGATCGCACCGATACCTCGCCTCCCAACAACCACTTGCCAAGCTCATATAACGGTGGCCGGGAGTGACACCTTGAGCCATATTCACCATGCAGTATGGATTGACGGCCTTAAACTGCCCCAGCTGGATCCCGGCCTCCGATTACTCCTCATGGTACTGGAGACATACACCACCTTCGGCCTCCACGTGGTGGAGAATTTGACCCAACGTATACCTTTCGGCCGGGTTAGCTTTTCCTTTCGATGGCACGTTGCCCTGCTGCGCCTTCGAGGTGTTGGGTGACGATCGAATAGCTTACCTATATGGATCAGAGTATCTATGGTGAGATGTAGGTATAAGAAAGAGGTATTTGCCCGCTCTCTCCCGCCGAATCTCCTTCTCTACAACCCTACAAGCCCTCCTGTCATTCGCTGTTTCCATTTCGTTATACACACATTCGTTCTTCTCGCCTAACATGGCCAAGCCAATCGTTCTATTTTCCCTGCTCGCTCCCGCTCTCTCAGCGGTCTTGCCTCGCAGTCAAGAGAGCTCATGGAATGACTGGGCCTCGTCGAGCACGACGACCATAGTGCCCATTAGCACTACCCCAAGCTCCTCTTGGAATGACTGGACGCCTTCAAGCACAACTACTGTTCCTACCACTACTACGACACCTTCGAGCTCTAGCACGTGGGGTGACTGGACATCAAAATCCACCACTCCCAGCGTGTCCACGACATGGACGACCCCAGTCACGAGCAGCACGACAAGCAGCAGTGGCTGGAACGACTGGACCTCATCTTCTTCCTCCAGCACCACCACTACTACGCCTTATACCAGCTCGACGACTTCCAGCAAGGGCTGGAATGACTGGACCTCGTCTTCTTCCTCCAGCACCACAACCACCACGCCTTATACCAGCTCGACGACTTCGAGCAAGGGCTGGAACGACTGGACCTCATCTTCTTCCTCTAGCACCACCACGCCTTACACTAGCTCGACGACTTCGAGCAAGGGCTGGAACGACTGGACATCATC